TGAATGCCAGAAGGTATGCCAGTAGAATGCCAGATAAAATGTCAGATAGAATGCCAGAAGATATGCCAGATAAAGTGCCAGAATGTTTGCCAGATAGAATGCCAGAAGATTTGAGTAGATAATATGCCAGAAGATGTGCCAGATAGAATGCCAGAAGATATGCCAATAGAATGCCAGAAGATATGTCAGATAGAATGCCAGAAGATTTGCCAGTAACAAAATGTATAAATGTCATGGTGAGGATCACACGAAGTAAAGTAATTTAATATATATATATATTTCGCGTTCTTTATATATTTTTTGTATTGTTTTCTTCGTTTTATTCACAGCACAGTAGTAATGGAATAATCTTGATGTCTATACATTTCGTAGTCATAAAAATATATAAGCGATATTGTTTTTTATTTTTTCAATTACAATTCGGCCGATCGTACCTGGTTCATGCAGGCTCAATGGTACAAACGAACGTGTTCAATTGCTTGATATGGCTATACTACCTATACACTGTCATTCATGTGTTGAACTAATTAACCGTAGCACAACCCGCCAATTCGTAATTTATGCCTTGACAACCTCTAAAGCAAGAAAGGGTAAATTAATTTGTCTGAAAATAGGATACACACCCCTAAAATCCTAAAATCCAATGGTTTAGCATCATTTTCCCATTGCAATTGCCATATATTGTGCATTTCTTGGGGGTGAATTCCTACATTTTCAGACCCCATGTGTGGCAAGTCTTGGCTGCAAAGTTCTGCAGGTTCGGCCTCACGCAAACGTTGAGCTCGTCGATCGTCCAACATCTGACGGTTGGGATTTGTGTCATCACACTCATTCCTGGCCACGCAGCCATTTCAAACGCCCTCAAGATTTTATCCACACTCCTGAGAGGAACTCTGGTTTTGTGTCAACAAAAACATGGGCAATGAATGAAAAAAACATGGTAAGAACCACGTAGCAAAATCATGCTGCAAAATCTATGGCTGGTGAAGCTTTCTGTTCAAGGAGATTGTCTGCAGCGCTTGCCAAGAAACAAAGCAAAGAGAAACAAATAGGCTCAATTCCGTTGGGTTTCACCTCTGCCCCTCCAGAATCTGAGCACCCCACGATGTGTAATGCCAAAACTGATTGGATTTTCGGTAGTCTCCAACCTCAAGTGTCAACTAGTTCCAGCCCGTCTAATATTCCGCTATGGCCAGTTGACATCGGTTGATGGCTGATGGGGATGGACTGATTCGCTACCAAGTTTCACTTCATCACTCTTACCCTCTGGTAAACTAACATAGCTGTAGAAAATCACCATTTTTAGTGGGTAAATCAACTATAAATGGCCATTTTCAATAGCTATGTTAAATTACCAGAGGGTAAACCAACGGCCATAGGAATACCGGCAATGACTAACATAGCTATAGAAAATCACCATGCTTTTTTCAAATGGGGTGGGCTAAACCATGCTATTTCGATTAGGGCCATCTATCCCAGTTCGCAAAGTCTAACAGTTTACCAGGCCGGGTAGAGGATGTACGGATTTGAAATGCCATAGTGATTCAAAAACTTGGGGGTCACTATGGCCCCGTTTGTAAATGGGCGAGCTACACCCCCAGTTATCTATAGAATCTCCTCACTTATATATATATATATATCATTATATATATGGTCAAAACTCAATTCATGTGGTGAGGTCATGGCATCGCTTCATAAGGCCCCCTATCGCTACACACAGTCCCAGCACCCTTTTCACCAACTAGGCAGAATGGCTGCTAGAAGAGGAGGATCCAGATGAGGAATTGGATTCTTATTCCCCTTGCGATGGTATCTCCAGGGAAATTCAAACTTTTACGTGATCACCAAGGCTGACGTCGACAGCTTCAGCTAGACACCAGCCGGACTCACTGCAGGTCACCTGACCTCGGAGGCTGCCCTTGGCTTGTGTTGGCTTGTCTTGGCTTGTCTTGCCTGTGCTGCCTTGTTTCCGGCGCCTTTTTTCTTCACCCCGCCTCCTTTGCAACCTAATACCACGCCAAAATGAATCGGCAAAACCCTGACCAAATGAACCCTTTAAGAACTAACCCAGTAAGAACTTGAGGGTACCCTTGTTCATACTTCCCATATTTTTCCACCTACAGCACAAGTTGTATAGTTTCAAATGACCATGTGGGGTATTCCCTAATTTCATGGATTTCAGGTATCGCTCTGGGTATCGAGGGGTATCGCTTCGGGCATCGCTACGGGGACCAGAAAATGTGTGATCTCAGGTGTATGTTTCAAGTGACACGAAATTCTGACAAGCTCCATGTTGCAATTCTACTCCTGGACAGTGGCTTTGGAGAAGCGTCCGTGACCGCACAAGGATGCTTTTTCAACATATCTCAGCACGGTCACTATCTGAATCAACATCATCACCATCACCATCATCATCAGCATCATCACCATCATCAAGCTCATGATGCGTTATGAATTAGTTTCTTGCATACCTTATACATCAACATATCCCAATATATCAATATTGTTTAATGTAACTATCTCATATATACTTGACGACGGGCCATCTTGCAACTACCCAGGAAGACCAGCCCACTGCGACTGCTCCAGTGTCGCACTCTGACATCAAAAGATTGGAAAGTCATGCGCCCAACAGGAAGCTTCAATCATAAACACAGTCTAAAAAGAGGTATCGCTACATAAGGCCCCCTATCGCTACACACAGTAAATCACATATTTTGAGTAGTGATGGCGGATCGTAATTGAAGCCTTTCATAGCTTATTTTGACCCTTGCTCATATGAGTTCTATATGAATTATCAACCACGGATGCACCTCCAAGTAGCCAGATCCATAATACGAGTAGTGCAAATAAAGGATGCAGCCCCGGCACGTAAATAAACTTCAGAATCGAACGAGAGCCGCCCTCGGTTGGCGACACACAATGTGTGGCAGCATTCACACCTCAGTTCACCGGTGAAATTCGATGCATAAGACATGCATAAAAAAAACGTGTCCTTTTGAAGGTCTAGGTATATATAGTATACACATAGAATATAGTATATATATAGTATATATGTGTACATAATACACACTATATATACATATATTATATACGTACTAATGCATGCTCTACATATGTGTCTATGAATCCGTAAACAAGCATCATAGCATGATCGCAATATGATGTCCATCATCCAAGACAAAGATACTGCGAGTCTCACGAAAAGAAAACAGGTAGTTAACCAAGCCTTAGCTATTAAGTCACTCAATTCAATAAACTCATTGATCGATATCAAAAGCACAAGACAAATCTCGCAACACATGTAAGTGTATTCAAATAGTACATATTCAAGGCACATCCTCAAAGGTGTACAGTAGTATTGAATTACAACTCATAGCTGCTAGAAGTGCCCGACACAGTTCACGCGAACTGCCCCAGGGTTGAATGTTTTGGTTTTGCCTTTGCTTTCGCTGGTAGGGAAGCCGCACGAGGCCGCTAAACTAACCTGCAATGGATCCCCAATTCAAAAGAGTCACAACAAAGATCAACAAAGTATTTTTGCTTGATTTGTCAATTCTATTCATTCAGATTTCTCCCTGAAAGTCTGACTCATTTAGAAAACCCATGGTAACCTTGACAATCCACAGTCAACTCAGGGGAATCCGTGTGGCTTTGGGCCTTTCCCATGGCCAGTTGACATCCAAACACACAACCCATTGTACTTGGGGGCGCATCGAAATTAGTAAATTGGCCATAACCTCTTAGACACCGTATGTATATATATATACGTGTACGTTCGTGATTTAGGCATAAACACACACATGTGTGTGTATATTATGGATGTCTCTGTGTGTAATATACGTATATATATATATATACTAGTATTTTAGGGTTATAAACGACTTACTGTGCTTCCCCCATGATCAATTCTTATATGTGTTTTGGAATTTCCGTACCGTCCACATGAAAAATCCCGTAGGTCTTCCATTCTGGGATCCATTGAGGGCCCTGAGGCCCCGTCCCACCATCATCAGTGAGTTGGGCTTGGTCTGCACGCTATGCAGCCTGTGGCGACGAGTGAATACCACCGGCTGCAGCGGCTTTCAACAAATTGTTGGCCACAACGCGCAGAAGCAACACGTCAGCAATAATATGCAATAATAGATAATAATAATGATAATATAATCAGAATAGCACATATATCACAATATATAACATTATAATTTAAAGTATCCCCCATGTGTGACCCATAAAATAGATCCAATACTAAAGGAAGGGCGAATCATGGTGTATCCAAGGAATCAACACGATTCAAAGCCTGTGTTTCTAAGTGTTTCCAAGGGCGTATCTAAGCTTTGGAAGGGATTCAGCCGATGGTATTGGCTTTGACTTCCAGTACCAACCTTGAAACCCCCCATTGAAACTGGTTAGTCGCTGCTAGTAAGTCCCCCGTAGGTTGTCCAATCAATGGATTATAACATTGACCCGGGCAAGCCGGCGGCGGAAGTTTCCCAAACATAAATGACCTATAGTTCAAAGACACCCTGTCCCGACCGTGTCCTTCCCTCGACAACCGTTTGATTTTTTCAGCGAGAGCCGAAGCAAAGTCTTCACACTCCACACTTCACACTGCACTCTTCGCACTCCAAACTTCAAACTTCACACTCCACACTTCACACTTCTCACTTCCCACTGATTCCTTCACACTTCACACTTCACACTGCACTCTTTACGCCCCACACTTCACACTGCTCTAAACCTACGTGCAACAAAAACAACATTAGTGCCAAAATGGAGAAAATCTGCTGACAAATCACTGTCGCAGCCTTCATGCATCCACTCCAATACGGTTTACGAAGTCCAGCTGCAAACGACAATAGTATTACGCATGCAGCCACAGCATGAAGCAACCTTGACGCAGCCATTACAATGCGATCTGCGGAGACTGAGTTGCAAAACACAATAGAACTACGCGCAACGGCGTCGGAAATTGTAGCTCCAAAACCGGATCTCGACGCCAGAGCGAAAAAAAAGACGATTTTGAAGCACTTTTTAAAAGGATTTTTAGAAGGAAAATCGCTAGCGCCAAAAACGCATTTCGTGCGAGACTTCCTTCAAAACTCCATCGGCAACTCATCCACCAGCACCACTTGCAATCCCATTTACATTGTGGGAACGATCCTACAGTTGCAAATCACAATGGAATTCTGTCGACCGCAAATGCACGAAACACAGGTGAAACCCCATTTACAATGCGGAACCGATCCGACCATGGTCCGAGAATGATCCGACCATGGTCCGAGAATGATCCGACCACACACGAGACCGTCTCGCACCCGTCGCACCGCAGAGGTAGATCATCGACGTTCGGGGACGCACTTTGCCTGGAAAAACACAGGGTTTCGTGCATCTGCTATCTCTCAAAACCGCATTTCGTGCGAGACTTCCTTCAAAACTCCATCGGCAACTCATCCACCAGCACCACTTGCAATCCCATTTACATTGCGGGAACGATCCTACAGTTGCAAATCACAATGGAATTCTGTCGACCGCAAATGCACGAAACACAGGTGGAACCCCATTTACAATGCGGAACCGATCCGAGACCGATCCGCCCATGATCCGACCACACACGAGACCGTCTCGCAACCGTCGCACCGCAGAGGTAGATCATCGAGGTTCGGAGACGGACTTTGTATGGAAAAACATAGGGTTTCGTGCATCTGCTATCTCTCAAAAACGCATTTCGTGCGAGACTTCCTTCAAAACTCCATCGGCAACTCATCCACCAGCACCACTTGCAATCCCATTTACATTGCGGGAACAATTTCTTTGACTAACTCGTTCCCTAACGAACTCTTTCTTTGCTAACTCTTTCTTTGCTCTTTCTTTGACTAACTCTTTCTTTGCGAACTCTTTCTTTGACTACCTCATATATCCTGACTAACTCTTTCTTTGACTACCTCATATATCCTGACTAACTCTTTCTTTGACTACCTCACTGACTAACTCTTTCTTTGACTAACTCTTTCCCTCACTAACTCTTTCTTTGACTAACTCTTTCCCTCACTAACTCTTTCTTTGACTAACTCTTTCCCTGACTAACTGTTTCTTTGCTAACTCTTTCTTTGACTAACTCTTTCCCTCACTATCTCTTTCTTTGACTAACTCTTTCGCTGACTAACTCTTTCTTTGACTAACTCTTTCCCTGACTAACTGTTTCTTTGACTAACTCTTTCTTTGACTAACTCTTTCCCTCACTAACTCTTTCTTTGACTAACTCTTTCCCTGACTAACTGTTTCTTTGACTAACTCTTTCTTTGACTAACTCTTTCCCTGACGAACTCTTTCTTTGACTAACTCTTTCTGTGACTAACTCTTTCTTTGCTAACTCTTTCTTTGACTAACTCTTTCCCTCACTAACTCTTTCTTTGACTAACTCTTTCCCTGACTAACTGTTTCTTTGACTAACTCTTTCTTTGACTAACTCTTTCCCTGACGAACTCTTTCTTTGCTAACTCTTTCTGTGACTAACTCTTTCCCTCATTAACTCTTTCTTTGACTAACTCTTTCCCTGACTAACTGTTTCTTTGACTAACTCTTTCTTTGACTAACTCTTTCCCTGACGAACTCTTTCTTTGCTAACTCTTTCTTTGACTAACTCTTTCCCTGACATTCTAAAAGTCCGTAACACGGAAGTTTCTCCCCCTAAACTTCCTTTGAACATGTTCTGACTATGAAAATGTGGTTAAAACAATGCCATCTGCCACTGTCTGCACCATCCCCAAAATCACCATCCCCAAAATCTATCAAAATCTCATCACCATTTTTATAGGTGGTATATAACCACAACCAAATGGTGGCTAGTTTATGGCATTGTTAAGAAACCTCATGTTTTTCATGTTCACCACAACCAGTGGGACCCAGTGGGATGACTGGGATGATGGGCCCAGTCGAAAGTAGGTGATTTTCCACAGTTCTGTAGACGTTTACCAGAGGCTATTCAAAGCAGTTGCCAAAGCCCCATGTCACCAGACATCGCTGAATTCACCGACTTCGTTCTGGGGCACGGGCTTGCCGGCAGCATCCCAGAAAGTCACCTGTGGGTGAAGCGCTTCACAACACAGGTGGAGGTGTCCTAAATTGGGGGCAAACCGGGGTAACCCGGGTAACCTCAAATTATCATAAATGATCCCTTTTTTGATTGGGATTTTCCACTACAAACCATCCATTTTGGGTACCAATTTAGGACACCTCCATGTTTCATTGCATTTCTGAAGAATGTTGCCTTCTTGAAAGCGGCAACCTGGTAGCGGAAGCCGAGCCGCATTACACCGGGAGTCATTGTCCACCGTGAACGCGAACTCCAAGTCTTTTCTCGGCACCTCGCATTTTGGTAATCTGGGCCTATATAGTTATAATATGATCATTAATCATCTGATATATGAATAACTATGATTAACATTTGTACTGGTTTTCATATCCACTTTTCTATCCCCATGTTTTGGGACATGGGGGAAACTCGTGCCTGGCCGGAATTCTGACAACGTCTCTGATCTTTGAAGGTTGATTTTCACAAGAAACATCCAGCAACCATGGCATCTAATCCCTTCCAACACAAAAACACCACCCAAAAAACCATGTTTTTTTGTCGGCAAGTTCTACTTGTATAGTTGGGACCTTACTACCAGGGGATGTTCCCAATTTTTGGGGCGCTGGGATTACATATCTGTTTCAATCTTCCCATCATCCAGTCCTTGTACATTTGCAGGTCAGGGTGGCAACCCATGCCCTTGCTGTCCATCCTTGGCAATGTGGTTATTTCACATGAAAAAGTGGTCAAATGGAAGGTTATCACAAGAAATAGATAAACAAAACATGGATATAAAAGGTACATTAAGTTAAAACATGTTAAAACATGTAACCTCCAAAGAGATTAAACAACAGGTTGAAAACCTGCAAGTTTCTTTGAGGATATCGTAGAATCGCTAGGGGATCCCGGGATCGGGGGCTGCATTCCAGTGGTCACCCATCAAACGTAGACCTGGCATAACTGGCGAGATATTTCCATTGATATTTCCATTGATATTTCCATTGATATTTCCATTGATATTTCCATTGATATTTCCATCATAGCTGGCATTAATACATATTAATACTACTGGATATACCATATTTCCATTCATATAGCTGGCATAGGATCTACTAGGATCTACTAGGCCCACTTAGCACGTGGCCCATTCTTCCCGTTTCTCAGACGTCCGGCCCGTACTCGCGTAGCTCGATGGGGAAGTCTGAGGGCCACATGGGTCCCTGCGGAGTCCAGGGATGGTTTTTTTTCCATGGAAAGAGTCATCTGAACATGGTGTGCTTTTACAATTATATATAAAATATAACATCTATAACATATGACATAATATGATACTATAATTAATTATATATATATTATATTGACATATAATATACTTATAGAAATGGAATATATTATATCATCAACAACATGATACTTGGATGTATGTGCACATGGGGGATAACCCAAACTTGCAATTATGATGGGAACAGTGATGATGAACAATTGGATTTTTGGGGAACCCTATTTTCAGACAAACCCATACGATCCCATTTGTGGGTTCAAAAACACATGCGAAATAAAACATATGATATATATATACACATATTATTAATATTATTATTATTGTTATTACTATTATTATCATATGCTTAGAACTACTAAAACTGCTAACCTCATAATTTTGTTGCGTTTCTGATTTTTTGGAGGTTGTGCATGCTTGAAGACGTCGGTGGAGGGTCCAAAACGATCAACCACGAATTTCTGGAGCAGTTTTTGGAAGCAGTTCCAGTAAGCCGCCTCCGCATTCACAGCTGACACCCACTGCCGGAACGGATCATTGCCTCAATAGCACGACAAATTTCAAATTGGTATAAGAGTTACAGTAAGTATAACCCTGTCTCAAAAATTCTCAAAATGCACGCAAGGAACTCAAAGAAGCACTTTGCATTTGGCTGCTTCATCCTTGCCGTAGATCAAATAACATATCTACATTTCGTGTTAATATCCATTCTGTGCAGCCACGCAGCCGTAGATCAGGCGGTACAAGCTGGAGTTCTGCGGAATCAAATCCATGATGTAACCTCTTCAGCCGAGCTAAAAACCGGGCAAGGCTCCAAGGCTCCAAGGCCGAACGCCTGACGGACAAGCGTGCGCCTCCGAGACGGTTCTTGCCATCGAGGTTGCAGTTGGCCTCAAGCAGGGGATAGGATTTGATATACCCCATAGGATCCATGTATGCTATATATGCTAACATTGGGAGTATATTGATGGTAAATGTTACCATATATAGCATACATGGATCCTATGGGTACCCAACTCTGATCCACATCATGGTTTGATAAATTTAGGATATCATGATTTATGTTGACGTATTTTCACATGCTGGTGCTTGATGTTGCGATTGTATGTTCATCTGAGAGAACCGGACCATTCAAGAAGGCCCAAAGTCAGCCAGTTCATGGAAGTTCTATTGACATCAAGACAATATCTTAGGCTGTAAGTGGCTTCCAGTAATTACTGTGGTAAACTCCATTTTCTCACAGAATTCAAATCGCAAGATTAGGTAATTATAGCATGGCTGATGGATCATCATTGGTTTGACCTGCTTAGCAGCAAAGATGTCCTTTTCCAATGCCAGCGAGAATTAACCGCTCATGGTAGAACTATGTATGGTTTGATGCAATAATTGGTTTCATCACAACGTAGTAGGCATAGAATCTGGCTGCAAATGAACCGTCCCGGCACAGTACAGGGCCATCATTGCATGATTATCGTGCGCATCATCGGTGGGGCCCAAACCATAATTTATCAATTATTGACAGAGTTAGATAAACTCCGCATGTGTTTGTTAACTTCCCCCTTGATCATCCTTGATCCATATTAGTATATGTTCCCTCTGGTTATTTGACATAACTATGGAAAATTGCCCATTTGTAGGATTTATGATGATTTATCATGATTTACTCATTCTGGTTGGTGGTTTCAATCCCTCTGAAAAATATGAAAGTCAGTTGGGATGATTCTTCCCAATATATGGGAAAATAAAATTCATGTTCCACACCACCAAGCAGAATTTATAATGTGTGATTTTCCATAGCTATGTCACAAATTACCCGAGGGATCCCGAGGGTATATTGTCCTCACTTTTGACGGAGTTAACCTCCACATTTGCTAAAGAAACCACCAAAAAATAACATCATATTCCCATATACCCTCTGGCAAACTAACATAATCATTGAAATTCACCACTTTTAAGAGGGAAATAAACTTAACAATCTTAACAAGGGCCATTTTCAATAGCTATGTAAGTTTACCGGAGGGTATTCCCTATAGCTTCCCCAAGTGGTGGGTTTCCCATTGGTAAAAACAAGAAATCATCCTCAGTACCATGATATTCCCATGGATTTCCATATATTTCCCTATAGCTTCCCCATCCACTATAGGTTCCTCAGCAGTTCTCAAGTGCAATCATGATAACCCAACGCGTTCCACGCGGCACCTCGATATCAGTGGAACGCCACAAGCGCTGGGTCTCTTCCTGGTGTTGATTGTGATGTGAGTCCCACAGGGTAATCTAAAGACAAGAAAAGACAACTATTGATATCCCAAAGTTGGGTCACATAGAGTTTATGGATGTTTTTATGGTACTTTTGTGGTACTTAAGTTTACTCATCCCACTGACTCAGTAGCTTAGCTCACCAGTAGCTCACAGCGAACATCTACCTACTCATCCCAAAACCAGGGATATATATATATATAGAACCATAGTTACTCATTCGTGGCTAGTTCGGCAACAAGTAATCGACAGAACAATCCAAGTAACGGTGGATAATCCCTGAAACCTCCACATATTTTGGGTTGAAGATTCCCAAGTGTTTCTTTTGGGGAACAACATGGTGTTAAACATCCCTGGTTGGTGGTTTGAGCCCTACCCCTCTGAAAAATCATGGAGTGAAAGTCAGTTGGGATGTGCTGACATTCCCAATATGATGGGAAAGTCATAAAATTCAATGGTTTCAAACCACCAACCAGATATGAGAAAGCTTGTCTTTGTAATTCCATCCTCCAAATGTTGAAGATCCCCAAATGGACACCGGAATGAATACAGCTAAATCCAATACCAAGAAAGGATGGGACAACTTCCACGCTTTCACCGATAGTCAATGAGTCATTGAGTCAATAATCGCCGTGCAACCCCGTTGCAGCCGTTGACCGAAACATTCTTCATCATCCAAGCGAGCATGGAAAAAGAAGAACTGATTAAAAACTACCAACCATCCACATATTTCAAGAAAAAATATCCACAAATATCTGCATATGATAAACTCATTCTAGTATTACAGTGTTGCAAATAAATTGTCATAGGTTTGCCTAGTTGTGTAACTAAACAATACGTACACGAATACCCAAGTTTTGGTCATGATTCATAAAATCATCCCAGTCATGAACAGCCACGAATCAGTTTCTTAAAAACAATGAACCTCTACCATCATCCGAAACTTTGCAGTAATGGTTACAATTACAATCATCATCAACCATCATCAACCATCATCTGGTTGGTGGTTTCAACCCCTCTGAAAAATATTAGTCAGTTGGGATGATTATTCCCAATATATGGAAATTCATAAAATTCAATGGTTTCAAACCACCAACCAGATCATCAATCATCCCAGTTTTGCAAACGATTCCCAATCTGAGCCAGTAAAGATACCCCTATTCCATCTCATCATGTTGGTTGATAGGTTTCCCTACTATGGTTTCACAAAAAAACATCACCGATATTCCGAGTAGTACAACTGCTTTTAACAAAAAAACATCAACCAGGATAATTTACTGTGGTTTGCCATAATCATCAATATTCCCAGTAGTATAACTCCCTATTAAAAATTAATGGTTATAACCCAAGCCATAAAGTCATATTAGTACTTCGATATCAACCAATAGCCATAGTAATTGATGCTTATTACAAATATATCGATGATTATTACAAACCATATCAATAACCAATGAAAAATAACCATAGTAATACTCCTATTCAAAACCTCAAGCACAGCCAAACATTTCAATGGCTTTCCCTATGAAAGTCATGGCGCCTTGATGGCTGCGAAAGTGGGCACGTCGAAGAAGTCTTCGGCGTAGATGATGTGATCGTTCGCCTGGAGACGGAAACGGAAAGCGGCGCTTGCGTGGCGCTTGCGCCTGGTGAGGAAACAGCAACCAAAACCATAGGAAAATGGGGATTGAAGGAAAAACATGGTGATTTTATGGGATCTATAGCCGGTTTGAAAATGAGGTACATCATCAAATAATTCTTTTAATGGGAAATATGGTGATAAACCATGAATTTTTGGGTTACCCTGTTCTCAAACAAACCCAAATGGTGATTTCACCCACCAAAAATGGGGACTTCCTATGGAAAATTGGGATTTGTAGTTGATGCACATGACTCGGTTGATTTCTGGGTTGATTAGGGGGACATAACGAACTAGTTAATGGTTGAAACTAAACCAACAGACATCACTGGGGGACTTCCCCTTGAAGGTTTCAGGAGATTGTTTTTTGTATATGTGCTAGGGTCAAAACATGGTATACGGTCTATAGTCATCCATCCTGCAATGGGAATCCTTACAATGGTCCATATATATAGATATGTATACACATGTAAATCAGAGGACCAACAAAACACTGAGATTCATGTATATATATATACATTTTACTACATTTATGTAGATTTATAGATGTATTTAATCTCATATATGTACGTACGTTTCAGGATGTTTTTTGGTAAATGAAGGTTCTCTTCATATTACCAAGCTTTGTTAGGTCTAGATCTTTCAGGGACATTTTCTGTCAACACCAACCACAGCAACATGGGTGGCAAAGATTCTATGTAATGAACCAGCTATCCCCATTCTTAATGGTGAAATGACCCGATTCCTGGTGAAGCTCCCACTGACTACTGCTTGTTCTTCTCATACTATTACTAGATTTGTGATATCATCATACTTAACTCCCACTTCTATTTATACTGCAGTACCCCCAAAAAAAAAGATGCCGAACAGTATTTCCAGGATGCTAGTTGCTAGTTCGACGATATTTTTTCCCACATTTTGCGGGTTCCCAACTTCTGGCATATATATATATATACAGTATATATTATTAAGTATTATATATATATGGGATTATGGGGGTAGTTTCCCAAAATGGTGGTATCCCGTAGTATCCCCCCAGCTATTCAGGAAACCTATGGAAAGCTCCATTGAAAATCTCCAGCATGTTGGCTCCTCAGCTTCCAATTCACCCAATGCCCCCATCTCAATCTAGTCTCGCGAGTCGGCCTTGAAGATCTTTGCTTTCTCGTCTAGGCCTGGTCCAGAAATGCCGGGAAAAACGGTGAAAAACAGTTACCATTGCCGAGTTACCCTCTGGTTATTTAACATAGCCATGGAAAGATCCACCATTTTCAATAGGTGAACTGTGAACCATCTATTTCTATGGGCCATCTATACCATGGCAAACTGTTAGTCATAACCAGAGGGTAACACAGACATTAACTATCAGATGTACCTAACTCCTGGACTAAGCATGGTGACCAGGGTGCTCGAACCCCAAATCAAAGCCAACCACGCTCTTAGATCCAAAGGGCAGCAAGGGATGTAGAGATTCTCTACCATACATTTTCTACCCTCTGGTAAACTAAGATAGCTATATAGAAAATCACCATGCTTTTAATAGGAAAATCAACTATAAATGGCAATTTTCAAAAGCTATGTTAAATTACGGGCAGGACTGAGGGTTGTCCCGGAATGGTCGTATGAACGTGAGTGGGAGGCTCATTTCTCTGCGCAGGTGCAGTGTTTTATGACTCTGGTACATCTGTGAGTTAGCGTGGTCTAAGACAATTTTTTGGAAAAATCAGTCAGAAAAGTGAACCCTCTGCGGACTTCAGGCGTTTCGGCCATTTCCACTTTTTCAATCTTTTCGACTTTTTTGGCGAGTCCGGATTTTATAACTTATGTAAACCCTAAATGAAACACCTAATAGAAGTATGCTTATATGTTCCATGGGGCCGGGGGATTTTATAACTTATGTCCTATATGAAACCCCTTATAGGAGGTATGCGTATATGTTCCATGGGGCCGGGAGATTATGACAAGGACATGTTATGACAAGGAAATCCCCTAGCACTGGAATGGTGGAACCAATGGGTTGCTAGCTCCGCTCTCGGGTATGGCCCTCCGGGCCATACCCTCGTCCTGTGGGTTAAATTACCAGAGGGTAACTCCCATGTACATCTGCGCCGGAACTTGCCGAACATTTGAATTTCGGCAGGCCTCATTCGGCAGGCATAATTAATGTTGTGTCAGCCGGTCATACCTTTTTTCAGCCAGTCCCATACCCAACATTTGCCCAACATCACCTCCCGGATCAGGTAGATATCATGTAAACCATCACCAAATTTACCACAAATGGGAGGTTTTAAGTTTAAACTTTGGTATAAACCATCGACCCATATGGGTGGTTTGTTTGTGCTATACTCTATAAATATCTATAAATACTACCAGGTCATCTGGGCGTCAATTGACCACCTTTCAATCCGTCCTCCAGCTGCCTGTGAGTGTCTTCGTCGACACTCCTGGAGAGAACGTCGACTTCGTCTCCTGAAGGTACTCACGACATGGCGATCCGCCGAAATCCACTTCGTCTCATGCGGAAGGGAACAAGGATTGAGATTTAGGCCACATAAAAATTGAGAACTTCAACCAACACAATATACAAAGATCATCTTGAACACCATTGATTTTGGCCAACAAACTCTCCGATTGAATCAGAAAGACTCAGGAAGTTTTGCGCACCGGTGGCGTCGAAGGTGGTAGCACGCCAATGGAAACCTGGCGCCAAGTATTATTCAACCCACCCACCACCCAGTCAGGTGACCCTCACAATAATAAAGGTTGTATGAAGGGTGAATCTTAACCATCCAAGACTGGTTGGTGGTTTCAACCTACTCTGAAAAATCATGGAGGGAAAGTCAGTTGGGCTGTGCTGACATTCCCAATATGATGGGAAAGTCTTAAAATTCCATGGTTCCAAACCACCAATCCGAAGAGTGTTTGGACTGGACTTATGGTTTTGGGAGAATGTGAACCAACATCCACTGATCTGGATCCGGAGAATCTGAACTTTGGGGGGGTCAACATGGGTCAACTTTTAGAGCCATATCAAGATGTGCATTGAAACCACATAGCCAACTTATGCCAACATATTATCCAACATGGCATAATAGTTGAGATTCTATATAAAAAACAACATGCAACCATAGAATCAAACAATATTGTAAGGACATAGATCAATGACATCAAAAAACAGCATGAAACAATGACATCTCAAGAATATGTATAACTTGTAACCTTCATCTCTTATCTATCAGAATTAATCATAATTCACCAACCTGAAAAGTTCGGCCATTTGGGGCCTCCAGCTCACCTTGTTTGAGCACCAGAGGCTATTCCCATCATTTACAGTAGATCTCATGAAATCACCATTAAATCCCATTCTATCCCATAAAATCACTATTACATCACTATATCAAATCATATCAATCACTATTAAATTACTATTAAATCACTACGAAATCACTATGAAATCCCATAGAATCACCATTTCCCCATCATTTTCCCAGCAAAAATGAGGTAATCTTATACCCTCCTATCCGATCACACCTCGGCTGCCTTCAAGGTTGATCGCGCATCGTATAAGGCTGCCTGGACGAGGGAGGGATCAATAAGATATAGGATATATATATATATATATCAATGGATGAGTTTAAGGAAAAACCTTAACCGGAAACCATACTCTATCATAGATTTCCCCATGTTTTATATGGGATTATATGGGGCTTTCCGGTCAAATTTCTCTTAAGCCAATCCATTGAAAATAGCCTAATATAGTTGTACTATGACTATGGGTGATATGATCATTTACTAGGCTCATTAGGTATAGCTATAGTCAGATACATCAACCATAAATGAATGGACATGTCAGGAGCCGATTTATTGAAGGTACCTAGCATATATATATATAAATATGGCTCTTATTTTAGGGCTATGAGGGAATATCCCAACAAAATATTAGCCTTTTGTGGTACAGTACCTCCAGGTTAGGATCTAAACAAAATCCCGAGGGGATATATCATAGGAATATAGTGGGAATATTTCAGGGGATATGATGGGATTTTGTTTTGCATGTGCCAAAAAATCCAATATGGGTATATACCCAACTAATTATATCATACATCCACTGTGGGTCTGTCTGAAAATGACAAATTAAGCAAAAATGGGTGCCTTACATTCAAACAAGTCCGTACAGGATGGATTCCATGCTTGGTCGTTTGATTACACAGTGAACCCCGCAACAAATACCAGATAAGCATAAATCATGAATGTGTTGGCACCAGCCACGAGTTATGGAATTCATTGTACAAAACACGTCAAAGCCATGTAGTTTTCAGAACATCTGAGGTTGTCCTCATCTTGAGTTACCTTCGCTAATGAAACATGGCTGGTTGGGAAATCCCCAAAGTAAATGGCGATTTCAATTGTTATTATAATCCCATTGATATTCAAAAAAAGATGGGAATTGTAAAGGATTTTCCCATTAGAACAGCATTTACCGTGGATTTTCCATATAGCATGGACTTCATTGCCGCGACGGTAGCGACTTCCCTTCATCTCCCTCGAAATCTCCCACCTGCAAGGGGAATCCCGTGGGCTTGGCAGGTAAGTCCAGATGACTGGCCTTCCACGAGTCCATGGGTCAGTCCATGATAGTCAAGGCTTGGGATATGTTGGGATGTTGGGATGATGGGTTGAAATTTTGATTCAAAGTAAAATTCCAATGATCATAGGGATTTAAAGCCCAAAATCTATGGGATACTATGGGGAATTTCACCGTTTCAAAATACTTTAGGATCATGGATGATGTGGTTTTTACATGTTTTTACCCAATAGTACCCTCTGGTAAACTAACATAGCCATTGAAAATGGCCATTTATAGTGAGTTTTCCCATTCAAAATGGTGATTTTCCATACTTATGTTAGTTTACCAGAGGGTAAGCCATAGCCAATAGATGGGTCAATTCTTGGGCACCAACACTGGGATGATCTTTCACAGACGCCTCGATCTGATCGCAACTGGAGGCTCACGGTAATACTGCTTGGTGGGAGAAACCTACCCCTCTGAAAAATATCATATAGTCAGTTGGGATTATGACATTCCCAACTGAATGGAAAAATATAAAATTCATGGTTCCAAACCACCAACCAGGATATTATCTTGAGAGTTTGTTAGGCATCCTTATGATTTTTACCCTCCAACAACAGGGCCTTGACTTATGGCCAACCATAGAGCTTGATAGGGTGACATTGCATGGCTTCAACAGAGGTCAGGATCACCTGATCATTTTGGTGTCGTTTCGTGCCATCATGTCATCAAGTGTTTACGTGTTTTCAACCATAGCTACCATAGCTCACTGACAGTAGAACCCTCTGGAAAGATGTCACCAAAATGTCACACCAACTTCTTCCAGCTTCGGTCATTTTGGGATACCCTTTGGTTATGTCAAAATAACTATTGAACATGACCATAGAAATAGTGGATTTACCTATGAAAGATGGTGATTTTCCATGGTTTTTTGTACGTTTACCGAACCTCAATTCGTCGCTCCGGTTGCCGCTGAACCCCATTGCGCTTCGGGAATATGGATGACCACGGCAAAACGCCCACCGCTCCCTCCGTGAAAACCAGTAGATACTTGGTGGCTCATCCCACTAAGTAGGATAGATAGTGGTAAAACTATAAGTAGATACTGAGTGGGAAAAGTACTTTTCATACCCAGTAGTAGATACTTGGTGGCTCCCACTATATACTTGTTACCAACTTACTAAGTAGGATGAGGCGCCAAGTAGTGAAAAAGATTGCTCCGGAACGCCAAGTCACTGCAAAGGCAACGGCTTTCAAGAGTTCCAATTGAGGTGCCTCCAAGGTCCAAGGGCCGAGAGTGAACCGCTGCTTTCAGGTGGTGGGCATCTCTGAAAAAGTGGGGAAATTGACACCCATGTACAACTCGTTTGAGAGGAAACATATGATGAACTATGATGACACAGTGAAATATATGATGAAATATATTATGATATATATATATATATAAAATATGAAATATATGATGACATATGTGATGCTCATGAAATACATGATGAAACACCTGATGAAATATGATTATATATCACAACCAGTGGATTTAGATGGATTTGGGCTTTGGAGTTGTACCCGTGAGTTTTCTGGACAACGCCCGGCATTTGGCCTTCAGTGAGACCTACTAGCACCTATAAGCAAATGGCCAGAGGCCAAAGGCCTGTGAAAACAGCTACACCCCGACAATGCATTGTTTTTTCTCTGTGATCGAGTTGGAAACCAATAAGTTAAAAGGTGATAAAGAAGGCCCCGTTCCAACTCCCCGAAACTATTTCGTCCTATTTCTATCTATTTCTATAAATCATTTCTAATATATATATATATATATATATGAGCCCGGTCCCCGGACCCCACACCCCCCCTCCCCCCCCAATGGTATCCCCCCCCACTCCTAACCCCCCCACCCCCCCAAAACCTAGTATTTGCATGTTATTTGCACATATACATACACATATACACATATATACTCCCCTTTCCACCCCTCCAACCTCGCATCTCTACGTTATTTGCAGCACTTGAGAGCCACGACCTCGTCAACGGACCTTGTCTACCTGTATATTTCTATCATAACCTTTTTTTCGAACCGCCTATAGCGTGCCTCGCACATGGTTTACAACATATTTGCTACCTATGGATTACGCAAAGCTTACCTATGCAAACCTAGACATATGTACAGTAGAAAAACAATAAATACATATATATATGCACATTCTAGATACTACAGATTGTTATCTTGATCTTGTATCTATCACATATTTCGTTTACATTGTACATACTGTACACGTATATATATATATATGTATATATATATATATATATGCATATATATATATATATATACATAAACTCTAGATATACAGCGTGTATTGCTGTCGATATTCAATATACCACATATACTATGTAAAATTTATTCAACGAACATATTTACCTATATTGTATATATTACATCTACTGTGGATACAGTACATGTGGCATATACTATCTATATTCTATCAAAAACCACATATACGATGTATTTATATATATATATGTATGTATGTTCAATATATATATATATATGTCAAATATATATATATATATGTATATGTCAAATATATATATATTATAAATATATATATATAGATTGCATATATTCTATTTATATCTTACATTATATATATATGTCTATATATATATATTCACTACACATACACTCTATATTACATATAGTATATCCATTCTAATTATCGATACACATGCATTATATGCACTATAAAGACTACATACACCATGGCTTGGCTGCTGAGAAAACCCCCCCTCCCCTGCCACAGGGGGGGGGGGAACCATCTGGCTGGGTGGGGGGGGGGTGTGGGGGTCCCTGCTCATATATACATATTATTATATTATATTACATAACAAGGCCATATAAGGCCCATTAAATAATTAAATAATTCTTCTTTTGGTGATGTTGGACCTCAGGTCAAAATCCATGATTCGATACACGCCATCTGTTGATGTGGGCTTTGGTGACGTTGGACTCCATGGATTTTGGAAGCAGCCCCGATACCCAGATGCTCCATGGTGCTGGAAGATTGATCTACAAAACTGGGCCATTTCTAAGGGGTCAATGTAGGTAAATGTTCCAGCACCATGGAGCATCTGGGATACCGAAAAGTCGAAAAGTGGCAAACTTGGTATGTGGCAAATATATGTAAATATCACGAACAAACATCCTGGAATATGTGTTCGGTATCTTTTTCAGGGGTTACTATAAATTATAGTGAAGGACCATAATTGTCGGGCCCCCCGCAACTTATGGAAGTTCAGTCATCCCACAATTATACCCATTATATAAATCGTAAATTTATAGTTATTCGCATAGTTATTCCCATAATATAAGATATAATAAGTGGTAATGTTCTAGTTATTCCATGTTATTCCCATAGTTTTTTTTTCCCAAGTTCTGTTGCTGAACTCCCAGTTCTCACTCCCTTCCCTCCAGGTCATCGCCTTCAGCGTGGCTGTCGCCCCCAGTGGCACGCTGGCCGTGAGCCCACGGTGCCAGGCCCAAGGGAGGGGCCATGAAGCCTGGGAGAAGGCTCAACATTTTGACTGTGGATGACTATCCTTAGGAAATTATCCATTTGCCTAGTTAGTAATTATAACTCAATAGTTAATGGATGATTTGATCCAATTATTAATAGTAAATGGATGATCAATTGTTAACTATCCTAGTTAGTAATTATGATCATCCATTTACTGTCAATAGTTCATTAATGGCGATGATTAATGGATACTGGTGAATGGTTCATCATGGTGAAATGGCCATTGGTCCCTACTAGAATGGCCTAATCTGGAATATATACCCCAACATATATAGCACTTATATATAGTACGGGTGAAAATTGGGTACATACATACACTATCATATACTTGTCAAAATTTTAGTGAACCTAAAAACGGATGATTCATATATATATATATAACCATGACCAAAATCTATGGTTGGGTCTGAAATTTGAACCCATATGAACCCATAACTATATCAAAAGTGTCTTTGGCTCCTTACTGGCAAAACTGTTTGAGTACTGTAACATTACTTTGTAAAGCTTCCATGTTCTGGCAGGATTGAAGCCATGTTGTTTCCAAACAAAAAACATCAAAAACTATATTTCCAATGCATTTGGAATACGGATGAATACGGTACCTCCAAAGTGGTTTATCATAACCTTGCCTATCAAAGTAAGCATTCTTGGGGGTATACTCAGCAGTACCCATCTTCAGTCGCCAAATGTCGCCAGTTTCCAGCTGCGGCCCAACAGCAGCCAGCACACCTCATCACTGAAGTACAAAGCCGTCAGGTTCGCGGCCACCGCCTGGCCACTGTTGACTCGGCGACTACTGATCCCTTGTGAAGTTAGTTGAACTTTCAGTGGGATGAATAAGGTACCCTCTGGTAAACTAACATAACTATGGAAAATCACTATTCTTAATTAAATAATTAGTGGGAAAATCAACTATAAATGGCCCATTTTCAATAGCCATGTTTGTTTACCAAAGGGTAAACCATGGTAAATCAATCTAATCTCAAAAATGCAAAAACAAAAAATCCGAAGTGCGTGGCTGCGTGGCTACAATCCAGGTAGTTCAGAGATCGTATCATGTCGTGTAATGTGGTAAATCGAATAGACAATTATCTCCAAAATCACCAGAAATGGGTGGTATAAACCATCCGGATGTCCAACAAAACATTCTGAGCTTGATGAGAGTAAGAAAGGGAATCCAAAATGTTACATAGTCATGTGTAATAACTTATACTATTAAATATATGATTGTAATAATAATGTATTTATATCATGTTATATCCATATTATAGAATGTAACTTACTAATTAATTTAGAAAGAGGCATAACGTCGAATGACGACACATTTACTTGCTGAAAGTCCAACACAGTCACATGTGCTGCAAACTGGATTCCTTGTCAAGTTCCCCCATAACCCCAAAGGCATCCAACTGGTTTCACGATCTCCATTGTCTTGGATCAACATCCAAAAATCATCAAATTTTGATTTTGGCGAAAGTAGATCTTCATGACTCCTTTCCATTTCCTATTTTTGGTCCTGTTTCTTAGAACAACTGCTTGCATCGGACGAGTTTGCCCTGTTCCCCTGTCCTCCTTTCGGGGCAAGGAAACGCACGCGATGCCCGCTTGCAACGTTGCTGCCACTGCCTCCTGAGTTTGGGTGCGGGATCGCTCCCCAGGTTTCAGAGGGATCGATCCATGACTACTCCGAAAAACCATCCCGACCGGAGACCGGGTGGCAAATCTATAATGGCTTATAAAGCAAACAAGAAAACAAACCAGCACAGGATCATCCGTACAATCCCTGACACAAAAAAAACATTCAATCAATTGTAATTTATCAAGTCCCCACATATTTGATCGATAAACGACCATTATTGATGGTTCTTAATCAGATCAACGGGTATTATCTGTTCATGGCTTAGGTAGTTGATGGTTTAAATTCCCACTACATCCCAGTTAAGTTCCCATTCAAACCCATGAAAATCCGTTAAATTCCCATTATGTTGCTATTAAATTCCCATTAAAACCCATGAATTTCCACCAAGTTCCCATTAAACCCCTAGTACATTCCCATTAAATTACATAAACAAAACCCATTAAATCCCATTAAATAACACTTAAGTTTCCATTAAAACCCATTAAATCACATTTGAATTTCCATGAAATCCTATAGAATCCCACTAAATTATAATAAAACCCACTAAAACCCATTATATAAATACCAATGAATTCTCCCCTTACCCAAATTCCGTTAAGTTCCCATTCAGCTACAGGAGCTTCCCCTCCGTCGTTTATAAAACATTCGCCATCGCCTCGTTCGCTGGTCGCAGAAAATCATCGCTGGTGAGCCAAGCCGTTGGCTTTGGAGAACGGTCCAACAATTTCTTGGCCACCGCGGGGGTGCTCACCTGGAAATTCACATCATGAATCTATGATAGGAAAAAAATGGATGATTTGTCTATGTTTACCTATGAAAATTGAGATAGGGGAGCTAAATAACAATGTTAGTTTATCTATGATAGAATTAATAAAAATCATCATATGATTGTTGAATGATATCTAGTGATTTAATGGAATGTATCTATGATTCATATCACATGATTATTGGGATTATGAATGGGATTAATTTCATAGAGATGAATGGGATAAATAATGGGATATCTACAACAGTACTGGGATAGCTAATGATCCATTGAACATTTTCATGAATTTAGTGGTAAATTAGTAATGGGATAATTAGATGGAATATTGGGAAACTGCTGGGATATACTAAGCTAGTTTGGTTACTTAAGTTTTATGGGATATGGATATATCTGGATCAACTGTATGAACTGGAATTTTTGATGGGTGGAATCCATCTAATTATGCCATATATACTTATATAACTCAAATTTTGATTAATGGGATATCTATATATTCTTATGACCGTAGATATCAAACCGGATTATGCTAATGGGATACGTACACAACAATCTAATCATGAAGGAAATCAACACATAGAAAGAACCTCCATGATGTCCGAAATATGGAGGTTTCCTGAAATGGAGGTACCCCTAAATCATCCAAGCCATTAGACCCTGACTTAGTATTGAAACCTATGGTCACTTGGGGATCCCCCTTTTTTTTCGGAAATCTCTATGCATCTTTAGTACACGTTACAAACAAACTGGAGTGTTCACCCAGGAAAAGCACCCTACAAGCAGGCAAAATGTGGGCCCCCAAAATAGTGATTTCACCAACCAAAATGGGTGGATCTAGAGTTGATTTATGCTAGTAAAGTTGGTGAACACAACTTGTTTAATTGTTGGGTTTATGGGGCATATATAACTAGAGCTCATGGGGTGAAACTCAACCAACTTATAACTGGGAGTACCCTCATGACTTAGGAAACCTCCATATAGTTCTATCCGATATGATCCATTGTAAACCCCAGTTAAGCATAGTTAAGCTATAAACCAACTTAGCTATCGATCTGAGTATCCCCGTTATATATCAAGTTAGTGACATACCCAATTATACCCCCATTCTATCCACGTTACATTGTTTGAACCTATCAACAAGGTGGGCCCCGCAAATTATCCAAGTCATTGGACCATGACCTAGTATTGAAACCCATGGTGAATTGGGGATCCCCCATTTGAGAAACCCTCACATAGTTAGATTGGGTTCTAAACATCTAAACCATCTTAAAGTATGCCAAACCGAAATAGATCACAGTGATTCATTAACGGCTCAGAAGGAAAACAAGGGCCGCTGACCCAGCTGGCATGCCACCAAAAACCATCTTATAACTGGAAAAAAACAGCTTCCTGCAGGAATCATCCATGGTTTTCTGTTCACCCCAGATTCAGTATGGTAAGCAGTCAACCAGTTCAGTGATAACTATGGTTTACTTAACGTGGTAGACCCATGAACCGCCCCCAAAATCACCATAAATGGGTGGTATAAACCATCCCGAAATGATGAGTTTATGATTGGGTTATAACTGTTATAACCACATTACTGGCGGCTGGGTGATGACACCCACTTACGATGTGAGTCACTAAGGTACGTGGCGTCCGAACGAGCTAGGAATTTATGAATCAATTTCCATTGGTTCTCTTGAAACAAAGTTGAATAGGGCTTTCCTGAAGATTTTCTCTCAAACCAGCGGTCTGGGGGATATTTCTCAGGGCCATGTCGGTGAAACATCTGCGCAGTTTTCACCATGGTTTTTGCTGGACTCTTACCGTACTATCATGTCATTTTCTTCTCTTGGATAAACACAAAGTCTCAGGTATGGCTGAAAAACCATCCCAGCCGCCGATATTGGATTGAAAACTAAAAGACAACAACACGGAAAAAGAACGGTTTCCAAGGGGGTAATTACAGTATTCATATTGAAATCATACTATATAAAGGGAAGGGATTGATGTTGGCAACCCAATAATCACCACAATAAACCTACCATGTGGGGATGGCCTATAGTTTATACATGTTTATACCATGGCTCGGGTCGATCCCACTTTAAAAAGGTCCGAATTGGTCCGATGAATGGATCGATGAATGGTGAGAAAAATCCCATCCACGGCACCTCGGCGTGAATGCCGTAGTCCCAGCTTCGAGTCTTTCCGAGCATCTTCTGTGTACCAGGCCAGAATTGTTTCCTGCACAGCTGACTGAGAAAATCAAGGAGCGTATGCCTATAGGTTTCCTATATGGAATGGGGGATCCCCAAGTGACCAGTCAGGTTTCAATACGAAGTCATGGTCATCCATGACTTGGATGATTTTGGGGTACCACCATTTTAGGAACCCCCCAAATATATTCACTCAGGATTGAGCTTGCCAATGGGATCTAATGGGATCTAATGGGATCTAATGGGATCTACCCAAACAGATGTGAACTGGCCAACAAATCATGGTGAAATTGATGAAGCACCAGAATTTGGGTACCCTTTTTTTGGACAAAGCCATGACTAAACTCATGCCTGGCTCGCTCCCTGGAGAGCTCCAACACTTTCCCAGCTTTTGGAGCCTAACACCACCATTTCTGATGCTTATCGTTGTTGGTTAAGAGTTATAAACATCAGCAACTCATATAACTTATGACCAACGACCATATGATTTTCATGGATTTTCCACCTACCCTCTTGTCATGTCAGATAGCAATGGAAAACCACAATCTGTCATAGGATTTAATAGGTAAATCATCTACCAACTGGCCGCTTTCCATAGCTATGTTACATAGATTGCCAGAAGGTAAGGTTCACCATAACATTCAATAATCAACCGAATTACCATCGTCATAGCGAACCAGCTAACCAGATATGACAACATTTACTCAATTATGTGTATATATATAAGTATAATATTTATATATATATATAATTATGTATATATATATAAGTTATCTAACTATTAATGCAATGTTGATCTCATTTACCACGTTTGTGGATCCCGCAGCCGACAACGCTGCGGCGAAGCCGGTCTTGAAGGCAGCATATGGCATCCACACCAGGCCGATCGTCAAGCCAACGGCCTCATCGTGGGATATATGTTGATAGTCTAGGTAGCATATATGGATGTATTAACTAATACACCCATAAAGATGAAATAATATGGCTACATCATGGGATTTTTCATAAGACAGTATATGGTATACTTAACAAAATTATCATATGTATATATAAAAATAATTATGTATATATATATAATACCCCAAGACTACATTTTGCTTCACCCAATAAAAGCCGAAGCAAACATATGGCTATGGATGAGAATTTGGGAACCAATGGAGCCACACAATTAGTCCTGTTTCTTCGCTTCCCATCCCAAAATGGATCATTTTGAGCCAAACCCACGGCTTGAGAGACCCATAAAATGAATACAAGAAGGTAACTTCAATTTGGTTCGAAAGCATTTTCCAATCTAGACCTTGAGTACTCGATTGTCCAAAGGGCCCATTTCACATTGTTGCTCTGAGAAGTGGTAGAAGCGAATGATCAAGAGTTCATACATTCTGGTCAAACTGACAATTTAACACAACATAATCCATCGATGTGATCAGCCGCTTCCCTTACCGCGCCATGCTCGATGCATAAGACCCCCACTTAAATTGATGCATAAGACATCATAAGACTACTGAAATACACACCTGGAAGTGTGAATTATTCTAGGCCTAGCTATGATGAAGTATCAAAGTAGTCGGACCGTTGGTTCCATCATGTTCCATCATTAAAAATCATCTTTGTTACCCGGCCTGGTAAACGTACAAAAAACTATGGAAAGATCCACCATGTTTTCTAGGGGAAAATCCACTATAAATGGGCCATGTTCAATAGCTATGTAACAAATTACCAGAGGGTAATGCTTGTTGATGTGAATTCTAGTAAACATCCCCATTATGATGTTCTTGGCTCTCCTGAAAAAAATCCATCCGCCTCCCAGGTTTTTGTTGGAGTCATCTGCATAAATGATGTTTTCTCCAGACTCTAACTCAAGGCAGCATGATTCCCGCCAACTTCCTTAAACACAATGGATATACAGTATATACACAAATAAATGAAGTACTTCACTGGAAAGGTCCGCCATTTGCGGAAGGATTCTCAAATTTTGCAGTCATTCTTTTTTTGGGCTGGCCATCATTTTTTCGGTGCCATCATTTTAGCCCTGGCAGGCTTTTTGGTCAAATCCAAGCATATTGATCCAACAAATGGGGCATCAGCGGCATCAGCCTCTTCGGCCCCCACCTTTTGGATGTCGCGGATGTAGTCCTCCATCAGCTTCGCGATTCTCTCCGGCTTCATCGCCTCACGATGCTCCCGTCGGGCGTTTGGGTCACCGTTAAATGAGGTGGCTGAAATCCCAACAGGTTTTGGTCAAACTTGGGATCTACCATCTGGTTATGTCAAAATTGCTTACTGGAAAATCCATGATAAATATTGACAACTGGAGCTTTTAATGGGAACATCATCTGTAAATGGGCCATTTTCCGCTATGATAAATAATCAGAGTGTAAACATGGTGATCCTCTGATATCCGAAATAAGGTGGTCGGACTCGAAGTTGAAGCTCCGAATCACACCCTGACTCAGAAGCTACTCAGATCAGCAGGTGAACATTTAAATTCGAATGGTAGATTTCACATTCCCGCTCCAGCTCAAAGGTACGTGTCTCCCTCAAAAAAATTGTTTTGCCCTAGATTTAGTATATTATATGCTTGGGATTGCATAGGTATATATATATATATATGATGAAGCTCAAAGCTACCTTGCTGGCTCACTGCCTCCTTGCTAGCTCAAAGCTCAAAGCTACCTTGCTGGCTCAGTGCCACGTAGCTGGCTCAGTGCCACGTAGCTGGCTCAATGCCACGTAGCTGGCTCAGCGCCTCGTAGCTGGCTCAGCGCCACGTAGCTGGCTCAATTTTTTTTAAAAAAAAACTCGCAGAAATTGAGCCGGCTACATGCCCTTGAGCCGGCTCGCCAATGCGTCATGAACCCGGCCAATACAGTACATAGTTAGTATTCGTTTTGATGCTCTCACATTCGTCCGCCAGCTCAACGTGACGTAGCTGGCTCAATTTTTTTGGTGAGTTTTTTTTTTCGTTTTTTTTTTTCGTTGAAAAAATTGAGCCAGCTCGATGCCATTGAGCTAGCTCGATGCCCCTGAGCTAGAGCGATGTGTTTGAGCGAGCTCGATGGTGCTGAGCCAGCTCGTTGCAGTTGAGCGAGTTCGCAGGAATTTCCCAATGTGTTAAATTGCCAGGTTCAGTCTCCACTGATTACTTTAGTACTAGATATGGTACCTCTGAAAAAGCCCAAGGTGACTGTCAAAACATACCCCTGATGAAATTGAGCCAGCTACATGTTTTGAGCTAGCTCGAAAAAATGGAAGATTGTAAATTCCACCATTCAATAAATACATTTAACACATGTGATGAATACCGGGGAAAAAGGTGAGACATGGGCCACAAAGAGATCCACCCTTGACTCAATGACGATGGAACCAAACTCAAAGGACTAAAAACTCCCTGGACATCAATCAAAACCATGGGAGCAAGCACACAAAGTCAGCAAAAAATCAAGAAGCCATCTTCCAAAATCCTCAAATATAAAAATTCATAGAAACATATATATATATATATTATATATATTATAGAAACTTTAACTCCTCACATTTCAAGAGAATCCAACTCACCAACCCCTTATGCTCTTCCCATCCCTTTCCTCCCGGACCACCGCACCTCTGGACCGGGCCCAGCAGCCTCCAACAGCTCGCCCGGCAGCGACACGGAGACGAAGAGCTTGGGCAGACCAGTCGCCGCCACCAGCGCGTCCCGGATCTTCTTTAAGGTCTCCTCCATGGGCTGGGAGGTCCCAACTGGCTCGAAACTGGTTGGACAAAAATGGGGTGAAGTCATGAATTGAGGTTGAAAAGAGAAGAAAACGGATGGGATTTCTGGTATGATTTTTTTGAGTTTGGAGAAATCGTTTTGGTGGGGCCACAGAATTGTGGTACACACGTGTTTCTTGAGAGGCATTCAAGATAATTCCCAAACATGGGCAAATGCGTCGCTTATGTTAAGCCCAAAGTGATAAAATGGTGTAGATGGTGTATCGACTATGGAGTCTACCAACTTAACACTCCTCCATGGGCATACTCCTCAACCAAAAATGATTTTAGCCCTTTGAGCCTATCACTCTCTCTCTCTCTCTCTCATCTGTACTACTAAATCAACCCACCCCTTGCACATGATTCGCCAGGAGGTGCGGAATACCAACTCAACCAGCCCCTGATAGGGTACCCCGTTCCCAAAGAAAAAGGTCACCTCACCATGTATCCCATCATTGAAAGTTGGGGCTACATCTCCAAAAAAGGGACATCCAAAATATCACCAGTGCTTGCTTTACCTCCAATGGTAAGCAACCCCCAACTGGATGGATCATATGGGGTCTGAACCAATGTTGTACTCCCAATTCCAATGGATTTTTATCCAAAAAATCATCCCATCCCAAAATTTGACCATTTGGGTGGTACACCAAAATTTATTCAGACAAACCCATATTTAGCCCACCTTTTCTACTTGGTGGTTCATCTATGTGAATCCCACGAATCGTGTTCGTAGCTTAGTTCACCCTAGCTGTGAGCCGATTTACCTTATCCCACTGAAAAAATACCAGGGATACATCCTAGTAAGTGGGATGAGCCACCTTTTCTTGGGTATAGTCTAATGTTGAAGATGTATGAAGATGTATATAATCCCCTACCCTCTGGTATTTTAACATAACTATGGAAAATCACCATAGAAATCGTGAAATTTCCCATGAAAAATGGTGGATCTTTCCATAGCAAACTGTTATATAGTTTACCAGAGGGTATCTATAGATATCCCATAATAAAAGCCATAATAGAAATGAACTAAATAAAATTATATCCCAGAAAATGTTATGATTATAATAGGGCTTTCTATAGATATCCCATAATAAAATTGAAAGCCATGATTTCTGGACTCGCGGCCTCTGGACATGGGAGGATCAGCAGGTGGACCTTCGAAGCCTTGCCGGACTCCTGGCACGAAAACGTCCAACAAACCTCAAAATTTCATGCCCATAGGATCCATGTCTATATATATGGTAACATTTACCATCAATATATCCCCAATGTTAGCATATATACCATACATGGATCCTACGGGATAGGAACATCATCTAGAACTATGGTTTGACGGGATTTTTCATGGGATATATTTTTTTTTTCCTGGGAGCTCTTTGCTGCTGAATCGCTGCGGCTCTGCTGAATGAATTCTTTGCGGTAAAACTTGCGAAACTGTGCGTGAAATCACCTGACAAACAAATCATATATATATACATATATATATATATATTGAAATCAAACATATGATAGAATCGTGAATATTCTTGAATCTTATTTCCAACACAGTGCAGTACTTTTTAAGAGAAATAGCAAAAGATTGCAAACTCAACCCACCACTGCAATATCTTGTTGGTTATATATATATGATGTTATATGGAGGTTTCCGTTTTGTCATGGGGTAGCCACAAATCATGCAGTCATTGATCACCATGACTTAGTAATGAAACTTATGGTGACTTGGGTATCCCTCATGACTTGAGAAACCCCAATATAGCTAGATTGGGTTACACACCGTCTGATACCCTCTGGTAAACTAACATAGCTATAGAAAATCAGCATTTTTAATGGGAAAATCCACTATAAATAGCCATTTTCAATAGCCAACTGTTAAATTACCAGAGGGTAACTGGAGGGGAACTTCCTGCGGGAATCATCCTTGGTTTTCTGTTCACACCAGTTGATTCAGTATGGTGAGCAGTGTTAGTTCAGTTATAACAGTGGTTTTCTCACCACTTCATGTGGTAAACCCAACAATGAACCGTCCCCAAAATCACCATAAATGGCATAAATATGCATAAATCATCCCCAAATGATAGGTTTATTATTGGGTTATAACCACATTACTAACCATTTTTATGGGTTGGATTTCAACCATCCCCATGTTTCATAGCTTTTAATCCTTCCCCAGCATTCTGCTTGGGCACCCCGCCTTGCCAAGCTGTGACAAGGCAGTGAGCTCCTCCACCAAGTTACAACTTCCCCCTGGCGACGGGAGTTCACCCAAGATGTTGGAAAAACATGGGAAAAGTATGGAAAAGTTAGGAACCTTGGACCGAATTTAGAGTACCCTCTGGTAAACTAACATAGCTGACATAGCTATTGAAAATGGCCATTTATAGAGGATTTACCCATCAAAAATGATGATTTTCCATAGTTATGTTAAATTACCAGAGGGTAATTGGCTTGGGAGAACATGGGGGGTTCATGTCGCGGAAACATACATATAGAAAACCATGGGGACATTTATGAACTTGAGACAATTTTGAAGAACATTGAACATGATCTACATCCGGAAAACGATATATAATGTGATCTAGATCCAGAAAAAGATAACGTGGAAGCTGCGAAAGGGGGTCCCAAAGAGCATCTTTGTTTCCCACCTTCAGGGAGTGCAACATTAGATAAATCCCCAAAGATCCAAAACGTATCCAAACCTGTCTGAACAGGTTTGGACTTTGACTTGATGCCATGATATGCAGTAATGTGGGTAAAACAATCATAATATATCATAATCACCATCCCCCAAATCACCATCTGGTTGGTGGTTTCAACCCCTCTGAAAAATATGAGTTCGTCAGTTGGGATTATTATTCCCAATATGTGGAAAAAAAATGTTCGAAACCACCAACCAGCGATACATAGGTGGTATAAACAATTCCCAAATGGGTGGTTTGTTCTTGCTCAGCTGTTTGGATTTCCATGAAATTTCCTGATCTCTCTGGCGTCCGACAATGGCCGCGGCCGCTCTTTTCACTTTCGCCACAGGCTCACTTGGCGAGCAGGGCAAAGAAATGACTAAGAGCAGCTTCCGCTTGTGGCCCAGTGGCAATCTTATCTTACTTTAAAGATATCTATTTCTTGAATCCAGGAGACTCTGATGACTATTACATTCTAAGAATCTTTAATGAAGTTCGGTTAATCTTTCCGAATCCCCTTTTGGTGTTATTCGACCACCATTTTGGGTATCAATTACATCTATTTAATTCTATTTAGATCTATTATCACCTTTAACTTAGTGCTAGTGCATTAAACCACCCTGCGGTCATTGGTTCCATCGTTGGCTCCATCACTTGGACTTCGACTTGGGGCAAAAGTCCAAATGATTTTCAGCGGCACAGGCATGGCACAGAACGACTCCACATTCACGGCAGGTCCATCCTTGCCTGCGATGAACGGGATGAGCTCTGGATTTTGATGTATGAAATCTATCTCTATATCTATACCTATAGATCTAGATCTATACCCCATAGGATCCATGGTGCTGCTATATATGGTAACATGGATCCCATCAATATACCCCCTTTATGTTAGCATATATACCAGCACCATGGATCCTATGGGTACGTGATTTAATGTATCATATGTATGTATATATATATATATATATATGTGTGTGTGTGTTTGTGTTTATTAGTGCATATATATATATATACATACATGTGTAATGTATATGTATATATGATGTATATATTATGTATTGTATGTACGGACATAATCGTACATGTATGTAATGTATACATGTATCAAATGTAATCATATGTAACAAACAATCATATGCGTTATATGAGCTGAATACCTCACCAAATCTCACTCCACGAGTCCACCCTGCTTGTCAGCCTGCCTGTACACTCCCCAAAGAAAGCCTCCGCAATGTTTACACCAAGTGGGCTCGCTACACGAAGTTTCTTCCAAGATATGCATGGATGGTTTGGCCGCCGGCGTGCTATTGCTGTTGGACGTAGCACTTGGGGAGCCTGAAAATTCTACGTACCAGGGCAGAAGGATCATGGAAAACAACTCAGTTTGGGTTGATATACCTCGCCTGCCAAGAGTTGATAGGAAACGGCACCATTCAAACCCCATTGTCACCATCAAGGTTCTCTCCCCATGGAACCATCATTTCACTCTTCAAGCCTGGATTCATAAACATTCTGGTTGATTGATTTTCATTGTTTGTTGTCTTTTTGATGATAAACCAGTTGAAACTATTTTATTCTGCTAAGCATGGACATGGGAACGAAACACACCATCTTATGGGAGTGGAAGGGGGAGATCAGGGGATAGTTTTAGGGGTCAATTGGAGGTCTATAATTTCATTTATGGCAGTTCTCAGCCTTTAACTTAGTTTCTTTGTTTTTTGGTCGTCATGGTAATCTGTGCATAACCAGTTAATTAGAACCAGTCAGAACCACTAGAAGTTCAACTTTTAGCAGAGGAGCTGGGAACCAACCCATTTAAACAATGACTTCCCCCCAACAAAAGCATCTTCAACAAAAACTCTCCGCCCACGATCAAATTGACATAAGATAACTATAACTTAGCTGAATCATCTTATTTTAAGGTCATCAGTTAACTATAACTTGAACTATGCAACTATAACTATAGCTATGGCTATACCTGTACCTATAACTAACAAAGATAAGCATGATGCTAGTTCAATTTCAATCATGTTCCGCCATTTTTGCAGGGCGCTGTTGCTGAGCTGTGCCGTTGCGTTGGGCGTCAGATGACAGGTCACCATCCGCGCCACCGGTGCACCGCGGTGTGGCAGCGCCAGGGGTTCTAAGGTCACTCCCAGGCCGAAACAGCCAGAGCTCAGGGTCGTGTCCTTCCTGGGAACGACGGGGTCCAAAAAGCTGGGGGGGAACGTGTTGAAAATGGGAGCCATGAAAGACCTGGGGAACCACAGACTGGAAAGTCTATTGTTAGAAATATCTAACGATGCACCCAATTTTGACCCATACTCATGTGAAAAAGGGTCAGATGGAGATGATATGACATGATTATATGATGATATACTCATGATATCGAAGAATATATAATATCAAATATATAATATCACATATATATATATACACATATATATACATACATGTTCTTTAATATGATTATGTACAGTAATAGATATGAATTCAACATATTTTATATAGCATATCTCATTTTGTTAAAAAAAAAAACATTATACAATATCTACTAATGACACATGATATGAATTGGAGTTGACTATGGTCTGGTGGGAACGCTGGTTGGGATCATCCCAGAAGAGATTCGTTTTTCATGATGTTTATAGATGGCTATTAATGTATTCATATGATGATGTGATGTGAATGATGTTGAATATTGTTTAATCAATTGGTGTAGTTGATGAGATGGAAGTTCGATTGGTGTTTGGCAAAACCAAGTGGCATGAAATCGCTAGGAAGCCGGAAAACAAGTGGGTTCCATTCTAAGTTGAGGGGTACACGGTATACATCAATGAACTCGGCTTTCAAATTCGACTCTTTCGAGCTTCGATTTGTAGATATACAACGCCCTCATCACGCGAGCAACACATGAGTGTTTGGCCAGTAAGAAGGCAAATGCAGAGGTCAAAGCCATGCGAAGAAGCAGGTCCTGGAGATGTGGGAAACCATGGGAAACCCAATGCCAGACACCAAACTTGGGGATGGTGTATAGAAGCCATTTCTGAACGGTGATGACTTGGGGATGGTTTATGACAACTTGGCTTTACATGGCTTTACCATCTGAATATATCTGAATCCTATATCTCCATTGAAAATCATTGAAAAGGAGGTATGCCAGTTATGTCACCGCTTTCGCCAACAGCAACTCCACAGGCTTGAAAAGTCTTGCCATGGCTGAAACCATCGCGGAGATGCTGTGAAAAACCTCGACCCATCGACCCATCCCTCCTGCCAGGCACTGAAATAGATCAACGACACATCCACAACGCCCAAGGCCGCGCAAACGGAGAACTTGTGTGCCACTGCTTGCTGCCACAGTCGTCTACACTCCATGATGCTCTCAACCTCTGGCTCTATACCCCTGGTGAAAGCGAATGTTATTAGCGTTGCTCTAAGTGGCTAGGTCGTGTCAAGCCGTGAAAATATTAGTGGCATGGTTTTCTGAGACACACTTCTTGGACAACCAAGCAAAAAAACAACAAATTGACAAATATACCACCATGCAGAAACACATCTCTAGATTGCTTCGTACCGTTGTCGGCATGTATGATCTTGTCCAGATTGCCAACTAGATTTGGAACACGAGGAGATAATCCCCTTGATAATCCCCTTGGACTTGGGGGTTATCCCATGTTCAACCCGGCGATTTTCCCCCAAGCTGAGCTGGGTGGCGCAGGCACCCAAATTGTTCTGAAAAAAGGAGATGTCATTGTACTGATGCGCTGGTAGACCCGTTTCAGCTGCCTTAATGACCTTGCTCAACGCAGGGTCTCTGGAAGGCTTGGCAGGCGCAGCCGGTGCGGAGCCATCGCCATCAGCATCGGGGCTGGAGTGTTGTAGAAGGATGCACAAAGTCAGAAGGATCAGGGGCAGGATGTAGTGAGGCCTGTAACCAGCAGATGTGTTTCTGAAAATTGGGGACCCACCAGTTCCATTTCCGAAAACGATCCATTTTGGTGGTGGAGCCAATTTAAAGAAACCCCAGGTCTCATATATATATATAGCCATTGTTATCGCGTGGTCAAAGTATGTTAACGCTTGATCCACTTCTGAGAAGAAGTGCGTTGGAGATTCCATGTCTTTTCACCATAACAACACAGAAGTTGACGGCACCATTTTTGCCCAATAATTTCCCAAACAACCAATATCAATCACCTCCACACATTTCCACACATTTGCACAACAAATCAAGCCATTTCACATCTTCGTTTTTTGCACCCCGGCGCATAAAAACATATTGGTCAATTAAAAATAAACATGCCATTCAACCACCAACCAGAATGACATGAAATATATCCAGCCAGGTAGATAGGTGTTAAATTACCATTACTCACCATTCCACATGTCTTGGACCACCACTACTCCGGATTTCCCGCCATCGGATCTATCGTAGCTGATGGCCAAATTTATCCCAAAGAGGGGGAAGAATCACACGCTTCAAACCACCAGCCACACTTACTTATCGAAGACATGACATATCAAAAACCAACAGAGCACTTTAATGTTTAATCGATGTTCACCACCATGTTTTTCACTTCTTCCAATGTTTGTTTAAAGTTCTTCCAAATCTTTTTCAGTTCTCTCCCCAACTTTCTCCGTTCAAGTCCCCTGACTTCCCCATGGAGAAACCCCTGGTGAGACACCATTCAAAAATGGGCTGGCTAGAGAGTGTGCCTCTGCTACAAAAATGCTACTCCAAAATCATCATTTTCCCTCTGAAAATGACAACATGATGGATATACCATAGGTATACCGTGGATATACCATAGGTATACCATGGATATACCATAGGTATACCATGGATATACCATGGGTATACCATGGACAGACCGTGTCTCAGACACACCCCCAACCTCCAAACCAACAGGATCGCAGTGCCAAAGACCACAGAGCTCAAGCGCTGGGCCCAGAAAATCACTGGCCCTGCCACTTCCCCTACCAGACCAAGGTGATGTGCCACGCTGCTTACCTTGATGAAGTGGGATGCGGAATGATTCGGACACCAAAACCGGTTGCTGAACCGGACTTTATGCAAGTGGGAAGCCAGAAAATCCAAAAAATGGATGGGAAGTGCTGCAAGAAAATCTCAAAACAACACGTTTTTTGCGGAACAAATTGAGATGCGACAACATGTGACAAGGTCGTTTTTTGGGGTGAGATCGCCATTGGGTGGTGAGGCTGTATATAATTAACCATCAAACAAAACCAACATTGACTAAAGAACATTAAAGAACCACAAGAACCATAAACAAAAAAAATAGTTAATGTCCTTAACAATGGATAGTTTAGGGATGATCGTTTTTTTGGTTCAACAAGAAAGAACGACTCAGTCGTCACTATGACGTTTCTAAGCACTGCCCCAGTTGCGTGACTCAGAAGCTCTCCGAGATCCAGTGGCTTCATGGGCTCCTTGAAGGCAAGCGGCCCAAGACACAAGGCGTACAACTCGTGCTGCGGCTCTTGGACGCTCAACGTCAGCTGCAACCTGAGGGAATCTGAGGGAATCTAAGGATCTGAGGGACTTGGGTGATTGACCATGATGTAGCTATTTAACATATGAATAGATTCACCTACATTATTTGTATAGACAGATTAGATTAGATTTGATTTGATTAGATTAGATTTAGATTAGATTAGATTAGATTAGATTAGATAGATAAATAGATAAATATATAGATGATTTCCATAGCTATGTCAGTGATGGATGACCTATGATTTGAATTTCAATAATGAAATTGTCAATCATATCTACACAATGTCTACATTATGGCTAATATCATTATTCCAAATATAGAAATGTCATGATTTAGCTAAGTCTTTTATTTGGAATGTTCAATAACATTACAGTAATAATAATGTGGCACACCCAATTTCCTAAACCATCCTCAATGGAAGGTTTATGGCATTGGGTGTCCAACATGATCCTGTCAAATATTATTGTGATTCTTATTTGGTAATATATATCTATAACTATGGAATCACTAATATTCTATAACAATCCATGAAATCTACATTTGACTTTTCTTAACGGCACCATTTTGGCCAAATTCAAGGTGTCTCAAGGGCGTCGTTGCGGGAAACGACCCTCCGGTGTCCTCAAACATGGCGGGCCGCTGGAAAATCACCCATTGAAAATAGTGGTTGCATACCAAACGAATATATAAAAAAAAATGACAAACATGGAAGTTTCGAGCTGGGAAAATCATCAAACCGACTGAGGAATTGACCAGCAAGCCATGTTTGATTACCAAAGGGTATTTGTTGCACATTGTTGTGCTGCGTTTTCTTCGAAAGTTGAGAAGCTACCTGTCAGAAAGTGAAGCCATCTGGCTTAGCCTGAAAATAGGCTACCCCAACATTTAATATATATATATATAGAGATATACATATATAACATGTCATATATTAATATATGCTATATTTATGCTTGACAATAATGTTCCATATCAACAGTTATTAGAATTGGCGGTATCCCTCATTTTTTGGGAAACCCGATGATCATCTTATTGGCTATATATATATATATATATCATCCCACAAAATATACCAGTACATTCCAAATTCACTTCACCATTCTTATACTCCATTACCATTATCAATCATTATAATGATATTACCCCATTTATCATATTATACCATTTATCCCATTATCATCCATTTAAACCATTCCCCATAGGATCCATGTATGGTATATTAATGCTAACATAAAGGGGGTATATTGATGGGATCCATGTTACCATATACAGAAGCACCATGGATCCTATGGGTTCATTACAATGATATTCCCCAGTCTATTCCCATTAATCTCACTCCCTGCTCCTAGCCTAGCTTCGAAGATGCGCTCCCCTAAAACCAGCCGCTGTCAGACTGCGATCTTTGGAGCCCGTTTTGGGACTTCTTCCAGTTTCTATCATGGGAATATATATGATATATATATATACCATTATATATATATATTATAATCTATATATGATATATAATCTATAGATATATTTCCATATATATATGATATATTATAATTACATTGTATAATGTTATATAACCATTATAACCATTATAATATATGGTTATATTATGGATATATGGTTATATAGCCATTATAATTACATTATATATATCTTATGGTTATATTTTATTCCCATGACTTACCCGGTAAAGTCATGTCAAAATAGTGAACTGGAAAATATCAATTACTATAGTTGATTTACACGATTTACCCATAAAGAATGGTGGTTGTCCACAGTTATGTTAGTTTACCAGAGGGTATACACACACTGGTTATTTAACATAGCCATGGAAAGATCCACCCATTTTTAATAGGTAAACCATCTATTTCTATGGGCCATCTATACCATGGCTATGTTAAATAACCAGATGGTATCATTTCTATTCCCATTTCTCTTTCAATTTCGCCCTTTCGCCTGATCTGTCCCGCCGGCTCGGCTGTCTTGGCATTGGCCACACGAGTGAGGTAGCTGCTGGTGGCATGGCCCAAATGGCCCCGTTGGAGTTCGAACCAACCTGCCGTGGCAACCCCGGGATTGAAGTGCAATAAACAGGTACTATTACCCTCTAGTAAACAAACATAGCTATTGAAAATGGCCCATTTATAGTGGATTTACCTATAAAAAAATGTGATTTTCCATAGATATGTTAGTTTACCAGAGGGTAAATGTGCTGAAAAAATGGATGTTCATCCCCCAAAATGATGGTATAACTTGTCATTTTTTAAAATGAAGCATTTCCTGTTGAAATCGTGCGCGCGCAGGCGCGCGAGCATTTAACACGTGCGCGCGCGAGGTGCGCGAGCAACGACAGGCGCGCGCGCGAGTCGCGCGAGCAAATAGAGGCGCGCGCGCGCGAGGTGCGCGAGCAAGGCCAAGATGCGCGCGCGTGTTCTCGCGCGCGCCCGTCCGACACGCGCGCGCGCAAATAAGCTCTCCAAAAGTGGATTTGGTGAGCTTATTTGCGATTTGGAGAGCTTATTTGCGCGCGCGGAGAGCTTATTTGCGCGCGCGCGTGTCGGACGGGCGCGCGCGTGTCGGGCGGGCGCGCGCGAGAACACGCGCGCGCATCTTGGCCTTGCTCGCGCACCTCGCGCGCGCGCGCCTCTATTTGCTCGCGCGTCTCGCGCGCGCGCCTGTCGTTGCTCGCGCACCTCGCGCGCGCACGTGTTAAATGCTCGCGCGCTCGCGCTGCGCACCCCGCAGCTGGTGAGGCACCATATATGAATTCATATGTTTTGAATCAAGCCAAGGTATAACTGTGATTTTTCTATGGATGATGTGTAGGTCTACTGTAAAGCCGCCGTTGATCCATCCGGGCAAAATGGAAAGCTGTCCCTGCTCGTAAGCATGACACTCAGTTCGTAGCTAGCACGTTTCAGCATTAGATTAGATTTATAATGATTTATATTCAATTTTGCCGTGCCTTTTTTTAATCCACTGCAGTCTGACAGAACATCAATAAACCAACATAGCAAAGGGAACGTCCCCCATTTACTTCGATGAATTTGCTATGAACATGATGATTTTTCATAGCACACTGTTACCCATAGGATCCATGTATGCTATATATGGTGACATTTACCATCAATATACCCCAAATGTATCCAAATGTTAGCATATATACCATACATGGATCCTATGGGTTAGTTTACCAGAGGCTGTACTAGCCACGGGTTAGCCACGGGCCACGCGGAATGCGCCGCGGAATGCTGGCATATGCTGGCAGTGCAGCTGAGCTACCAGAGATCTTGGTGTTCAACGGCAATTTCTCCAGGGAAATATCAACAATCCCCAAGAGATCGTCGCTGAGCCCGACCAATGATCCAGCAAACCCCACCTGGCGTTCAGAAATCCACCCATGGCAAGGTGTAAATGTAGAAGAAAACCGTGGAAACATCTTGAAATTTGGTAAGAAAGATGTGTATAATATGTGTACATATATATAATAGATTAATTGTACTGTATGTAGAGGGGTTTTCCCATCTTGTCCTAATTTGAGACCAATCCGTTAAGAACAAAACAGAGAAAAACGGTGAACTGGAATCGTCATAGGCAGGACGGGGACGAATCATTGAAACGAGCAACACACCAGTTGGCACAACTGGTTTCTCTGATGGAAACTAGAGCACCCCAAACTTTCATGGTTCATCAACATTTGTCCCAATTCACTTTGCCATTACTATATTTTCAGACAGAACCATTTTGTTGACCTCCCATATGAGGGGTTCCTGAAATATAGGTACCCCAAACCATTGGTTTTTTTCCATTGATAACCAACAACTTGGATGACTTTGAGGTTTCCCATTGTAGGAAGCCCCCGAAGAAAAAGCTCCTGGTCATATCTCCGTCCAACTGGGTATCCTCAGCCAGTCACTGTATCTTCATGGCCAAAGTCTTCATCGTGAACGAAGAGCGTGAGAATACCTGCGGAAAAAATGGAAGCACCATCCAAACGTTGACCCTTTTACCCGCTGGGAATGACTAATGACTAACGAATGCTATAGATAACTATAATAATAGGGATATTCTGGGAAATTGGAGGGATCATTATAGGATAACTATGGGACAATGGATGATTTACCTTGCGGTAATTAACATAGCGATGGACGCCATGGCTCATTTAGTTCGATGATTTATCTAATGAATGAGTGATTCTCCATCGCTATGTTAAATAACCAAAGGGTATAAAGCTTGGCAAAAAAACAGTCAAAGTCTAGGTAACAATGGGCAACACAGCATTTCCACGATATTTATGGATATTTCAGGAATTTGGGGCTCTGAATTCAGCAATGTGTTCTCAGAAATCTCAGATCGCATCCTATCTCAGTCACCCCGGCATCTAGATGACACTTCATGTTCTGAAATTTTGGAATCAATTCCGTAGTCCAACAATGGCTGATTTATGCTTCTGTTCCTAGTTTACTAGCTGTTTAGAGCATGGTGATTTACATTAAAACATTCTGCTGGAGTGCTCCAATAACACCTTTCATTTTGGGACGCACAAGCGCACAGTGGCGCACATGATATGGGGTTGTCTCAAAATTTGGCACCTGAAATATCATCGAAGTCCCGTTGAGACACAACTTGAGGGTGAATCCCCAATTTGGAGACATCATATATTGCTTATAACCATGTACCCTCTGGTAAACTAACACAACTATGGAAAAAAACACAATTTTTCATGGGGTAAATCCATCAATAGGTAATTTTCCATAGCTATGTAAACGTTTTCCGGAGGGTTAAGAACGGGATTCCCACTTCACGGATGATTCAATAACCGCCAATAAAATCGGATGAAACAACCCCCAAACAAAGAAAATCAACCAGGTGCTTAGAACAGACTTAATAATCCCAATTATTCCATACATTCCATACATCAATATACTCAATATATCCCAATATCATCAGTAGATCCCCAACCAAATATTACCCTCTGGTAAACATACAAAAAGCTATTGAAAATGGCCATAGAAATAGTGAGTTTTCCCATTAATAGCATGGTGGATCTTTCCATAGTTTTTTGTAAGTTTACCAGAGGGTACCGTATTCCAAATCTTGGTGACTCATCACCTTGGGTGGTGTCCCTCAGCTTAGTCAAGCTGAATATACGAGTTGTAAGCCGACTTGGCTAAGGTCAACACTCTACACATCAACATAATAAAATCAACTCTAATATGGTAACATATACATATATATATATATATGCATATAGATATACATATATGATAGATAATATATCTTACATATATATATATATACACAATCATGTATAATATACCATTCTTCTAGCTTCAGCCCCCCCCAAAAAAGCAACCACAGGTGCTCTATCATCTCTATCATCCCCCAAGCGGAACAGGCGGAGCAAGCGACTCTCGGGGCGATAGACGTTCAGCTCGAAGTGTTCCGACCAGCGCGGCCCCAGGGTGTTGTTCTGCGTCGACGTCCGCACGGCCAGGTCCTGGGTGCAGCATATGGCAGCACCGCGCCGCTTAAAGGGATAAAAATAGGATGCAACCCCCGAGGGTGAACAAAATGAGATGTTAGTAAGATGTGAATATAGGATTTAGTAGGTTTTGGATGGTTTTGGTATAGATTTTAGTAGGAAGTTTGTTGGTGCAACTTGTAAAAGCTGTTGACCTAATATGGAGGTTTCCGTTTTGTCATGGAAGTACCCCCAAATCATCCAAATTTGAATGTTGGAATTCCCAATCTTCCATTTTTTCGATCTAGCTCAAAACATGTAGCTGGCTCAATTTCATCAGGGGTATGTTTTGACAGTCACCTTGGGCTTTTTCAGAGGTACCATATCTAGTACTAAAGTAATCAGTGGGGATTGAACCTGGCAATTTAATGCAATTTAACAGATTGGGAAGTTTCTGCGAGCTCGCTCAACTGCAACGAGCTGGCTCAGCACCATCGAGCTCGCTCAATGCCACGTAGCTGGCTCAGGGGCATCGAGCTAGCTCAATGGCATCGAGCTGGCTCAATTTTTTTAGCGAAAAAAAAAAAACTCGCAGAAATTGAGCCAGCTACGTCACGTTGAGCTGGCGGACGAATGTGAGAGCATCAAAACGAATACTAGCTATGTATTGGCCGGGTTCATGACGCATTGGCGAGCCGGCTCAAGGGCATGTAGCCGGCTCAATTTCTGCGAGGTTTTTTTTTTTTTCGCTAAAAAAATTGAGCCAGCTACGTGGCGCTGAGCCAGCTACGAGGCGCTGAGCCAGCTACGTGGCATTGAGCCAGCTACGTGGCACTGAGCCAGCTACGTGGCACTGAGCCAGCAAGGTAGCTTTGAGCTTTGAGCTAGCAAGGAGGCAGTGAGCCAGCAAGGTAGCTTTGAGCTTCATCATATATATATATACACCTATGCAATCCCAACCATGTAATATACTAGATCTAGGGAAAAGCATTTTTTTTGAGGGAGACACGTACCTTTGAGCTGGAGCGGGGATGTGAAATCTAACATTCGACAAATCATGGATGACCTTGACTCAATATGGAAACAAGTATGGTGACTTGAGACTTGGGGATCCCAAATTTTACGAACCCCCTTTCTTTTGCAACCCCCCAAAGAAATATAATTTTAGTAAGGTTTTAATAGGAATTAAAGTAAGATACATATGACATAGCAACCCTGAATTTCACTGTTTCAGTCGGATGTGTTTTACTGTTCTATCATTTTGGGGAGCAAGATAATGGAATTTTATTTGGATTTAACCTATTTAACCACCCAAAACATGACGGATTTCGTCAAGTGAGAATGGAAGTTGGATGTGTCCGAACATATTTAGAACCCCCTAAAAAGATGCAGAACAATAGCATCCAACTCTATTGCATAGTGGTAAATCGAACCTTTTCGATCTTTTTCACAGGTTACTATACTATACCGGAAAACTTAAAGGAAACCAAGTTTTGTCCAAGAATTTATCGCGGGATTTCCTATGATTTCCTATTTCAAAAAAACCCTCAAAAAGTCTGGTGGAAAAAAACACAGGAAAGAGGACATGATTCTGTTTGAAGCAATCATAGAGAGCTCCTGAATCCCACAAACAAAGGTCGGAGGTGAGTGAAAAGAGACGGCACAGCTGAAATTTCCGTGGTATGTGGAAAAGTACAAACCGATATTACGGATTTCCCTAGTGAGAACTGGGGATGTCCAATTTCCATAGTGATTTGCAAAGCGGTGCGATTTCCGGAGCTGGGGGCGGAAAGCCCGAGTCTGGCTAAGTTCGAAAACCATGATTCTCATCCTAGGCATTTGATGCCAGGCAATCTGTTCTTCGGAAGTAACAATTTATAAGTTCAGGTCTCACTTATGAAACTTATGAAATTAACAAACTGAAAATGTTGCCGAAAAGCAACTTCAAACCAACACAAGATACTTTTCTCGCCTGTCACCCATATGTGGCGAGGGACTAAAAGGTTTAATGGAAATTTAGGGATAATGGATAGAATAGATAGAACACTAAAATTCACTAAATCTGGTTGGTGGTTTCAAGCCCTCTGAAAAATCATGGAGTTCGTCAGTTGGGATGATGAATTTCCATGAATTTCATGGAAACTCATAAAATTCCATGGTTCCAGTCACCACCAACCAGAAATATCGTGTTTTTTGGGATCATGGCTATGTAAAAATTCGTGTTGACTCATCTTTCCATCGCCATCGCTGGTCTCCAGGGTCTTAGGGGCCCGCTGTTTCGGGATTTTTTGTCCAGTTCTGTAGGTGAAAATCCCCTCAATTTTTCCTGGTTGGTGGTGCAATACCCATCTTGAAAGATATGAGTTCGTCAATGGGATTTTACCATATTATCTGGTTGGTGGTATACCTACCAACCCCGCTGAAAATGATGAGTTCGTCAGTTGGGATGATGATTATTCCCATATATGAAATGGAAAAACAAATACCCTCTGGTAATTTAACATAGCTATTGAACATGGCCATAGAAATAGTGGATTTTCCCATTGAAAATGGTGATTTTTGGGCTGACGCCCCTCGTCGGCTCCGCCGGACCACTCGGCCCTCCATTTCATCGCAGTGTGGGCGTGAAAGTTACTGAATGAGGACCTGCTTCAGAAATATATTCCTTAGGTTTTTTGGAACATATTTGTTGGAATAGACGATTTTTTGGGGAGCAAGTGAGTTCCCGAAAGCTCCTGCGAAGGGTTTTTCCTAAAGAACTGCTGCCGATTTCAACTTGTTACTTCGTGTAAAGGCGCCTCTGTGCAAAGACTTCTCTGTGTAAAAGCTTTTGTGTGTAAAAGTTTCTGTGTGTAAAAACCACTTTGTGTAAAGACTTCTTTGTGTAAAAGCTTCTCTGTGTGAAAGCACGTCTTTGTAAAGATTTCTCTGTGTGTAAAAGCTTCCGTGTATAAAAACTCTCTGTGTAAAGGCTTCTCTGTGTAAAAGTTTCTGTGTGTAAACGCGTCTGTGTGTTAAAGCTCTCTGTGTAAAGACTTCTTTGTGTAACAACTTTTGTGTGTAAAAGCTCCAAGACGTTTGTGTGAAAAAGCTCCTCAGAGGAAAGACTTCTCTGTGTAAAACCTTCTGTGTGTAAAAAGCTACTCTGTGTAAATGTGTAAAAGCCCCTGCGTGTGTAAAAGCTTGCTGTGTGTAAACGCTTTGGTGTGTAAACGCTCCTCTGTGTAAAGGCTTCTCTGTGTAAAAGCTTCTGTGTGCAAACGCGTCTGTGTGTAAAAAGCCCTCTGTGTAAAGACTTCTTCGTGTAAAAACTTCTGTGAGTTAAAGCTCCTAGACGTTTGTCTGCAAAAGCACCTTAGAGTAAAGACTTCTCTGTGTAAAACCTTCTGTATGTAAAAAGCTCCTTTGTGTAAAGACTTCTCTGTGTAAAAGCCCCTGTGTGTGTGGGTAAAAGCTTCTGTGCGTCTCCTCCCTCCAGCTTTCTTTCGGGTCACGCTGTCGTCCAGTTTCAATCTGCAACGTTGTTTCTTGTGGAAGAGTGCAAAATAATGCAAAGAACATGTGAAAGCATCGCACGTTTAAAAATTGAACATAAACAGCGCACAAAGTGCTGTAATTTACAGCATATTGCGCTGTCAGCTGGCAAGAACCCGCGTAAATACCACAGTTTTAGTCCCCCAAAGTGGCTAAAACACTGTTATTTACAGTGTTTCGTTCACGTCACGATCTTCGATTTTTTGGGAAACGCGTAAATACCAGCGTTTTTTGCGTTCATCAAGGCAAAACATCGGTTCAAAAAGTGCAAAAAATGCTGTAATTTACAGGGGTTTGGCGCCGTCACGGGCAAAAAACTGTGTAAATACCAGCGTTTCAGCGCCCAAAAGTGGCCAAAACACCGCTATTTACAGTGTTTCGTGCCTTCCACGTTTTCTTGAAATTGCAAAAACAGTGTAAATACCAGCATTTTTTGCGATCAACTTGCCAAAAATGCTGTAATTTACAGTGTTTTTTTGCTTTGCTTGCAAAAACACTGGTATTTGCAGTGTTTTATGCATCTCGAGTCCAAAAAGTATTGGTATTTACAGCATTTTCTGCGTTTTTGCATGGCTCCCGCAACAGAGGTTAAAACGCAAAAATGCTGTAATTTACAGCATTTTGTGACTTTCGAAAAGTTGAAAATCGTCCGAAAAATGTCTCAAAACGGCGCTTTTTTCCGATTTTAGGTACCCCCCAAACGGGGGGGGGGGAATGCTCTTGAAGACGCTGATGAGCGACCCGGATTCCGGCCAAAAAGCTCTCCCCCACCCTCCTGAAGGATTTTTGGTGTTTTTCGGGGCCCGGCGTCGGAGGGTCGGCGGTTGGGGGCGCGCCTCACCTTAGAGCTCTAGTCGCTCTGGGACGCTCGTAGGGCAAGCCACTCGTGGGGAGCCGGCGGAGCCGAATTTTCCATAGCTATGTTAGTTTACCAGAGGGTAACATGTTTGAAAGCACCAAGCAGTTTCTGAGAACCTGTTGAAATCCCATCATTCCCATCCCATGGCGACATGGCGAAATCACCTCAGCAGACCCAGCGTCCATGTCATTGATCTGCGCCGTGACGTAGGGATCGGATAAGCCATTCAGGTCAGCAGCAGGCAGGCCATGAGCACGGTCCTGCCGTCAAAATCCCATCAGTAAGACCGACCTTTTCAACAGCAAACAAATGCTGCAAAATCGCAGCTTCCTGACATTGATTCTATCACATAAATTGACATATTCAGAAGGGTCTCTTCCAATTCTATTATCCAAATGACTTGCACGTAGAGAAATGTATTTCTCATTTCTCATTTCTCTGGCTTCAAGGGTGTCATCCTTGCCGCCTATAGCAACACACAGACCCTCACCTTCACCTCAAGAATTTTCAGCTGTCCAACTTACATCAACTTACAGTAATTATCACTTGGGGATGGGTCAAAACCCTGGTACCGTGCCGTGAACCCCAATTCATAGCTGGTAAATGGATGTTCATCCCACTAAAAATGTATCTATAGGTATTGACCCATACCCTCTTATGAAGAGTTGGCAAATGATGGCTACATCATCCAACATCACTCACCCTTCAAAAGGGCTCATCTTTTGGCTTCAACTTGCTGTGTTCCCCATGGCCCATGCCCAGTCCACGAACAAGTGCAACACCGCATAAGGCGCGACACTGCTGGCGTGGGGATCATCGGGACAAAGATGTGGTGCGGCCAGGGAGAGCCATGGCGAGAAGTGCGCAGCCTGCGCAGCCTGCGCAGCCGCAGCGTGCGCCCCGTCGGCGTCAGCCATGGGCGAAGCGCAACATGCTTCAAGCAGCGGGTGAAGAAAGTTGGTCTTGAGTTGACTTGAAGGTGAACCAAGGTCGTTTTTTCACAAAACGGAGACGTTTTGTATGGTATACCTCTAGTGCTCAGCTTTGCTGTTCATGAGATAGTGACAGATGTGGCAGTATAATACAGTATAATACAGTATAGGAATATGGGTGACTTGCGGAGTCAAATCTATGCAGTGTATCCCATAGGATCCATGGTGCTGCTATATATGGTAACATGGATCCCATCAATATACCCCCTTTATGTTAGCATATATATCCATATATACCATACATGGATCCTATGGGTATCTAGATGTATGTAGTGTATATAATGCGAGTTGTGAATGTGTCGCTACATCTTGCCATGATGGACTCACAAGTCTGGCACCTGCCATGGCTGCGGCAATTTTTTGTGACCATCCACCGGTCAAAGTGCTCGAAAACTGGTGGTTGAACGAAGCAAATGGGCAAATGATCACCTTTCTACTGTGAAAATATTGCCACTGTCCATCGACAACAGCATGTGAGCAATTTTAATTGCCTGCAGGCTGTTTTCTTTGCATTTAAATTTAAATTTTAGCGTGTTTCCATTTCTTTGTTTCCTCTATCCTATCCTATCCTATCCTATCACAAGAAGTCGGGTCATGAAGCCCGACTCAACAAGCCATGTCCCGTTTCCGCGACCTGGTGAGCAAAAAGTGTCATCCACAGCTAGGCCGATGGCGGGAACTTTGGAATCCTGCGTCGTGGGAAATCACCCAAATCATCCAGTCGTACCATGACTTAGTATTGACACATATTGACAGAACTATGGTGACTTGGGGATCACCTTTTTTTGGGACACCATCAATTTGGTAATGAATCAAAAGCCAGTGGTGGTTTGTTCGAATCAGAAAAAGGCTTCTAGTTCTGGATGTTCACAGCAGGAGAGCTTGGCACCGGTCGTGTCCTGTAAAAGTGGCTGCGCCGCCTCTTTTGATGCTGCCTGGCAGATGACCCGGCGATTCCGAACGTGGCAATGACCATGCGAAATCCCCGAACCGAATGCGGTTTTATAGCTGGGAAAGTAATCTATGATGGATTTTTGATGGCCATGATTGACTACCGGAGAGTATGGCATCACACACTTGCCTTCTTTTGCACCATGGACAGACTTGGGCCTCGTGTCTATTCGAAGCCATGTTACCAGATGTTTATGAACATGGGCCTTCATGTGACCCCGGCACCTGTGACTATCCCAGAAAAAGAAGGTGCATTTGTCTGAATATGTATGGAAAAACCCGGCCCTTGAACTTGAATCTGGTTTGAGATTGTAGAATCTGTATATAGACTTTTCTCGGGTAGACCTCTCAGATTCTTGTTGGTTTCTATTGATGCTCAAAAATTGATGGTTTATCATCATTTTCTCCATAGAATTTTTGGGAAGTATACCCATTTTTCAGACACACCTAAACATTATATCAATGGTTCTGTATGTATCCCCTTCTCACTCATTGAATACCCAATGTATAAATTATATCATTGTATCCCCATTGCATACCCCGTTACCCCCTGGTAATCTCATCTACATAGCTATAGGGAATTTCACCATCTTTAATAGGTAACTAATCAATACTCATGATATATCCCATAGGATCCCATGGTGCTGCTATATATGGTAACATGGATCCCATCAAGATACCCCCTTTATGTTCGCATATATACCAGCACCATGGATCCGTCATGGGTATAATCATACATTACATCATCTATAAATGGACCATTTTTGCCCAGCCAGGCAGCCTTGTCTCCCAACAAATCTGTAGCGACTACTGGGACTTCGCTTAGCTCCTTGCACGGGCTCAAGCAGCAACCGTGGAACTTCTTCCACGGGGACCGGAGGTTTAAAATTACGCAGCAAATAACCAGCAAAACATTGGATATGACAGATCAAAAAGCTGGCATGTATGTGTATATATATATATATATTATATAATTATATATATAATATTATGTTATGCTATATAAAATATGGATATATCACGCATATATCCAAGCACATACCAGCTATCTTTCAAACTACAAGCCGCAAAAAATGTCCAGCATTTGCCCTGTGATCTATAAATCTCACCATTTGTCCGCGATTACTATTATCACTACTGAATACCCTCCGGTAATTTAACATAGTTACTGAACATGGCCCACTTATAGTTTATTTACCTATTAGAAATGGTGATTTTCCATAGCTATCTTAGTTTACCAGATGGTAGTTATTCTCACAGTTTGGGTTTGTCTAAAAAAAATAAATGCCAAGAAGTTCCATCACGTATCATGACTTTCCCGAACTTTAGTTGCCATATTGGGTATCCACCATTTTCGGACAAATCCAAATATCATATTGTCACGTTACACATTCAATACAGATATTCTATATCTTTGGAATTTCTACTTCCATGCATACCAGTACCCTATATAAAATTCTGACTACAGTAAATATCCCCAATATGATTGGCTTAATCCATCTAAAAAAAATATCCGCACTTATTAAATATATCCGATATATCCCTAAACTGGTTTCTATATCCCTATCTTTTTCAGTCCTCAGTCTTCATCTATTGCAGTGGTCCCCCCGAAAAAGAGATAAAGTCGCAGGATTTTAGTGAAGTATATCTGTTTTAGTAGGATTGTCGTAGGATTTGTTCACATTTGTTCAGTAAGATTTGCTAATATTTACTAAATCCTCACCATAGTAGGATTTTACTCTCGTGTCTTGTTGGGGCTTACTATCCCGTCTAGTCACTTAACAGATCTATGGAAAACCCATATCTTTAGTAGGTAAATCATCGAACTAAATGGGCAATGGCTTCCATAGCAAACTGGCAGAAATTATCAGATGGTAACACTTTTGTTGATAGCATCCTTTGGGGTTAACAATTACTCTATTCTTGCTATAAGTAATATATGCAATATATAGATATAGTAGCCCCAGCTGTTAAGCCAATTAGGTTACTAATTCCTATAATGTCGTAAACCCATGTAAACCCAATAATAAACCATCTCCAGAATCATTTTGATGGGTGGTATCATAAACCATTCTCAGTCATGGTAGGTTTATGGCATTGGGTCTCCTACATTATCCTATCATATTATATATATAATTATATATATATAGTAGTAACTTAGTAACCCCAACTGGTAAGCCAATTGGATTGCCAATTACTAAATTACTACATATTACTACTGTGGATGGAAGAAATCCTGCATCACTTTGGATGGTTGAAACCCTGTAACCAATTGGATAAGCCGCCTATCAACTGGTGCAAGATTTCTTCCATCCACCGTAAGAATGGATTTCTCCCAGTTTTGACATGGGTATGGATCAATACCTATTAATACCATTTTTAGGGGGATGAACATCCATTTACCAGCTATTTTGATGTGAACTACAGGGGTACAAGGTTTTGACACACTGCCACATGGACCCACTGCTTTCGACAAAAAAAACCAACCCCCAGATACCTTGAGCTTCTCATGCCACGGCCCAGAGCCCAGCAAACGCAAAAGCCTAGCCAAGACACCAAGCTACGCCCTTTAAGCCCCACTTGTAAGTTGTATGGAGATGTCCTAAATAGGGCTACCCCAAGTCACCATGAGTTTCAACACTAAGATGGTCTAATGAGTCTAATGACTTGGATGATTTGGGGACCCCTATTTTAGGAAACGCCGGTCTAATCCCGGATATCTACTGGGGATACCAGGGAATCATGGCAGTATCATCGGGGTATAGTTTTTCTTCAATCGGAAGAATACTGTATCTAGGCTAAACATTGTCGCAATAAGTCTTGGATTTGCTTAAGGAACCACCCAAAAAATATACGCTCTGGTTATTTAACATAGCCATGGAAAATGGCCCATTTATAGATGGTTTACCTATTAAAAATTGTGAATTTCCATGGATATGTGAAAATAACCAAAGGGTATAACATATTCCCCAAATCGATTCCATAAGTAGTGGATTTCCGATTTACCCACTAACATTAGGATCGAATCCCAAATAACGCCCATGCCCAGTGGGCAAGTGAGCATACGCATTGAACAGTGACTCAAACAGTGTAACACATGGATAATGATTTATTGGTAAATTAATATAACTATGGAAAATCACCATCTTTAATGGGTAAATCAACTATCAATGGGCAATTTTCAATAGCTATGTTAAATTACCAGAGTTGGTTCTTTTTGTTGATACTCGGAAACTAAGACCTGGCAGCAAACTATGAGATGTGTCTCGTCTCCCCCTGAGACAGGCATAGCAAGATCAGCAAGGGACGGTGTTCAAACCGAAGTATGTACAATTGTGTACAACCTGCTCTTATATCATCTATGTAGCATGTACCCTCTGGTAAACTAACATAGCTATTGAAACTGGTCATAGAAATGGTTGATTTACCCATTAAAAATGGTGATTTCCCATAGTCATGTAAATGCCTACGGCAGGAAAACCGTACGTGCGTTTTGCTTCTTTTTTGAGTATTGCTCTTTGTCTTGGGGTTGGGGTGGGGTGGGGTGGGGGGGCATGTTAACGTTCCTTGTACTTCGTACATGATATATTGCCATGTTGCTAAGATCTCGGGGATCTTTTACTACGTTACTGTTGCTACGCTGCTGAGATCTCTAGTGTGGATCGTTTTACTACGTTACGTGTTGCTACGCTGCTGATCTCTGAGATAGTTTCCTACGTTACATGTTGCTACGCTGCTGAGATCCTTGGGTCTTTCTTACTACGTTACAGGTTGCTACGCTGCTGAGATCTGTGAGATCTTTCCTACGTTACATGTTGCTACGCTGCTGAGATCCTTGGGATCGTTTACTACGTGACATGTTGCTACGCTGCTGGGATCTCTGAGATAGTTTCCTACGTTACATGTTGCTACGCTGCTGAGATCCTTGGGATCGTTTACTACGTGACATGTTGCTACGCTGCTGAGATCCTTGGGATCGTTTACTACGTGACATGTTGCTACTCTGCTGAGATCTCTGGGATCGTTTACTGCGTTACATGTTGCTACGCTGCTGAGATCTCTGGGATCGTTTACTACGTTACATGTTGCTACGCTGCTGAGATCTCTGTGATCGTTTACTACGTTACAGGTTGCTACGCGTTATGAGTGCCATAATGGCAACTTGCTGTCGAAGACAGCTTCCACACTGATGGATCGCTGAGCCGACGAAGAGTGTGAAAAAAAATCTGCGCATCCACGTCTGATGCACATGATGTTTACCTGGATTTGTTAAAAATCAATAGATTTTGCATCCACTTTTTTTAACCCAAATTCAGTTATCCAAACTGATCGGAAGAGCATTTTATATTGTAAATTACAGGTGATTGTGACTCTCCTGGAAACAACCAATCAAAACGCTCGCGCGGTTTCCCTTCCGCCGGGATGTAAATGTTTACCAGAGGGTATGTGCATCAAAGAGACATGGTTAAAGATTGACTTTCCTGAAAACGATGATTCTTCTTGCAGATCATCATCCCATGGTCGAAGATGAAACATCTGTGAAAGCAGTTTAGAATTTAGCTAGTGGTTTCCGTAAATGCGGGTACCCAATAGCTGGATGGTGTATAGTGTATAATTGAAAATCCTATTTATTAATGTAAACATATTTAAACATATATATTTTCTGACTGGGGGTAGCCCTATTTAAGGAAACCTCCATACATATGATATAACCCTAAGAAATCCGTGTCCTAAAACCAGACTGATCAGCTTCAACCTTCTGAGAGGCGGACTTGGACTTGATCAGCCACTTTGGACCGTGCCAAAAGAACAAAGGCTCCTCTCAGAGCAACAGATTTTTCGTTCAAAGATGCCCCATGAAGAGAGATAGAATGTTCCAAAGTTCTCGACATGTCGTTCTTTGGGGTTTCCAGAGTTAGTATATACGATTGGTATGCGTACAAAAATAGATTTACACAATATCATATGTTTCTTCAATCCAACATTTGAATCACTTGGCTCTGGGTCCAAACCCTTGTACCTGGTGAAGTGAAAAAATAGCTGGTAAACAGCTGCTCATCCCCAATTTCCAAGCTTGGAGATGGTCCAACTTGCTGTTCTATCTGCTCCTGCAAACAACGACAGGGGTCTTTTCTCTTGGGCTGTACATTGTACCATTGCCCCGGTAGGAACGGAAAAATAACACGAAACAACAAGGCTCAGGAACGCCCGATTGGTACAACCATTCCAGACTTGGTTTGAGAAATCTACAGAAAACCGCTGTACATGCGGGTAATAACACTGATTTCCTGTAAATCACTTCATTCATAAACCCTCTTAGCACATGGTTCCTCAATGGTGCGTGCAATCATGGCTGTTTCTACAAAGAATTGCGATCAGCACCAAAACGTTGAAGCAAGTGTAGCTTGTGGTTCCGATCCATGTCACTCTATTTTTCTTTATTTATTGGAACCAACATATTATCATTATATATATAGTACGTATATCAATGCCATCATTTTCCCATGGACTGTGTTTTTTTCTTCATATTATCGTCCCCTTTTTACCAAATAATGCCAACAATCAAAGGTCAACATGTTTTATTTCAGCACAGGTCAGTAGTTCTGGCAGGTGGTCTCAACCTCCCCGGCATACAAGGTGTGGTTCCCAAACCATAGCTGCCATAGCTATGTTGATGCACATAGCTTGGTTAACGTTTGGGTTTATGGGGGGTATAGCGAACTGGTTTATCGATTTATACAACAACTTATAATTGGCCTCACCTTGTCCGGTCCAACATAACAACTTGAAACCACCAGTGGACAAATGTTTGCCCTTTCAATTAAGGTAACATGACCAATCTAGCCCTCCTGTCGCTAGCGTATATACCGTGGGTTTTATATCCCATGATGTTCCCAGAAATTCCCATAAATTACAATAATATCCCCAGGTAGTCCCATAATTTCCCATCAAATCTCCAGAAATTCCCATGAAGTCCCCCAAAATTCCTATTAAATCCCCAGAAAAAAAAACATGAAACTGGTTGGTGGTTTCAACCCCTCTGAAAAATATGAACGTCAGTTGGGTTATGACATTCCCAATGAATGGAAAGTCATAATCCATTCATGTTCCAAACCACCAGGAAATGACATTGTCACCATGAAATGATGAACCATCCGCTTGCCTGGTTAAGCCAGTGATTATCAGTGATTCATCTAGGCCGTAACATGAGCCATTAAAAATACCCCTATCCCATCTCATTATACTAGTTGGTTGATAGGTTTCCCTACTATGGGTTATCATCATCCCCAGTAAACCAGGTAGGATTAAATCCCCTATAGCAATCAATTAACCAGGGTATTTTTAATGGCTCACATGATCTTGGAAGGGGATCAGACATGAAAGATCCTCTTTTTCCTGCCCAGAAGTTGATCTCCGACCTTAAAATGGCCGATCAGCAGCTCCCGCAGCTGCCGTTCTAAGCTGGCTGCCTGGGCCAAGTCAGCGCCGTCCAAAGGAACGCATTAAAAAACGCAAAACACCATGGTGTTAATGGTTTTTGAAGGTTCTTAACAGTTCTTAGTGCTTCTTAATAGACTTTGTTTAGGTTTTTACATGTTTTTATATGTTCAATGAGGGAAAATCTAAGGGAAACATCTACAAAATCTACGTTTTTGTCTGTATATGACTGAGTCCCACTCGCGCTCAATGTCCCACTGGGTGCGGAACAAGAAAGACCACTCTGGCCATGGAGATGGTGCAGAGAAACTATCGTTGCCAAAGGAATATCTGTTGCCATACCCATATAGGATCCATGGTGCTGCTATATTAATGGTGCTCCATGGATCCCATCAACAAAAACCCCCTTGATGTTAGCATTAATATACTAGCACCATGGATCCGTCATGGGATAGTCTCCAATTTGCGTTGTACTTCTTCGACCATTCCCTACCTCCAGCTAGCACCCGCCTAGTCACATCGCCTTGGATTGGTTATCAACGGAAAATAACGGAAAACTACCATGAAACGATGAAAGGTAATTGAAATTAATATACCCATGGTTATTTGTTAATTTACCATGGTTAATTATTACCATGGTTAATATACCATGAGAGGTTTCCTGGATTTGTTCCTTCAGAGCAAAAAACCCGAGATTTCCGAGATTTTCAAAAATTCAAGGCGAGGCGTCCTAGGCCCTAGATAGCTAAGCTGACGCACATATCATAAATTCATATAACTTCTTTGTTAACGTGTGGGTTTATGGGGGATATAACGAACTAGTCTATATAACTGGTTGGTGGTATACCTACTCCTCTGAAAAATCATGGAGTTCGTCAGTTGGGATGATTATTCCATTCCCAACTGTTTCTGGAAAGTCATTCAAAATTCCATGGTTCCAAACCACCAACCAGAATAATCAATAGGGATATTCTGGGAAATTGGAGGGATCATTATAGGATAACTATGGGAAAATGGATGATTTACCCTGCGGTCATTTAACATAGCTATAGACGCCATGGCCCATGTAGTTCGATGATTTACCTAACGAATGAGTGATTCTCCAATTCTCCATTGCTATGTTAAAAAAGGGTATAAAACCACCAACCAGTTATATGGGTATGGATCAATACCTATGAAAATACCATTTTTAGTGGGTTATTCACGTCCATAAATCCCAGCTATTTTGATGTGAACTACAGGGGTACAAGGTTTTGACACACTGCCAAATCACCATTTTTCATGGGAAAATTCACTATAAATGCTGATGTTCCATAGCTATGTTAGTTTACCAGAGGGTATATATAGTCATTGGTTTACCCAACAAACGTCCCACTGGGGGTTCATCTTGGACCCCACAGGCCCCGGCCTCCACCATGAGTTCCTTCTGCGGACTTGCAGCCACTGCATGGCGGAGAGCAGCAAGGGCGGTGTCGAAAAGTAGACCTGACAAAACGAGCAAATCCGGGGGAAGAATTGGAACATAGCCTCTGGGTGAAATATATCAATGTTTAATAGGTAAACAATCTATAAATGGGCCATTTTCCATGGCTATGTTAAATAACCAGAGGGTAAATGGTATGAAGAGTGAAAATTATAGAAGAGTTATGAAATATAGCATTTATAGATAACCAAAATATACCAAAATCATCAACTCTGGGTGAAATATATCAATGGTACCCTCTGGTAATGACAAAATAGAGCTATTGAACATGGCCATTTATAGTGAGTTTTCCCATAGAAAACATGGTGATTTACCATAGTTATGTTAGTTTACCAGAGGGTATGAAGAGTGAAAATTGGAAGAGTTATGAAATATACCATTTATATAACATTTTTTTTCATCAACTCTGGGTGGAATATGGTTATATAAATGGTATAAGATGGTATACCCTCTGGTTATGACTGACATAGCCATGGAAAATTGTTATTGAATCAGGGTGAAATCGTATACCCTCTGGTTATTTAACAGTTCGCCATGGGATAGATGGCCCATAGAAATAGATGGTTTACCGAACTTAAAAATGATGGATCTTTCCATGGCGAACTGTTAAATAACCGGATGGTAAATTCACACACCTGAAATAAGGTCACTTGGCCATGCTTTCCCGCAGAAAAATATCCTTCATTCCTCTGGGATACCAGGACTGGCATGGCCTAAAAATGATGACCTGGCAAAAATATACACATAAACAAAAGAACTTGGGGTATGCTAACAAACATGATGTGAAGGTTTGCCACACAGTTTCTTTTGATGAGTGGCCCATGTAGAAGTAAGAGCCATTTGGAACCCATAGTATTACACAACCTTTGCGATGGAAAGCTCCTAAAACGGTGAAGTTGTCGAACTGTATTTGATTCTATTTGGGTTTGTCTGAAAATAGAAAATCCCATAGTTTTCCCAGTTCAAATTGCAGTTGTTTGGGTATGACTTCGGACACACCCATGTGCATGTTCGGCATTGAAGGAGAAGTGTATATGCCGGCCTGACCTTCCCCCCCATTTCGCTGCTTGCTTTCATTCCATTACCCTGAAAAACATCTTCCAATCAGCTAAAAGTTAGCAAACAAATCATTGTACTTCATCAAGTTGTGCTGCAAAGATGGTTTTGCCCCAAGAATTCCATGGGATTAAACCCAAGGGATTAAAACACATATGATCCTTAGAACTCCTTGGGGATTGTAAGGGGGTTATCCTTCAAATCCAAGGGATTTTTTGCCCCCAGCACGAGGCTCAGACCAAGTGATTGGTGGACAAAGCTGTATGCCTCCAAAGGTCCCACATCCTCAGGCGGCACGAAGAGGGTGACTTTGGTGCCTGGTTTTGGAGACTTTTGTCTGTCCCAACATGGTGACCCCTACCTTTTTTGATATCCGGAGATGGGAACATGATGCGAATCCCGAGTTTTTTTGTACTGTAGGAGACCCCCATTGGCACAGCCCCAAAAATATTGGGCAACTTGGAGGTGGAACAGTTTACTCGATGTAAAGGCACATTCGAAAGGGCTGCAGAACAATGGTCCCTTGGGAAAGTAGGAAGATATACTGTAGTCGTAATTCCACAAGAACAATGTATCTGTAAGGTCAAATTTTGATTCTCAGGCACCGGTCAGAGCGGTTTTTTCATTTCTAGTGTTCAAAACTCGACCTTTTCCCATTTTTTTGGTACCCAATGTTGATCTTTTTTTGGACCCCAAAGCTACAGTTTCTCCTAAGAAAAAAACCCAACAATGGCTGAGGATCAGTCCATGAAAGTCCTCTGGTCAAGTCCCTTCCTTGGAGTCATCCCAGCAGGGAACTAACCCCCACTGACCAGTGATGGTAGGGTCTTTTTTTATGGGGCTACCCTCTGGTAAAGTAACATAGCTATAGAAAATCACCATTTTTAATGGCTAAATCCACTATAAATGGCCATGTTCAATAGCTATGTTAAATTACCAGAGGGTACCCCCCAATTCCATGATTGATCATGTTCCTGGTAATTTATGGCTACAACTGTTATTTTTATGTGGCTATCCCCAATAAACATAACCCATATCCTATCTATCCTTAAAAACATCTGGGGCACCAGGCGCCACTTGAAATCCGCCGCCCTTCGTCATCTAAAATTCTCTGCTCAATCCTGGCACCGAAACAAGCGACTGTCGAAGAGAGACCCAATATAATTTTGAGACAAGCTTAAGTTGAATGGGTACTATCATATATCATGTGGATTTGTTTTTCACCTATTACTGTAAAACACATATATATATATAATGATATATATATATATATATTCTCCTGGATAATATCAGATATCCTAGATTTTTCCACTGCAAAATGATTGCTCGAAATCCAAAACAGCAATAAGTATTGCCAATTTAGCCTAAAAAATATTGCCGTTTCCATTGGCCGGTTCAGTGTCCACATTTTCGGCTCTTATTTTTGTTTGCAGTTTCGGCGGGTTTTGTGCTTTTTCGCCGTTTCAAAAAATCGGCGAACACATGCAAAAACAGGAACATATAAAAATTGCTCGGAGGCAGAAAAAATGCCGCCAGCAATAATTCCTGAACGGGCAATATGTGTTCATACGTTGAAGTTCTTCCAGGTATACTTGTATACAAATATATATAGATATATAATTATATAATTATATGCAATATATAAAATACATATCTCATAAAACATCCCAAAAATAATCCCAAAATCTGGCACGACCTGGATACGGACACAGGTCACAACGCTGGTCCCGCAGCCTCTGTACATCTTGCAGCGCAGCCAGTGCCGCAGCTGCTGAATGAGCAGCCACGGATTGCCTCGGCCAGCGCCCAGCGCAGTGGCCGTTTCTCGTCACGTGGGCCCATAGGGATTCTCTGAAGATATGAGAATTTAAGGGGATTTAGATGGATTTAGTGATCTAGATCTGGGGATTATTAGGATATAGTGGGACATAAGTATATTTAATATATTCTAATATATTGTATTAATGGATATTCATAAGAGTTACTGGAAGTGGGTGTTTGTGGGATTTAGAACGAGGTTAGTCACACTCATTGGGGATATGATGAAATATGATATCACGATCTATCACGGGTATTTATGATGGTATTTATTTTTTGGTTTTAATGGCAATCAGTGGGGGTTTATTTGGATATAAACAACAATTTTCTAGGTAATTCATGAGGTATAACATGGGGAAAATAGGGAAATAAAGATATGTGATGTGTCTTTAACTGGAATTAATTCAGTAACCAACTGGTTGGTGGTTTTAACATGTTTTAACCATCTTGAACAATATTGGTCAATGGGAAGGATTATCCCATATTCATATATTATAGAAAATAAAAAATGTTTGAAATCACCAACCAGCCAACAATATGATGTTTGGGTGTGCTTGAAATTGAGGCACCCCCAAATCCTTTTGGAACGGGAACATAACCCGAAACACTTTGGAGGTATCCAAATTTCAGAGAAACCCTGAACCCGAAGATACCCTATGGTATCGAAAATTGCCATTCATAGTGAGTTTTCCCATAGAAAACATGGTGATTTTCCATAGTTATGTTAGTTTACCAGAGGGTACACGCATGTTCACATTTTCAAGTTTGGATCTGGCGACTAGCTACGTATTGTTTTTTTCCCAAGCATGATACCTCAAAAAATTTCGTCACAACCTGGTGTAAACATAAGTTGGGTGGGTAAAGTAGTCAGATTCTCTTCGTTCAGTTTCACCAGTTTTGGGACGATTTCATATCATATCATATCTACCAGCCTCTGGCAATCCATGCTGGAACATCCAATAGCCCATAGGATCCATGTATTATATATATATATATGCTAACATTGGGGGTATATTGATGGTAAATGTTACCATATATAGCATACATGGATCCTATGGGTAATAGTCACTAATTCTTTCATGATTTTCCCATCGAACATCATCGAACCATTTAGTTTTAGGATGTTTTAGGGCTTTCCAGAAGGCCATCTACGAGGACAACCCTGAGGCTATCCCCCATTGTTGAACAGCTTAAATCAGGTGAAATCAATGTTTGTTGGTATTTGTTGGTCATACATGACATATGGCATGAAATATTCATATTTTTGTTTTTTGTAGGTCTCCCATGAGACATGTCCATTCATGGGGACTCACCCTGGATCTAGCCCTCTCAACCGATCTCTCAGCTGCCGACGTGCTCAAAACCTTGGTTGCCGGTTGCCATTTTGCGGGTGAAATCTCAGTTCTCATCATGTAGCCTATGAAAATGTACGTGTTTTGGTACGTATAAACCCAGTTTTAAAATGTTTTAAATAGTTTTAAGGACTATACCCCATAGGACCCATGTATGGTATATTAATGCTAACAGCTAACATAAAGGGGGTATATTGATGGGATCCATGTCACCATATATAGCAGCACCATGGATCCTATGGGTACTGATACTCCACTTTGGACACGCCACCCCTGAATGGTCTTGAACCATCTTGAACCCAACCCGAATTCGGGTGACCTCTCTGGTCCTCCCTGCCGAGAGACAACTGGCAGCTGCGCTAGCAGTATCCACCACACAGCACCCATGCCCCCAACGAACCACGCGCGGCAATCGCGCGGTTCGCCGATGGTGGCAACGGGCACCGGGAGCCAAGCTGAGCCAAATGGTTGATGAAAATCGTGTGACATCTTTTGGACTAAGATTCAAAATGATTTCCAGAATTTTGTGGATTTTGAAAAGTCCGAATGGTTCAAGCTGATTCGAAACAATCAACATGTGTGTAACATTGTGTAACCAGTAGCTCCGAATTTCAACCCATGCTATTCAAGTGCCAGTCAAGTTGTTTCTCAAGGATCCCCAAACAATCAGTTTTCCCTACTCAACATGCACCAAGTTCGAATGTCCTTGATGTCCTTGTGAACCCACCATCCGAGCGGAAAAACTCGGGCGAAATCAAAAAATGGAACTTCCCCCGAGATCTTCCGATGAACATATCAGAAGAATATGAATGAAACCAGCCTATTTCCAATGTTGAAGTCTTGGGATGAATCTTTGGTGCATATTTTTTTGGAATCATGGCTAGAACATGCTGGAACCTGCAAACCCAGGCTGGCCACTAAACATAGCCCCTATAGACTCGGATCGTGTGTGTCTTTCTCGTTGGTCTTGAAAGGTTTGTTACATCCAGGCAACCAGTTTATGATTGAAAATATTTGCATCCACCCTCAACTGTTTTTTGTTCAAACATGTTGAAAGTTTAAAGCACCATTTACCCTCTGGTAAACGTTTACATAACTATGGAAATCACCATCTTTTTATGGGTAAATCAACTATAAATGGGCCATTTTCCATAGCTATGTTAGTTTACCAGAGGGGCCATGAAGCGCGAGCAGCTGTAGCATCTTGTTTGTCACAGTTTGTCTCGTTGGCCAAAGCGGTTTTCCTGGCGGCAAAACGATATGGCGTCCTTTTGGTGTCAGATAAGGTCCACTTTCAAGGCCAACAACTACACGTTAACTAGATTCAAACTTCATTATTGACCTGTCAAGCCACATCAATCATATGCTCTAGCCACCCACCTGAAGTTTCCTCTCATTTAAGTGCGGCTGTGTCTAAAAAAGAAAAGGCTATCCCGAAATTTGATTGTTATTTGTTCACATTTTCCCTAATCATCCCTGTTGCGTTGTAGAAACCAAGTGGCTGCTGACGATGGCTCAAGACTACTCCTCCTCGGAATATTAAAATACACATGTGAAACTCTGTGAATATTTTGATAATACCCTAACTCAGAAGAATATCAAGACCTTTTAACAAACGAACACCCAAAACGCTCACCTGGTTGGTGGTTTCAATCCCTCTGAAAAATATGAAAGTCAGATTGGGATTATTATTCCCAATATATAGAAAAAAATCATGTTCCCCACCAACCAGACGATTTTTTCATATTCTCCTGATTCCTGCAATCTCAAGACAAGCCTCCACACGGTGGACCCCCAGGCCTGCGGTTCCTCCCTGTCCAAAAAGCTTCACCATCCTCAGCATCGCCATCAGACTCGCTGTCTGCGAAGCTCCTGTCAGATCTGATGGGATTGTAACGTGTTGCATGATGTGAACTAGCAAAACCCCAAACAGATTTAAGCAACAATGCACGTTTCAAACATAGTGGGTTAGTGGACATAGTGGTAAGTTCAACCTTTCTCAGTTTTTTTCCTGGGTTAGGATGCAAAATCAGATTATTTGGCGTATTTATCAATTGGAGTCATGTATTGCACATGAGTCTGTGCCGCAAGTGGATACGTTTTTTGTCTTCTCTATGGAGAGGGACATTCCTCATAGGGACACTCCCGGAATATTCCTTTTTATTCATGTTAATTCGAAATATTTCAATTTCCTTCCAAATAATGCAATTTCATTCCAAATATCTAATTTTTATTCCAAAAAATGCTTTGTCGTTCATGTTCGTTCAAGGTTTTTTCAAATGATTATTTCACGCTTTGTTGTTATTAAAAAAATGAATTGTTTTGTTTTTGATATGTTATGTTTTGATTGTTTGTTTTTTCATATATTTTTTATTTAAATATGTTTTGACATTTTTTTAATCATTAGTGTTTTGTTTGTTTTTGTTTTTGTTTGTTTTTGACTTGTTTTTGTTTTTTTTGTTTGTTTGTGTCTTTATGTTTTTTTTTGTATTTTGTTTGTTTCTGTTTTTTTTTCATTGCTTTTATTGTTTGTTGACTTTGTCTGTCTTTTTTTGTTTTTTTTGATTTGTCCCAATTTTTCGTTCAAACTGTTTCGTTTTTTTTTGAATATGTTATTCACAAACTACCGCTTCCCAAACTACCGCTTCCCATGAACAAACTCCCTAAAAAAAAGAGGCTATCCCGAAATTTGATTGTTATTTGTTCACAATTTCCCTAATCATCCCTGTTGCGTTGTAGAAACCAAGTGGCTGCTGACGATGGCTCAAGACTACTCCTCCTCGGAATATTAAAATACACATGTGAAACTCTGTGAATATTTTGATAATACCCAAACTCAGAAGAATATCAAGACCTTTTAACAAACGAACACCCAAAACGCTCACCTGGTTGGTGGTTTCAATCCCTCTGAAAAATATGAAAGTCAGATTGGGATTATTATTCCCAATATATAGAAAAAAATCATGTTCCCCACCAACCAGACGATTTTTTCATATTCTCCTGATTCCTGCAATCTCAAGACAAGCCTCCACACGGTGGACCCCCAGGCCTGCGGTTCCTCCCTGTCCAAAAAGCTTCACCATCCTCAGCATCGCCATCAGACTCGCTGTCTGCGAAGCTCCTGTCAGATCTGATGGGATTGTAACGTGTTGCATGATGTGAACTAGCAAAACCCCAAACAGATTTAAGCAACAATGCACGTTTCAAACATAGTGGGTTAGTGGACATAGTGGTAAGTTCAACCTTTCTCAGTTTTTTTCCTGGGTTAGGATGCAAAATCAGATTATTTGGCGTATTTATCAATTGGAGTCATGTATTGCACATGAGTCTGTGCCGCAAGTGGATACGTTTTTTGTCTTCTCTATGGAGAGGGACATTCCTCATAGGGACCTCCCGGAATATTCCTTTTTATTCATGTTAATTCGAAATATTTCAATTTCCTTCCAAATAATGCAATTTCATTCCAAATATCTAATTTTTATTCCAAAAAATGCTTTGTCGTTCATGTTCGTTCAAGGTTTTTTCAAATGATTATTTCACGCTTTGTTGTTATTAAAAAAATGAATTGTTTTGTTTTTGATATGTTATGTTTTGATTGTTTGTTTTTTCATATATTTTTTATTTAAATATGTTTTGACATTTTTTTAATCATTAGTGTTTTGTTTGTTTTTGTTTTTGTTTGTTTTTGACTTGTTTTTGTTTTTTTTGTTTGTTTGTGTCTTTATGTTTTTTTTTGTATTTTGTTTGTTTCTGTTTTTTTTTCATTGCTTTTATTGTTTGTTGACTTTGTCTGTCTTTTTTTGTTTTTTTTGATTTGTCCCAATTTTTCGTTCAAACTGTTTCGTTTTTTTTTGAATATGTTATTCACAAACTACCGCTTCCCAAACTACCGCTTCCCATGAACAAACTCCCTAAAAAAAAGAGGCTATCCCGAAATTTGATTGTTATTTGTTCACAATTTCCCTAATCATCCCTGTTGCGTTGTAGAAACCAAGTGGCTGCTGACGATGGCTCAAGACTACTCCTCCTCGGAATATTAAAATACACATGTGAAACTCTGTGAATATTTTGATAATACCCAAACTCAGAAGAATATCAAGACCTTTTAATAAACGAACACCCAAAACGCTCACCTGGTTGGTGGTTTCAATCCCTCTGAAAAATATGAAAGTCAGATTGGGATTATTATTCCCAATATATAGAAAAAAATCATGTTCCCCACCAACCAGACGATTTTTTCATATTCTCCTGATTCCTGCAATCTCAAGACAAGCCTCCACACGGTGGACCCCCAGGCCTGCGGTTCCTCCCTGTCCAAAAAGCTTCACCATCCTCAGCATCGCCATCAGACTCGCTGTCTGCGAAGCTCCTGTCAGATCTGATGGGATTGTAACGTGTTGCATGATGTGAACTAGCAAAACCCCAAACAGATTTAAGCAACAATGCACGTTTCAAACATAGTGGGTTAGTGGACATAGTGGTAAGTTCAACCTTTCTCAGTTTTTTTCCTGGGTTAGGATGTATATTCAGATTATTTGGCGTATTTATCAATTGGAGTCATGTATTGCACATGAGTCTGTGCCGCAAGTGGATACGTTTTTTGTCTTCTCTATGGAGAGGGACATTCCTCATAGGGACACTCCCGGAATATTCCTTTTTATTCATGTTAATTCGAAATATTTCAATTTCCTTCCAAATAATGCAATTTCATTCCAAATATCTAATTTTTATTCCAAAAAATACTTTGTCGTTCATGTTCTTTCAAGGTTTTTTCAAATGATTATTTCACGCTTTGTTGTTATTAAAACAACAAATTGTTTTGTTTTTGATATGTTATTTGTTGTTTGTTTGTTTTTTCATATGTTTTTTTTAAATATGTTTCATGACATTTGTTTAATCATTATTTGTTTGTTTGTTTTTGTTTTTGTTTGTTTTTGACTGGTTTTTGTTTTTTTTTTGTTTGTTTGTGTTTTTATGTTTTTATGTATTTTTGTTTGTTTCTGTTTTTTTTTCATTGCTTTTATTGTTTGTTGACTTTGTCTGTCTTTTTTTGTTTTTTTTGATTTGTCCCAATTTTTCGTTCAAACTGTTTCGTTTTTTTTTGAATATGTTATTCACAAACTACCGCTTCCCAAACTACCGCTTCCCATGAACAAACTCCCTAAAAAAAAGAGGCTATCCCGAAATTTGATTGTTATTTGTTCACATTTTCCCTAATCATCCCTGTTGCGTTGTAGAAACCAAGTGGCTGCTGACGATGGCCCAAGACTACTCCTCCTCGGAATATTAAAATACACATGTGAAACTTTGTGAATATTTTGATAATACCCAAACTCAGAAGAATATCAAGACCTTTTAACAAACGAACACCCAAAACGCTCACCTGGTTGGTGGTTTCAATCCCTCTGAAAAATATGAAAGTCAGATTGGGATTATTATTCCCAATATATAGAAAAAAATCATGTTCCCCACCAACCAGACAATTTTTTCATATTCTCCTGATTCCTGCAATCTCAAGACAAGCCTCCACACGGTGGACCCCCAGGCCTGCGGTTCCTCCCTGTCCAAAAAGCTTCACCATCCTCAGCATCGCCATCAGACTCGCTGTCTGCGAAGCTCCTGTCAGATCTGATGGGATTGTAACGTGTTGCATGATGTGAACTAGCAAAACCCCAAACAGATTTAAGCAACAATGCACGTTTCAAACATAGTGGGTTAGTGGACATAGTGGTAAGTTCAACCTTTCTCAGTTTTTTTCCTGGGTTAGGATGTATATTCAGATTATTTGGCGTATTTATCAATTGGAGTCATGTATTGCACATGAGTCTGTGCCGCAAGTGGATACGTTTTTTGTCTTCTCTATGGAGAGGGACATTCCTCATAGGGACACTCCCGGAATATTCCTTTTTATTCATGTTAATTCGAAATATTTCAATTTCCTTCCAAATAATGCAATTTCATTCCAAATATCTAATTGTTTATTCCAAAAAATACTTTGTCGTTCATGTTATTTCAAGGTTTTTTCAAATGATTATTTCACGCTTTGTTGTTATTAAAAAACGATTTGTTTTGTTTTTGACATGTTATTTTTTTTATTGTTTGTTTGTTTTTTGTTTTTTTTTAATATGTTTTTTTTTATATGTTTTGACGATTTGTTTAATCATTATTTTTTTGTTTGTTTTTGTTTTTGTTTGTTTATGACTTGTTTTTGTTTTTTGTTCGTTTGTGTTTTTATGTTTTTATATATTTTGTTTTTCTGTTTTTTTTCATTGTTTTTATTGTTTGTTGAATTTGTCTGTCTTTTTTATTTTTTATAGTGTTTTTTGTTTTCTTATTTGTCCCAATTGTTCGTTCAAACTGTTTCGTTTTTTTTTTAATATGTTATGTTCTTTGTTTTTTTTGTGGAATGTGTTCCGTTTTTTTCCTGTTTTTTAATTTTTTGGAATTCGTTTTGGAATGCGTGGATTGTTTTTGTTTCAGTTGTTTTTTGATATTTTTTTTACTTTTTGAGATTTTTTCAGATTTTTTTGCAAGGATAGCAACTTTTAGGAGCCCTTTGAGGAGTACCCCAGGGCTCTTTAATGATTTTTTGGAATACTTGGGATCCCAACACCTCTCTTTTCTCAGCATATCCAATTGTGGGATGGTCCATTTCTGCTTGGTGGTGCAATAACCCTCTTGAAAAATCATGGACTTCGTCAATGGGTTTCGGATGACATCCCATATATGAACTGGAAAGTCATAAAATTCCATGGTGACAAACCACCAAGCAGATTTGCTTCCATGGGATGATTGCTTCCATGGGATGATTTTCTCGAGTGGTGAAAACTCTTGGGGGCAGCACCTACTATGGGAATGGGGACTCGCTGAAAAAACATGCGAACCAGTCCTTCCTTTTCGCGACATAGTTGGCTTGCCAACGGCTTCACCATCACTCGAAACGACGTTGGAAACGACGTTGTCCTTCTCTCCCTGAAGGTCGTATTCTTCACCTTCGCTTTCTGAAGCTGTATCTCCTTCGGGATCCTTCGTGCGAGCACAAGAACTGCCCAACAAATTACTGTCCTACAGTCCTACATATATTTTTCTTAGCGCACATGCAATTTAAACCTTCTGTGGACAAATACTCCAAGAAATTTCTTAAGGGAATATCTTCAGGACATCACTGCTAGCAAAGGTTTCCTCTAGTAGCAAAAACTATCTTCCTCCTACAAATATGTTTGAAACCTTGAACATCCGTGGACAAATCGACTCCAAGAAACTTCGACATTTTTTTTTTCGAGTGTTGCAGCTCCCAGTCACAATTCCAGTCCCAGTTCATAAAAAAACTGTCCTCCTCCTCATATTCTTCATATGGCCATGTGCGTTCAGCCCGATCTTCGGGCCACGGACTGCTGGGCGCCTGGATGGGTCCCCCCTCCACGTCGATGGTGCCACGGGAGGAGCGCACCGGTGTGAGGAAATGGGCGTCCTCGACGCCCTCGTAATCCAGGTCGTGGAACCTTTGAACAAGTGGATTTTCCCAGGAAAAGCATGGGGAAATCACCAAAAATCATTGGATTCACCCGTAAAACATGGTGGTCTAATATGGTTTAAGAAGTTTTTTATGCGGTGGACGTGAACATCTTTCCAAGGTTGGATTTGCTCCCAAGAAAAATAAGGGAAAACATAGATTGATTCATCTAAATATGGTAATTCATTTATAAGAGGTGTCCCATAATGCAAATGCATCCATGCATCCAACAAACACGTGGAAATATCCAACATTATCCAACATTAAACCAACTAGAATTCCATGGAATTCCCATAGATTGAATAACCATCCTCATGGAACCAGCTACAACATCCAAAAAACAAATCTATAAGCAGAACCATCCTACATCTGCACATCTGCACACATCCTACAAAAACATCCATGAAGATAGTCAAAGGGGATAATCAATTCTAGTGTTCCATCCCGAAAAATCCCCAAATATCTCTGGGGTATCTGGGAAAGTAGCAGACTTCACTAATTCGTATAAATTTTGGCCACCAATGGCCACCGATCCTGCCCGTGCCCTCGAATAGGTCTTAGTCTTTTTTGGATCGTTACGCCCTACAATTCCCATGATGTTCAGGCTTCGGTCGCGATCCCCACAAGGTGGTGCCCCATAGTTAGCTAAGTTGGTTTATAACTCCCATAACTATGGTTTATGGCAGATATACTAGCTATAGTTAATGGGGTTTATAAACCAACTTATATATAACTGGGGGGCACCATCCTGCACCGGGCACCTGCTATGCAAATGATCCCTGAAGGGTGCGGGAATCGCTTTGCCGCTGCGGGATCCGATGGAATGGGTCACGTGGGTCTCTCCGTTCAACATCATCGCATCGCTCGCAGTACCATAGACCTGGCGATCATCGCACAAGGTGAGGTATTACCCTCTGGTAAACTAACATAACTATGGAAAATGACCATTTTTAATGGGTAAATCCACTATAAACGGTGATTTTCCATAGTTATGTTAGTTTACCAGAGGGTATGTCTATGTATGTCGACACATACACATATACATTACATATGGATGGATGGATGGATGGATGGAAGTATGGAAGCATTTGAGCATGTATGGGATGTATGTATAATGTATAATAATGTATAATAATGTATAATAATTTATGATTAATAACGTGTAATTATGTATAATAATGCACACACATGTAAAATAATGTATGCAAGTACAATAATGTATAATAATGTATAGTAAGTGCATGTTGGAGATACGATTGTGTACTCTATATGCCCTATAAAATGTGAGAGATATACCCACTGGTAAACTAACAGTTTGCCATTGAAAATGGCCATTTATAGTGGATTTATCAATTAACAGATGGTGATTTTCCATAGTTTTTTTTATTTACCCTCTGATAAACTAACATAACTATGGAAAATCACCATTTTCAATGGGAAAATCCACTATAAATTGCCATTTTCAATAGCTATTTTGACATAACCAGAGGGTAACGTTTACCAAAGATCTAGACCGAAAGAGCCTCGATGTAGTGCGGGAAATCGCCAGGTTGGAAGAAGTACTCGGGACTCCGGTACAAGACCTCCAACCTGAAGGACACACGACACGAGTGGGGGTTTGATTGAACATAGAGGGTCAACAGTTTAGTATCATTTAGTATCCCTAAAGGTGTTTAGTAATACCCATAGGATCCATGTATGGTATATATGGTAGCAATATAGGATCCCTCTGGTTATGTCAAAATAGCTATTGAAAATGGCCATAGAAATAGTGAGTTTTCCCATGAAAAATGGTGATTTTCCATAGTTATGTTAGTTTACCAGAGGGTATCCCTAAACGTGTTTAGTAATACCCATAGGATCCATGTATGGTATATATGGTAACATGGATCCCATCAATATACCCCCAATGTTAGCATATATACCATACATGGATCCTATGGGATAGTAACTTTAGTATCCCTAAATGGTGGGAGTTGATCGTAACTTTCGTATCCTGAGAATGGTTGAGTATCCCCTAAATCCGTTGGTCAATGACCATTTTCCTGATAGAAATTGGACATCAATTGTGGGTATCCGCCAGTTTCAGTTACCCAAATTCCCGAAGACGGGAAGTTGTTTGGGCCATCAACAAGAAGGATCAACAAACATTTGTAGTTGCCTGTTCGCCCAAATGCTGGATGAAACACTGGAGAAACACTTCAGCAAATCTCCCCTTCTAAGTTTTACCATTAAAATATATAGTGAAAAATGGCTAGCTTTCCCAAGTGAAGGTCATTAAAAAACTATTTTTTCCAAAACCTAATTATTCTAATCATTGTTTTATCTTGTCAGCCTTGCTTTGGCCAAGGTGAAGACTAGGGGGATAGCGACCTTCAAGTCATCTAGAAACTCAAGAGCCAACGAATCAGAAAAGGGTGTTCAAAAAACAAGATGAAGCCACAGCATGATACACACATCAAACATATTGGCGTTGCCTGAAAAAAATACGGGAATACCGCCCAAAAACAATGGTTTATATATATATGTATATCATCATTTTCCTTAGTATAGTTGGGCTATAGTTGGGAATAATATAGCCACAATTTTCAGACACACCCATATAGACATATTTTGAGCTACGTCGGTTAACTATGGTTCATGATAAATGGTCGAGATATCAAACTAGCTAATAGGGTTTATAAACCAACAAACATACCTGAGGAGGGGCACCACCTTGCATATATGTAATAGTATCCCCATATATCCCAATATATCTCCTAATATAGTTTCCTGATATAGTTTAATAAATTATTAATAATGTTTAGGAAATATGAAATATGAACATTATCAATTAGGAATAATATATCCTAATATAGTTTCCTAATTAATAGTTTATATAATAATGTTTATGAAATATGAACAGAACATCAATGAAATATCCCAGCAGATTTCCCATGATGATATCCGAGCAGTCAAAGACTGCTAAATGTGGGTAAAACAGTGGCCATGTTTACCATCCCCCAGTCATCAGAATTTTTATAGCTGGGATTTATATAAACCATTCCCAGGAAGTCATGGGTGATTTATTAATCAGTGTTTAACACACATTATTTAGTATTAATGGTGATTAATGATTCTAGAATGGTGGTTAATGATGATTACCATCTGGTTATTTAACATAGCCATGGAAAATCACCATTTTTAATAGGTAAACCATCTATGAATGGGCCATCTATACCATGGCGCACTGTTAGTCATAACCAGAGGGTAAATGGCGATGAAATCAGTGATTCATGATGAACATATCGCCATCAATCACCATTTCATCAGCATTTCATTACCCATGACGGATCCGTGGTGCTGGTATATATGCTAACATAAAGGGGGTATATTGATGGGATCCATGTTACCCTATATAGATATATAGTGATATATAGCATACATGGATCCGTCATGGGTTAGAGCCATCTGTTTTTTGGGTTTCGGAAAAAACACGACGGTCGTAGCAGCTGATACTGTTCCCTCATCTCTCGGGTGAAGAGGTGAACCTTGATAGGCCCGCAATGTGCCACGACCCATTCGTCCTCGCGGGTGCCGTAGCAGAAGGCTTCCACGAAGGGTGCGCGACAAGCTTCCGTGGCGCGAAACATGATGTGTCCTGGAGCAAAAAACAGAGAATTCCAATGTGGATTCAGATGCAAAAGCAACAAAAAAGGGGGGGATCATATGTGACATAATCTAGTCGGTGGTTTCAACCCCTCTGAAAAGTATTAGTCAGTTGGGATGATTATTCCCAGTATATGGAAAAATAAGAACTGTTCCAAACCACCAACCAGTAACTAATTATCTACAAAATTGTAGCTGATAAATCGGGAATATCCAGTTGTATCCAGTTGTCAAATGATAATTTAAGCAACAGAAATTGGATTTAGCCAGGAAACTGGTAGTTTGAGGATTGGGACAGGGGTTTGTAAATGAAATATAATTTTGGGATTAATTGCCAATAAACAATGTTGATATATCCACCAAACAAGTGGCTCTTGTGTGAGGAAAAGGGGTTCCGGCCCAGGCGATTTTTCAGCCGGCCACACATCGGGCTTCACCTCAACAGATCTCAACAGATCTCAGAAAAGGCCAGGGGGATTCATGTGTTTTTAGCCAGCTCTTAAGCATGGAGAGGTGCCCACAAGAAATCAGAAGAATTTTCTGCTGAACTAAAGGATGCAACAATATGCAACTAAAGAAATCAAAACTGTTACACTGTTCTTGGAACATTGCATACGTGTCGCAAAAATAAGGTTGTGTAGACAGTAAATTACCCGCCATGCTGAATAGCATTTCTGTTCACATCGGCCAAACGAAATTCCATCATCGTGGTTGCGGATATTTACTGCAAACTGAGGATGTCCTATCTTAATGACCAGGTCAGAATATAGAAGGTTATGTAAATCTTTGTAAATCCCTGTATCAGTTGGTTAAGACCAATCGCTTGTTCAATGCCTAATTTTCTTTGCACAATTCACCAATTTTATCAGTTTTCTAGCTTGACTTGAACCATTACTTAGACTTGGTCGAATCCCCATCGCGTTGATCCATTTTTGCCCTTGAACACCATGCCCTTGCCCGGTCCCTGTCCTAATCTCCGACAATGCCTTGCTGTGACGCCAGTTGCAATGATTACAAACATCCCAACGTCTCGACGGTCGCACTCATTCATGTCCTCCACGAATGGAAGGAAAAATCGACAGGAAATCACATAGCCATAGGATCCGGCTGGTGCTGGTATATTAATGCTAACATAAAGGGTTTTTTTGTTGATGGGATCCATGGCACACCATAGCAGCACCATGGATCCTATGGGATAGCTAATACAGCTTCAGTCTATCACCATCTTAGTAGGGTTTAGCACCTAAACAAACTATCTTTTTGGATAATATGATATTATAAGTCATTTTCACCAGCAAAAACCATGGAGATTTCATAGAAAATGTCCTGGAAATGTCATGACAGGGGTCTCTTTAGCATTTTATTCGAAGATCATTCTGTCTATCATTCGAGTCTTTGGAAGTTGATGATAACATATCTCCAAAGAATTCAAACAATGCAATTTTGGCGACTTCCATGATAGGATAAACTGTTTAGAATCCTTCAATTGATGTTTAGAATCCCCTAAACGGCGACCATTCCTTACAGGAAATTGGTAAGGATTAGCATCGAAGAATTGGTATACGGAATCCTGCAACCATTCCTTACATCAAACATGTCTTGAACAATGCTTGTATCAAACAAAAATGGCTAAAGATGGCTAAAGTTCACAGATGTCATGAACCATTACGATCCATTATGCATATAAAACAATGATACTCCCAAATTCCATAGTCTACCTTGTTTCCCTATTGAAGTCGCCATACATTCCGAACCAATCTCCCATTTTGCTGAAGTCCAAAAGGGGATCTACTTTTCACTGGTGGGTTTTCCGCATCTTGTTTGTATGTTTACAGGAGAGTATCTGGATCAATTGCAATCTTTCACCAACCAGAAAAGTGAATTGCCATGTTGGGAGAACTGACCTAATCCTAACTCAATCCTAAACGTCGTCCTTGATTGCTCAGATTATCAGATTATTATTCCCTTATTAAACGTGTATATATATATATATTATTTATATATATATATTATTTATATATATATATTCTTTATATATACGTATATAATAGAATAATATATCATATTCTGGTATTATAATGTATTATACTTATTCAATCTTCTTCAGATTATCTCTTGATTTTGTATCATCAATTGGTGAAGTCGCCATGGCGTCCTCTGACTATCCGGTCCCAGCGTCGATGATGCGCACATCTTGCGCCTGTTCAGCCCGAAGGAGATCCGCCAACATCTCAGGTGTAGGTAAGGAACCCCTGGGCCATGTTGAAACGCTTTCCAGCCACATATCTTCCTTGGACGGCGAAAAGCCGTCTTGGGGACGGGCATTTTTTCGTCACCGGTCACCATCCATAAAGCCATGGTGACGTGGGGATGGTGACTATGGTGGGTGAAATCCCACATTGATATCATTGCATTGCCAATCTTAGGTACCCTGCAAAAATATTATTTTTTGTTGCTGGTGAACGTAGATATTCCCACTCATACCAAAAGACTAAAGACTATTGAAATATCCATGTAAGATTGACCTAGATTGTAATCTCTTGATTCATTTCTGGTGGGTGTCGAAATACATCGAAAGAACAAAACTCCTCTTCCAACCGTCAAAACACAAGTCATGCAGTGCTCAGATCACTGGTTCTTAGGGATTCTAGTAGTGGATCATCCCCAATAAAACAGGTAGCTTCAAATCCCCTGCAATAACCAGTTAACGAATGTCATCATATGTGTTAATTCCCAGCTCTCCTGCCAAGAGTCATGTATAAATGATCACAAAATCAACACAAAAAAACGTAGAAATCTAAGAGATAAAAACAGGGAACCACCCAGCCAATGTCAATTGCACCACCACCAAGCGTCTTTGCCATGTTCGCCATCATCTTCAAAGCCAGTAGCCCACAAATGTCCTTTGGCAGGTCTCACCACTGGGTCATGGTAGTATCGCCACTCATCCTGCGCAGGAGAACAATTGACAAAGGGATCCCATTGGAAGTAAAACAATGTAAAACACATATTGGTTAATCAATTCACCACTGTGAATCATGCTTGGGATGAACCAATATTTTGAATATGTAGTTTGGGTTTGTCTGAAAATGAAGTATCCAAAACATATTGGTTCATCACGGTTCATCATGTTCACCCATTGAATTGCTATTTTGGGGGTGTACACCCCATTTTCAAACAAGCCCATGTGTCAGAAACATCATGAATCAGGAGAAACATGTGCTTATTACCATCCATCCAACTTGTGTCTTGGATAAGACCGGATATCATATCTCCAGCGGTTGGAACAAGACAAAAGAATCTGCTGCCTTGTATCCCAGTTCTTGGTTGAATCCCAGTAAAAAAAATCATGTCTGCTGTCGCCGGTTTGTGGTTTCGTAAAGATGTTTGGTTATACAGTAACCTATCCCATAGGATCCATGTATGCTATATATGGTGACATTTACCATCAATATACCCCAAATGTTAGCATATATACCAGCACCATGGATCCTATGGGTATTACATCTCTTGAGATCTTAGCGCCATCTCCAGGCTTTCAATCTACACATCTTATTGATGGTTTTTTGGCATCAACCGACGGGGATTGAGAGGGAAGAATCATGGGATATATAGTGGGATTACACTCTGGTAAACGTTTACATAACTATGGAAAATCACCATTTTTAATGGGAAAATCAATGAACATCAACTATTTCGACTGGGCCATTTTCAATAGTTTTTTGTATGTTTACCAGAGGGTATATGGCATTTCCCAGCTTCTGGTATACCCAAGGTATGGGCATGTTTAAACCCGGTTCTCCAGTGGTCCAGGTCATGTGGTGTCAAGACAATGTCATAAACCATCTCCAAAATCACCATAAATGGTTTGGATCTGCTTGGATGGTACAAATCATCCCCAAATGGTAGGACTTTTCATGGCATTTGGTGAATCCCATATGATTTCATAGATAGTGACAACCAAAACAGATACCGAAAAGTGATTTAAACTATAAAATAGTAGGAATGGACTTTTTTATCTCTTAAAGGATTAATTACTATAATTGAAACCCTGTTGTCCTCAACCTCATCTTCTTGCTTTTGCAACTCGCGATGCTTCTCCAGGTAGTAATCCTGGGCCCTGCTCACCAATCGTTCACGGTTTTCCATGTAGAAGACCTGCTGGGCGGACGTTTCTCCGGCCGTGCAATCAAACATCAATAGCTGGGAAATCCTGTAGAACTTGGGCATTTCAATGGGACACTCATCAAACTGAACAGGGGTTTTTCCAGTAAGCCATGCTGGACTACCAGAGGCTACCCCACAAGGATTTCTTCGGCGTCTGGAAGCCCCTGTTCCATGGGGGTACCCAAGCTCATGGCCTCTCCCGACACTTCCACTTCAACCAATGAATTGAATCTGTCATGAGCATCTAACATTGATTTCTACCAGTGATTGATTGATTGATTGACTGATTGACTGATTGATTGATTGATTGATATGGCCGATTCAATTCAACATCCATGGATATCTACCATTGATCTTCCCCCATCAACCATCAACCCCAACTCACCATCCAATTCCACCTGTGCAGGTGTCAGTTCATCTTCATCCAGCTCCGCTCGTCCTTCATCGGAGATGCGACCTGGGCCCAGCCACGGCAGGTGCCCGCAACAACGGTTCTGGGCGGCCCCCATGATGAAGGACGAAATCGAAGGCGATTCTTCAGACAAACATATATATATATATATATAATTGTGATTTCAGTGCATCAGCAACATACCAACCATCGGTGTGTCCTCTGCAGCGGACCTTTTGTGGCTGAAGTGCCCATAGATGAGGAAAAGAGCCGCAGTGCAGCCCCAGGTGGGGCCGAGCTACCATCGTCATTGGTAGCGGAGCCCCGCCCATGGGGCACCGGCGCGATGGCCGACGAAAGATCGCTGAAACGGTTCAGCGGAGATGTGGATGATCCTGGAAAGGAACTCAGAAAATGGAAGGCATGGGCTCAGGCGAAGCTCGTAACCATGGAAAAGTTAACCGAGAAACAACGTGGACCGTGGTTGTTCACATTGCTGGATGGAGCCGCCTATGAGGCGGTGGAACACTTTTCTCTGGAAGAGATGTCTGCTGAAAATGGAGCAGAACAGATCTGGAAAGCACTCCAGGCCAGGTTTCCAGAGAAAGAGAAGCATGATCAAATGGGAGAGGTTCTGGGCGAAGTGTTTAGCCTAGCTGCAACTGATGGAGAAACAAGCAAACAGTGGACTGCCAGGGTGAAGGACACCTTTGACAGATGCCGCCGCAAGGCGGAGACTGACTTTCCTTCAGCTGCACGGGGTTGGATCACTTTAAACTGCGCAGGCCTCTCAGAACAGGAGAAGGCTATCATCAAGGCAAAGACTCAGGGTAGCTTACAGTTTGATGACATAGCTGCTGCGTTTAGATCATGTTTTCCAGCTTTCAAGGCTCCAGGAGCCAAAGCCAAGAGACCTATTGGAGCTCTTCACATCGACCATGAAGATGTTGGAGAACTGGGCGACCGTGAAGCTGCTCAGGAAGAATGGGATTCTTTTGGTGATGTCGAGGCCTTTTTGGCTGACCATGCAGGCGAGTCACAGTCTGCTGAGATCTCCGAGGGCGAGGCCGCCGAAGCTTTGTCGGTGGCATGGAAAGATCGTAGGCAGGAAATCCAGCGCCACCAGCAGTCGCGGCGCTTTGGCAATCGATCTTCTGCAGCCTCCACAGCTTCCAGCAGGTCCTTTAGGATTGAGGTGGAGGAACTGAAAAAGAAAACCAAATGTCGGAAATGTGGCAAGGTGGGTCATTGGGCCCGTGAGTGCCGTAGCAATGTTTCAGCCTCCTCTGCAAAGGAGCCCAGCTCATCAACATCGAAGCCTGCCATGTCAGCGGATCTGGTGGAGTGCTCAACATTGGATGGCGAGATTTCCTTTGTCGGTGCAGCACAGGTGGTTTCGGTGATGTCAGCTGGTCTGATCTCCTCACCAGGTTGGGGGGTTATAGACACTGGATGTGGTCGCACATAGATAGGGTCTCAAACTCTGGAAGAACTGAATCAGAAACTGGTATCCTTGGGCAAAAGTGCCGCTCAAGAATATGCTGCCACCAACCGTTTCCGTTTTGGGAATGGCCAGGAAGAGACCTCAGTGAAAGCTGTCAGGATTCCAGTGGCGATCAGTGGAACACAAGGCTTGATTGATGCTGCCGTCATTTCTGGACAAGCGCCCCTGCTTTTGGGTCGCCCTACACTGGAGAAATTGAAAGTGCGCCTTGATTTCAGCACAGCCTCAATGAAGATGCTCAATCCTGAGATCACCTCCAACATGATCACGAACGAGGCTGGTCAGCTCCTTGTGAACATTCTCGATTTCAAGCAGAAGGTCCACCCTTCACTGCCTTCCCAGCCATCTGCCGATGCCAAGGACCAGGAGTCTCGGGTGGGGACGGTTTCTAGGGAAGTCACTAGTGAGCCCAAACAGCAAGGGTCAACTCGCAAAAAGGTTACCCTGAAACAAAAAGAGTGCCGATGTTTGTTAGCGCAATTGAAATCAGTGGACAATGCCAAGAAGTCCAAATGTCAAGTTGCTGAACTGTTTTCACCTCCTAGGTTCACCCGTGAAGTTGAAAAGCATGGGGGCAAGGGATTAGCTTTTGACATTAAACAAGGTTGGGACTTGCTTGACCCAAAAACCCAAGATGTGGTAGATCGACTGTTGGACAAGGCATGTCCTGAGTTGCTGGTAGTATGTCCGACATGCACACACTCTGGAGGATGGGAAAACTTAAATCAATACTACAGGACACCGCTGGAAAGAGCACAAATCCTCAGGAGGAATCGAGCTCGACTGCGATTCAGTGTGAAGCAAATTCAGAAGCAAATTCAACGGGGAGGTGCATTCATGTTGGAACACCCATGGCCATCTAGCATATGGAGATCACCGGAGTTAAAGTCCCTGAAACGTAAATATGGGGTGTTTCGTGTTGACATGTGTGCATTCGACCTGCAGTGCCCTGACACCGGAAAACACATCCAAAAGGGCACCGGTCTCATGGTGTCTGATTCCAAAGTGCCTGAGCAGCTTGAAGCATTGTGCCGTTGCCCAGGCGACCATGAACACAGGGTTGTTGCCGGACAGCTCAAGAGTGGACAGCGTGTTAGTGACTTTGTTGCTCAGTACACTCCCAAGTTTGTGCAAACCATGTTGAAAGCTTTTGGAGTAAGCAGCCAATGCCAGGATGTCCACTCCATAGCATGTGTAGGTCACCTTGAATGCTTAGCTGCCGAAGCCAGTGATGCACAGCCAGAAGCGAGTGCTCCTGAGAAAGAAGGTTCCGAAGCCAAGATCAAACAAGCACTTGCCAAACTGCACAGAAATTTGGGACATCCGTCAACAAATGACATGCTCCGGATCCTCCGACACAGTCGAGCATCAGCCCAGGCCATTGAACTAGCAGGTAAACTGCAATGTACAGTGTGTCAGAATCATCAGCAGCCGAAGCCAGCTCTCCCAGCCAATGTGCCACACTCGTTGGAATTTAATCACCATATAGGCATGGATGTGAAGTATCTTAAAGGATGGAAAATTAATCAAAAGATCCCATGTGTTAACATAGTGGATTATGGTACTTCCCTGCAAATCATGGTGCCTTTGTCACAACGTGAAACGTCAGCAATGTTGAAGACAGTCTTGAGAGACAAGTGGATTGCTTGGGCGGGGGTGCCGACTCACCTCACAACGGATCCTGCTCAACCAAATGTGGGAGAGACGTTTGCTGAGTACTGTGAGAGTTCTGGCATATGCATGCATCAAACAGCCGCAGATGCACACTGGCAACTGGGCAAGGTTGAGAGGCATGGTCAATGGTTTTCTCGAATCATGGATCGAGTCTGTGACGAAGTCAAGCCATCTAATGAAGAAGAATGGTTAGATTGTGTTGTCCAAACTCAAACAGCGAAGAACAGCCTGTTGTCGCAATCGGGTGCTAGCCCAAATCAATTGGTGTTTGGTAGGAACCCCAAAATCCCAGAAGATGTTTTGCAGGATGAACCCAATGTCATAGCCTCGGATGCAGTCCAGACCTCTCAATCGTTTGGCCGCACTCATGAAATTCGTCAATCTGCCAGGCGTGCTGTGCTTGCATGTCAGGACGATCGAGCCCTGAGAGCAGCCATCAGAGCCAGGCCAAGAACAGAACGTGATTTCAAGTCTGGTGATTGGGTGTTTTACTGGAGGTCTCAAAAGTGGCAAGAAGGAGTTTTAGAACTTGGGGGCAAATGGCATGGAACTGCTTTGGTTCTGGGTAGGGTGGGTAGAAACCTGGTGGTGGCCCATCGCCGCAGCCTTTTGCGTTGCGCTCCAGAACAGCTGCGTCATGCATCGAGCGAGGAAAAAGCTGTAGCAGAGTTTCCAGAAAGTGAACTTTTAGGAATTAGGAACTTGCTAGAACGAGGCCAATTTCCCAAAAGTCAGTTTACTGACATTGTTGGTCAGGGAGCTCCGCCACAGCCTGAAGCGCCAGAACAAGCCATCCATCCAGTTTTACCGGATGATGCACCAGCAGCCCGATCTGCAGCGGAAATGTTTCAACAGCAGCAAGCTCAGTCAGCAGTAGAGCGAGTAGTGCAGCCTCCTCCAACAGGAGGAAATAGCCAGTCTAGCGGTAGTGCCATGCCTGAGTCCGAGCAACCTGAGGGGTCATCATATGGTCCAGTCCGTAGGAGGTATTTTTCCAAGCAAACTCAAGATAGCGTGTTCCGACCTCCTGCCATGAAACATGAAGACTTTGCCGAGATGATGCAAGAATTGGTCCCTCAGATTGTCATTCCTGGTGGCAATCCGCCGATAGTAGATCAGGTCATGCAGACCACCAGTCCGAGAGGGACAAGCCAAAAGCGCGAAGCCAGCTCAGAGGGTGAAGCACCGTCGTCATCTAAGCCTAGAGTAGAAACAGCCGACTCAGAGGGTTTATTTGCTGAAGAGATTTTGTTAGCATGTCCAGATGAAGTCCCATCGGTTGAAGTGTTGATGTCCGCCTTTTTGCAAAAACGACTCCAGAAAGAACTGCCTCCGTCTGGCAATCCGGCTGAACTGCAAGCCAAAATCAATGATGCCAAAAGTGCAGAATGGACCACACTACTGGAGAAACCAGCAGTGCGAGTGTGGACTGGGAACAAGGCCAAGACAATCCGTGAAAAACATCCTGACCGTTTTATTGGAAGTAGATTTGTAATCACCGAAAAGACAGAAGATCAGAGCACTAGAATCAAGGCAAGGTGGTGTTTGCAAGGACACTTGGATCCTGATTTCAGGAAGAAGATTGACAGCGGCCTGTGTCACAGCACAACGTTGAGTCTGCTTGCACGATCGTTGATTTTGCAGGTGTTGGCGTCCAAGAAATGGACAATGTGTCTTGGAGATATCAAGGGAGCATTCCTTGAGGCTGGCCCTCTTCAGAAACAGTTCACTCCATTGTTTGCCAAGCAGCCAGTAGGCGGTATTCCTGGTCTGAATGAACAAGATGTAATCGAAGTTATTGGTAATGTTTATGGGGCCAACGATGCACCCCTGAACTGGTATCAAACCTTCGATCAAGCAGTCACCGCCATTGGTTTTCAGCGAAGTCAGTTTGACAATTGCCTCTATTTTCTGCGGGATTCACAAGGGGAATTGTGTGCGGTTCTAGGTGCTCATGTCGATGACACCATTGTTGGTGGGCAGGGTCCAACCTATGATCATGCTGTAGCTGAACTTCGAGCAAGGTTTCCATAGAGGAAATGGAGAGTTGGTCATGGTGAATTTTGTGGTGTACAGTATTCTCAGGATGCCAAAACCCATGAAATTGTGTACCACCAATCTGAATACGCCAAGCATCTGAGACCAATCAATTTGTCCAGAGATCGTGCCCGCCAGAAAGAAGCCCCAGCGTCCGAAAAAGAGATCGCCTCCCTGAGAGCGATTAATGGTGCTGCCAATTGGTTGGCAGGTCAGAGCAGGCCTGACTTATGCATCCAAACTTCCATAAGTCAGCAGTGTTTCCCAAAACCGAAAGTAAAAGATCTTGCGTTTGCCAATCAGCTGGTGCACCGTGCACGTCAGTACAGTCATGTGTCCATCACCGTGCGAAGCATTCCATGGGAGCAACTAGGTATCTGTTTTCACTCAGATGCAGGATTTGCCAATGCTAAGGGTAATGCTACTCAAGCGGGATATATCCTTGGTTTTGTGGATGCCAAATTAGGAACCAATGAACCTAGCTTGTGGTCCCCTTTTTGTTGGAAGTCATATAAGTTACCTAGGGTTGTCTCCTCCACTCTTGGTGCCGAAGCTCAAAGCTTCTCCACAGCCTGTGCCTTGGCAGAGTGGATGTCCTTGATGGTCGTGGAAGCCAAGCAAGGGATTTTTGACTTGCGTGCGGTTCGAGATTTGCCAAAAACTCCCATTGTCTCCAATCTTGCCCCAAAGAATGAAACCATTACCGGAATCACTGACTGTAAGTCCCTGTATGACCATTTGACATCGCTGTCCAGTGTTGCCAAAGTTGAAGACAAAAGAGTAGCCATAGACTTGGCAATTTTGAAGCAGTGCATGGCCCGTACAGGCCTTTCCGTGAGATGGTGTCCGACAGAATTGATGATTGCAGATGGACTCACAAAAGATCAGATGGATCCAGCAGATCTGTTGCGAGCAGCATTGGATGTGGGAGAGTATCAACTTAACAGAGAAGCATCAGTTTTGGCAATCAAGAAACAGCAAAGAGAAGAACGCCGTTCAAGACAGCCTCAAGCCATGAAGCATGCTGAGCCGAGTAATTAAGTTGGGATTAAGTGTAATCGGGATAAATGTAGGGTGATAACTGGGGATAGGCTGATTAATAATGGGTAATTAATCTTGCGACTCCATTTGTCTTGTCAGACAGTGCCAAGCAGTGTCTTAAAAACCTGAACACTTTGATTCCATGCATGAAATCCAAATCACTGCAGCACTTCTTATCTAGCTCCTCGAGCCCGTTCCCGTAGTGCATTGTTTTTGCTTGTATAGGATCAGCCTGTGCCAACGAAGTTATGTCAATGTCTAAAGGTGCTTCTCCTGAGAACAAACAGTCTCAGGCCATGGAGCTTCTTCGGGAGATGAAGAGAACTGGCATGCTGGACAGTATGGTCCAGACTATTCAACAGGAGTCACAGCTGCCTGTTGGAGCGATGACGGATGGATCGAAACGCCGTCTGTCTGAGCGATCAGTGCTTGATGATGAAGATTTCCAGCATGTGTCCTCCTCAGAAGAAATGATTCCCTCTCTTGCTGACCTTGGTGGCCCATATCCCACCGATCAGCAGCGTCCTGTGAAGTATCAGATTGGCGTTGAAGATCAACGCCAGCCATGTGAGGTGAGTTTGCCTGATGGAGTGAGCTCTCTCGAAGAATGGGGCCGTACGATCTGCGAGTTGCCAAAGGTGAAAGAGTTGAACTCTAGCTATCGAGAGCTGTTGAACATCTCTGACGGTGGCGATACCAAAATGGCAAGCTACTTGAACTGGGTGCGCAACTACAAGGGTCCTTCGTCCCGCACTATGGATTTCAAGACGTATCTTTTGGCCTGCTCAGCATGTGAGTCTCAGCCAAAGACATACTTCCCTGGCAGCATGGAGATCAGACGCCTGAAGTGAGGATCACTCAGGATAAGGCCAAGTGCAGCTCGGAATGTTGCACCTTCATTGGTCGCCTATTTCATATAAGATATATAATTAAAGAGGAGTGTGATTTCAGTGCATCAGCAACATACCAACCATCGGTGTGTCCTCTGCAGCGGACCTTTTGTGGCTGAAGTGCCCATAGATGAGGAAAAGAGCCGCAGTGCAGCCCCAGGTGGGGCCGAGCTACCATCGTCATAATTATGATACTAATCAGACACACATACATATATATATATAACTGTATATGTATGTGTATATATATATATGGTTTGAAAGGTGTTGATCATCACCTGTTGGGGGAAATGTGGGCATTGCGCTGAACTGTCTGATGCGCATCTGAATGGTTCGTGAATGTCTCATCAATGAGTGGCACGTGAAAACGTCTAGATGAAACTCACCTGAACACTGAAAACCAATCATATTGTATCTACTTCGGAAAGATTAATGTACGTAAAACAATAGTAAACCACGCATATGTTGAGGGTTTATACCATCCAATTATGGTAAAATTGAGGATGGTGGATCCTATTGCTTTACCAACATGTTCAACACTATGTAATTTGGATTAGTTTGGCGTATTTTGGAGATAAAACTCATATATTCATAATTCATGAGCGTCTCTACTTTCATCACCCAAAATTGCAAATCACAACCGCTTACCCTCTGGTAATTTAACATAGCTATGGAAAATGACCATTAATAGTGCTTTTCCCACTAAAAATGGTGATTTTCAATAGCTATGCTAAATTACCAGAGGGTATGACTCATGCCGTCGTAGTCCCTCAACAATACACCTCTACTTTAGAGGGATTGAATCCAACCCATTCTGGTGAATTCAGGGATGGCTCAGTCTTGACAGGACCCTCATGTTTGTTGAGTGAGTCTTGATTCTGGGCAATTAATTCGGTGGGCTGAATCCAGAATTTAATTCAAGTCATGCTACATCCACCATTTTTGATTGATTACTAGATCAAAAGGCGTGTCTACATTGGTTGGTTGCATTCTACCTTTTTCACCTCCAAGTTTGATAAACCACCATTTCAGCTGGTTCATCGAATCATTTGTTGCACAAATCCATGTTTTTGTCACAAAAATCCAAGTGGCTTTGAAAATTTCATCTCTGGTGACGTGTTTAAAATTGAAATCATCCTTTCTCTCCATATGTTTCTTCCTTCAACAATTCAACAAACTGAAACCTCAGATTTTCTCACATATTTGTGCCACATATTTTTTCCACATATCTTTCCACATGTTTTCCCACGCAAACGTCCAGATGTTTTCCAAGTGGCTGGGCACCAGATCTTCAATGGACTTCTTGACCCGCTGCCGCAGCTCCTCCTCACTCAGCTGGGCCGCCTCTTCAAAAGCCTGGCGATTTCGCAGGGTCTGGTGGTGAATATAGAATGGTTTACAACTATTAACCAATATTAACTATTGTAAATATCTAAATCATATTATAGTGGTTAATCATGTTCAACCCATATTATTGGTTAAAACTGGTTAATAGTTAATAGTGGTGATAAGTTATATGTATTTATATATATGATATGATTTACCATGATTAACCACTATTATCTCCCAATATTAGCAACATTAACCAATGATGGTTTACATGTCCAAGAACATTGTTTATATTACCAACTCTGGACATACGAAAATAGGATTAAGAATGATCAATATTAAGCCATTAATCTAAAATAAACATATGTTGGTTATATCTGGTGAATAAGGGTTATATATGGTTATCCAATAGTGGTTAAATAATTGGTAATCATTGTAATATTGCTAACTACAATGGTTATATGTGGCTAATATTGGCTGATAACGATTGAAATAGTGGTGATTCATGGTGACTAGTATATTCGTGGTGATGAATGGTTTAGCAATGATTCTTAATGGTGATAGTAGTGGCTAATAATGGCAAATAATATTGGCTGATATGGGTGATAATAGTGTTTAATAATGGTGAATAATGTTGGTTAATATTGGTAATAATAGCGATTTAGCAATACTTGTACCAATATTGGTTAATATTGGAAATAATTGGCTTATACCCATATATATATATAGTAGATATAGTTTATTTTTATGGTGATTGATGGTGACTAATGTTTTTGAGATATCTATGGGAAATTATAGGTTAAACACAGGATAATATACCAATACTATAGGATAATTATACCAATAAACATGGGATCTTATAGGATATACCATGCGGTGTCCTCCAAAATGGCTAGCTGGAGAATCCCTAAAAACGCGATGGATGTTTATAGGGAGCATTATCTATAGATGGTGGATTTTCCAGCAAGCCATGTTTGACTAGCAGAGGCTCATTAACAATAACTGGTTGGTGGTTTCAACCCCTCTGAAAAATATTAGTTAGTTGGGTCGATTATTCCCAATATATGGAACAATAAAAAATGTTCCAAACCACTAACCGGGGTACTAAGTACTTAATCTATTGTTCGAATTATTATTGACCATGAGCAACCATTGACAATGAACTATTAATAGCCGGTACTAGTCTGCAAAATAACTAAAATAGTCAGGCTGCCTGCTTTTTAACAACTAGACTTTCTCGGACAGCATGGTTAATTAATCAAGTATTGATACAAGTAACTATTACTTTGTTTCAAGGGCCAACACTTGTTTACTACAATAAAACTAAAGTAAATAGAGAAACTACATATAGTAATTGATTTTGCTACAGGCGAGCATGTCAGCAAGATTTTCACCGGCTGGAGAATGAACAGGGTAAATGATGGTACTATCAATGTTTTTCTTGGCTACAGTATATTAATATATTATGTGTCGCTACTAACCACTAGTATCAATGCTATTGCTATTAGTCATTAATCGCCGTTAGGAATAGTCATTCCATTGACAATAACAGTTGGTAATAGCATTTGACAAGTAATGCAAAAACGTAAACATATAATCAATCACTACTGAGCAACATAAGGCCAAAATAATAAACAACACATTTGCCAGCAATTTCTTGTTCACCACGGTACTGTACCAGGGTTTAACCCATGTCCATAGTATGATTATATATCATATGATTGTTATAGCAACCGTTCAACCCCCGCAAAGAGAACATTTGGTTAAAATTGGTTCAAAAATAGCCCGCCATGATTTGTTTTGTTTTGCTTGGGGTTACTATATATAATATAGTACTGTCAATGATATACAGAAATATTCTAAAAAAGAACAATAGTCAAATTATGTCAAATTGAAATCGACAAGCATCAAGACTTGTCTCGTATTTTCTTGTCAGGAATACGGCAGTTGTTTCCATCGGAGAGTGGCGTTGTTTTTCACAAAGTTTAATGATCATCCCACCCAACTTCCCTGTATCCAACTATCCCAATAAGATAGGAGACATGCTGGATCCAAAATGCAAAAAAAACACCAAACATCGCATGGAATAAACTTCATGGGGGTACTATATATATAGTATACACATGGGATCACATGGGGCATGTGTTTCCTACTGGGATGTGGGGGGATGTTCTTTTACGGAAATGATCATGACAACAAGTGTGACTGGGATGAGAAGATCCAAATGTTCTAACAATAATATAGTTACCCTCTGGTTATTTAACATAGCCATGGAACATAGCCCATAGAAATAGATGATTTTCCCAGCTATAAACCTCCATTTATGAGGGATTTTCCATGGCTATGTTAAATAACCAGAGGGTAATTGTCACAATCAATTATTAAACCATGTTGGATCTATTATGTCTGATATTGTGGATCTATTATGTCTAAATAGTGACTGGCGTGACTGGGATGACAATGTCATCCCTGTCACAATGTCACAATTGACTGGGTATTTCAAAATTGCAATCTAATGCCAATGATTATATCAATGGATTGGTTTAAGGGAAAATTTACAGGAAACCATAGATTTTCCCATTAAATATGGGGCTTTCCTGTAAATTTTCCCTTAAACCAATCTCCATTGATTATAACATTGTGACAATGTCAAATCTCAAGCATTTGACCTTTGGGGGCTATGAAATAAATCATCCCAAGAATCGGGGTATGCCAACGATTGCATGCATGGTGGAGATATATGTCGTATACTTAGACAGGTTTAAAGACCAAATCAAATACAAATATCTATGTGTAGATGTAGATAGATAGATAGATAGATAGGTAGATAGATAGGTAGATAGATAGATAGATAGGTAGATAGATAGGTAGATAGATAGACAGACAGACAAAGACAAACAGATAGGTAGGTAGGTAGGTGGGTAGGTAGATAGGTAGGTAGATAGGTAGGTAGATAGGTATAGGTAGACATAGGTAGATATAGGTAGATATAGGTAGATATAGGTAGATATAGGTAGACATAGGTAGATATAGGTAGATATAGGTAGATATAGGTAGATATAGGTAGATATAGGTAGATATGAGTAGGTAGATAGAAAGAAAGGACAGGTAGGATAGATAGGATAGATAAGATAGATAGGGTAGATAGGATAGATAAGATAGATAGGGTAGATAGGAGAGATAGGATAGATAGGATAGATAGGATAGATAGGACAGATAGGGCAGATAGGACAGATAGGACAAACAGGACAGATAGGATAGATAGGATAGATAGGATAGATAGGATAGATAGCATAGGTAGGGTAGGTAGGATAGATAAGAAAGGCGTATAGAAAGAGCGATAGATAGATGGATGGATGGATAGATGGATTAGATAGGGTAGGTAGGTAGATAGATAGATGGATGGATAGATAGATTGACAAATAGATGGATAGATAAATAAATAGATAAATAGATAAATAGATAGATAGATAGATTGATAGATAGACAAATAGATAGATATATAGATAGAGATATAGATAAATAGAGAAATAGAGACATATATATATATACAAATATACATATATATATATATGTATATATATATACATATATATATATATACATATATGTATATATATATATGTAGAATGCATACTGACAACCCTAATCTCCACCCCCAGCGACACCTTCTGCCGGGCCAGTCGCGCCGCAGCCACTGCTTGCCGCTGACTGTCGTCGAATGCATCGGCAGCATCCTCGCGCCGGGCTCCGGGTAGGAATATCAATGTAAATGGGATTTATTCCAGCAACAACTGGGATTTAACCAACCATTGTAGGGGAATCTAATTGATATATAAGTATATTATACACATATAATGTAGATTCATGGTACAAATGAATACTAAGGCAAGAATTTGTGTAATGGGTTGGAGTCCAAAATTGAGTATTTTCCGGTAAAAAATAACCAAGAACTGGAGTTGTTTGTTGGTGAACAGTCATGACCAAACATTGGACAAAGCCACGATATCTGCAGATTGTTCCCCAACAAATCCAGGCCTGGAAGTCCTGCAACTCAACAAGTTGGTTCTCAGAGGTCGTGCCATCTTCGTTGATATCATCCTGAAGAGGGCTGACACTGACACACGAAGTTGAAAAAAACTCCCTGGTGGTATATCAGTCTAGGTCAAAAAAGAGTTACCCTCTGGTAAACATACAAATAGCTATTGAACATTGCCATTTATAGTGGATTTACCCATTAAGAATATGGTGATTCCCCATAGTTACGTTAGTTTACTAGAGGGTACTAGTCACTCGCCACCCTCTGGTAATTTGCGACATTTTGCATCATGTTGCTATGGCAAATCTCCAGCTTGCAGAGGTAAATCACCAGAGGAATGTTCGTCACAAGCTTCACTGGTGAGCACACTCTCCGCACTTGACAGAAGATTCAAAGTACAGTCATAAATATCATTTCCATACCATGAACATCCATGAATATCAGATGCTTCTGGAAGCCTGGAAGCGCCATGGCACCTCCGTGTTTCCCCCCAGAGGCTCCTCGAGATCCTCCACATCTTCCATTAAGGCTTCATCGATATCTACAAATCCACCTGCGGGACCGCCATCCGTTCCAGGCTTGGCACTGAATTCTGGCACGGCGTCGCCTCTTCGGGGCATCTGGCCTTTTCTACGGAGATCCTGCCGAAGCGCGAAGCGCTGACAACGAAGAAAAATCCCCCGAAAGGTGAGATCCCAGCTACATCAACCACCAAAATGAACAGATCTATACAAATTGAGAATGGATTATAGAATATAAATCCCAGTTCTATTTGGATCCATGTATGCTATATATGGTAACATGGATCCCATCAATATACCCCCTTTATGTTAGCATATATATACCAGCACCATGGATCCGTCATGGGTTAAGCTTTATTTCTTGGTGATATCGCTACAAATCCAGAGTCATCCATCGTCAAGGGTTTTGGGGATGAGTAGCCTCCTCACAAGACCCAGATTTCTGGGCACGAAGAAGGCCCTCCTCCCTGAAAAAGTCACCGTTTCTGAAGATAGGTTAATATGATTATTATCCCATGCAAATGTGATGGATATATCCGATAGATAAGGATAGTACAAATTCTTCACACCTAGTTGAAGAACCACAACACAACTCGTCAGTGGTTAATTCACCCTGTTGAATGAGGCTAGGATTGCTGGTGAAACGAAAATTCACCAGCTCCACTTCGTGATGGTCCAAGTATCCGTATCCAGAGAGGCCGAACTTGGGATAGGCTAAGCGGCTAAGCCGCCTGCCCAATCCTAACCTCCCTAACCCTCCGTCATTCTTCAGATCATTAGATTAGCATGATTATCATAGATTCTCCCAATCTTATCTGCAAAAAACACTCACTATTTTTCTTGGTCCAGTCATGTTAAGTCACCATCTTTAACACAACGAACTCCATCCTTCACCACATTCTCAAAGGTCATGGCGCCCGTTTCGCCCGAACGCAACTCACGCCGTTGATGTCGCCGCAGGGACACACCGAGTCGACGGACATGGCGGAGACGGAAGGCTGCGAGCATGGCGCCACGACTTTGGCGAGTAGACAAACAATTTGGAAACCTGGAGGTCAGTGGATTTAAAGACCACTTTAATTGGACTGGTGAAACCCAGATTACGGGAAGACGTCTAAATATTTGTTCTTTGTATTTCTTTGTCGTTGTCATCAGTTACAAGGGTTTCCCTGTAGATTTTGCTGTATAAACTGGAACCAATTCTGGAAGAATTTTATATTAAGTAAAAACAGCATATCAACAAAACATAGTAGCAAAACCAGGATAATTTACCAAATTAGTTAGTTAGTTAATTAGTTAGTTAGTTACTTATTAGTTAGGTAGTTAGTTAGTTTGTTTGTTTGACCATCTCTAAATTGTTCTGGGACCATACATGAGTGAGGATGACTAGGCTATATAGCAGTCAAAATTAGGATCCCAAGGAAATTCTGAGAGTCAACCTGATCAAATTTTGCACCCAAAAGTATATTAGAGGAAGCCCTCGAAAAGGGATGAAAAGGGAAGAGTAACAGGTGAGTCGCTGTGCGTGTTTTAACCTGCAACTTTTGTGAACAGCCGAGAGTCAACTCGGTGACCCACTTTTTTGGGTTCTTTTGAGTCATACGAGTATCATACCTATATGTCAGCTTATAATGAAATCAAAACACTATATATAATATAATATATAATAAATATATAATAAATATATATACGTATATATATATATATATTACATATGTAATATATATTTAATATTATTTAATCATATATATATATATCCTCAGACTTGCAAGCCAACGGGCTGCGCAACAAAAACATGCCCTCCATAGAGATCATCCGACTGCGGCGTCAGTCATGTGATGCTGGATGGGATACCAAGCATAGATCTCCTGTCTGCCCCTGAACTCTATGATTGGTGTCTTATGGTGTCGTGATATCTCAATATGAAAAAAAAAGGAACCAAACAGATGATGTTCGAAAAAGAGCTATGTACCCTCCTTCTCTCTCTCCGAAATCTCCTCTTTTTTCCTCTGTGATTTCGGATCATGATCCTTCCATGTCCTTCCAACTTCCCGCACCCGTTTGCAGCTTTACAAGCAAACGAGAACACGAAACCTTGCCGGAGGGAAAGCCGAGATCTGGCATCTGCGAACCAGGGCCAGGGATGATCCCTGAATTTTTGTGGAAATAGATACCGCAAATCTTCAAAAATCAAACAATAACTCAGATTTGTATATATATATAATTATATATATACACATAATCATATATACATACATTGGAGATCATTGGAGAATATATACCAATTATAGTAACCACTGAACATGAACAAATGTAAAACTCCTGGGATCGTCCCAGCCCATGGCGGGAGACATTCAACGCGTTGGCTGTGCCCGGCCCATGGTGTCTGACGCATCACTGTACAGTGGCCAGGCTCTTCCAGAGCTGTACAGGCTGGAAACCGGGGAGGAGCAAACATACAGAACATTCATGTTAGGGAGGGGATATCCGATATGCATAATATATACATATATATTATATATATACATACATATAATATATAGATAGAACTAAGTGGATATATCATATGATATATCCGAAAACAAACACACACTTGTCCATTTTCAGAACATCAACAGAAACAACCGATATCATCAGCATCCGTATCTTCAAGCATCGAGGTCAATAAAGCTCTTGGATCGACCAAAGACTTCCTCGAGACCGCTGATGCCTTCTCTCACCTTGGGAGAGGGAAAGACAAAAAGGAAAAACCTTGGGATTCTGCATTCTAGATCTTTTTAGATGTTGTTTGGATAAATATTAATGCAAATTGGATTAACAATCATGAACATATACCATCTGGTTATTTAACATAGCCATGGAAAATCACCATTTATAGATGGTTTACCGTTCTTAAAAATGGTGGATCTTTCCAGTTCGCTATGTTAGTCATAACCAGAGGGTACTTCACAATGAGCTTTTTTTCAAGAGTGGACTGTCTAGCGTCTAAGAGTGTGGATTGGTTACCTTTAGGATCTTTCATTGATACAGTACATAGAGACTTTGAATGAATTCGCTCGTGTCCGGGGCCTAAAATGTTGGTCCAGCTGGTACTTGATACCGGTTTGGTCAGAATATGGATGGGTATGGTAGGTATGGTAGGTATGGTAGGTATTGGTGACTAAAAATGGGAGATATCATGGTCTTTCTTCGTCTTTCTCCCAAAAAAAACACAATCATTCAACAATATTTACGACATGTTTGATGCTGAACTTCCTATCCAGTTGAGATACCCAGATCGTTACCGCGAAAAAAGCGGTTGGCCACCATCCCAGGCGGTAAGTTTGACCAAGGCCACTAAGGAGGGAGTACCCGGACTCGCGGCAATTTGCACCTTTTTGCTAGGTCTGCGAGGGTATTTTCTGTTTAAATGCGGCATATGGGACATTTATGGAACATTTATGGAACATATCCTGAGATATTTGTGGGATATAATATGCAACATGAGATTTATGGGCTATATCTACTCAGCAACAATTTCATAGGGATATTGAAAATGGGACAGCTAACCAACAAAATGACATGTGGCTTTATCATGCTTTATCTGCAAATGGAAGGATCCCTAAAGTGCAATGGGTTAGGAAGTGACTTTTCCATACTTTTCCCTTTATTATCTTTGATCAACGGATTGGTTTGAGCGGAAATCCGAAACCATATATTCCTTACGCCCCAAATAAGAATAAATAAGATAGATATGTCAGGGTTTTCTGCATGGCTTCCCTTCAAACAGGCTTGGGAATTTAACATTGCCATATCTCACGGGGTCAAATTGTCATCGGGCGTCAAGGCTACCAACATGGAGCCAAGAACTCGAGTCTCATGAATGGTCTCTCTTGTTGTACACAATATCATGATCCATAGGATCTTTGTCGTGGTTACATGTACGGGATCCCCAATTCACCAATTCACCATGGGTTTAAAGATACATGGTTTATCATGGTTTAATAGCTTTTCATGACTTGGGTGATGACTTGGGGTTACCCCAAGTCATCATGAAAGCTCCGCTAATGTTTTGAGTTGCCAAGGCCAGGCTCTTGCGGCTCGCCGTAGACTTGAATGATCAGGAAAATCACATCTCTGCGTGTAGACATGACATAGATAGAATTAGATAAAATATGTTAAAACATGTATGAAGTTAGACAGACTCAAATTCGAAAGTCACCCAAGGCTTGTATTGAGGATCTATCACACTCTGTCCATAGAGGTCCCGGTGACTTTATATCATTTTATATCTGTAGTTCCCCGAACTTGGCACAACTTTCCGTCGTTGCAAGGCAACCGTGGCCACTGAAAACAGCCCAGCCACCCCGACATGACTCGGCGTGGGCGTCAGCAAAGTCTGTTTCAAGGCGCCCACCGGGCCAGCAGGGTGCGGCTTCAGATCAGACCTCTGCTGTGGAATTCAAGAATTATTCATGACCATCAAATATAGCCGATCAGTAATATGTCACCATCAAACGTTGGCAGAGTTTGTTCTACTGAAGTACAGTAACCGACGTTTCCGCAAAGTTCCAATCATTTTCAGTCGACTGGAGACTGCCTTGTCGCGCTCAAGTGATCTTTGGGGGACAAAAATATGCAAGGAGACCTCCAACCTTCCAACAGCATCCTGGCCCAAAACATCTGCCCTGTCCATTTTCTTCCTCACATTGCCAATCTCAGATACCCTGCAAAAAATCAAATTCTTTGCTGGTGAACGTAGATATTCCAATCTTAGATACCAAAAGACTAAAGGATTAAAGTATCCATGTAAGATTGACCTAGTGATCATTTCAATGAAGCTTTCAACATTAATCGTCAGACGAAAGTTCTTCGGCGGCCTGAAGATCTGGACGCTGAGCAGGATGATCAGGAAAAAAACCTTGGGTTTCTGTCACCGTGGTGGTTCAAAAAACGGCCTCCGTCTGAGGTGAAGAATGAGATAAGACCTGCCTGGATTGATGTTGACAAATCACATACCCCCTGGTAATTTAACATAGCTATGGAAATGGCCATTCTTAATGGAAAAACTCACTATAAATGGTCAATTTCAATAGCTATGTTAAATTACCAGAGGGTATCATTCATTACAAGTATCAGTCTAAATGAATGGTGCCAAGAAAAGAAAGAGGAGATTTTCACAAAACATTTCAATAAATTTCATCCAACGTGACATAAAGTTGAGCCAGGATAGCAACAAGGAGCCGCAAGGATCCTGCCAGGAACTAGTTCTCCACCATGATGAGGAAGTGCCCCCAATATCCCCAACTAATGTTACACATAGACCCTGTGGTTTGCCCGCACAACATTGAGGATGCCCTGTTGTCGAACATGAAAAGAGAGATTGCAGAACATACTGTGTTTGCGCAGTGTTTTCTGGTTTAGGATTCAGAGTTTTCAGGGTTTGGAGTTTCAGAGTTTAGGTTTAGGGTTTTAGAATTTCAGGGTTTAAGGTTTTAGGGTCTTGAATTTAGGGTGGAAAATACCAAAACACTGGCCCTGTGCAGGTGTTTGAGCATGTCGAAGGATAATGTCTGGACACCGTTCTAACCTTCCGGGCAAACCACAGGGTCTTGCCCTAAAGTTAGTAAAGCAATAGGATCCATCATCCCCAATTTTACCATTCTTATAGATGGGATTCCAACCATTATTGTATATGCGTTTTTTATGACATTGTTTTACTAAGTTTTTACTAACATTAACTCGAAAATCAATGCGGGCGGCAAATCTCCTGCAGCCTAGCCAAAGTTGCTACTATCCCCAGCCCAAAAAATCTGGTCAAACATTCATAGATGGATCCAAATAGTCAATTCCTAGTTATCCTTGAAAGTTACTATGGCACCATGATCCAGTTGCAAGCCCAATTGAAACAGCTAGTCGAACATATTTCTTGTAGCAAGCGGCTGCTTGACATCCATAAAGAAGCCAAGTGCGTGGAATCTGACCCTGTCACGCTTGGAACTGCCAGGAGCGAATCAAGTGAATGACCTTCCTGGTCAAAAGAGTACATAAGCAAACACGCAATAATGTCAACCCTGGATTAATAAACCCCTAGGCTGTTTAATTGGGAGGGTACCATTTAAGTATCAAATCATGACTATTGGGGGAATACCCCCTAAATAATAAACCATGGTTTATTAATCCGGGGTTGACATTAAGTATGAGGATGCAGTATAGATCAAGATAGAACAAACTCCACGGGAACATCAGGAGTGGCTGGGACAGGTGGCTACTTTACACAGCTCCTTTGTGACATATAGCACATGTACATCACAAACGTGACACATGTGGGTTTTTGCCACAAAAAAATGGATACGATAAATCCCATGACTTACCGGCTGGTGCTGGTAGATTAATGCTAACATTGATTGGGGGTTTTTGTTGATGGGATCCATGGAGCACCACTAATATAGCAGCACCATGGGTCCAAAGAGTTGGATTCTTCACTGTCGCGACTGGCAGGGCAGTTTTTTTGTGGGTCCATTATGAGTAGAAATCTTCCCTTTAGTAGCATTGTTCCCAAATCACTTAATAATTAATATTCATGCTATATTTATGGTGAATAGAAATCATTCAATATTTCAAGCCATGTGCACTGCTAGTGGTTTCGAAGGATCCAAACCCCACAGATTCAAGGAACAAGAACTATACGGTACTACCCTCTGGTTATGACTAACATAGCCATGGTATAGATGGCCCATAGAAATAGATGGTTTACCGAACTTTAAAATGGTGGATCTTTCCATGGCTATGTTAGTCATAACCAAATGGATCCAAATGGTATATAGTTTTACTCATTTATCATGTGTTTGTCGTAGTGACAAAAACGACTAAACAAAGTCTTGATCATTTATCACTATCCTAGTTAAATATTCCGTTTCTAGCTGGGGTGGTGGTACAACATGGTCTGAGTCATACATATTGATTCATATTCCTCCATCATCAATAGAGACATCACCAGCCATTCTTTTCAAACTTGGTTTCTCCCGCCATGTTATTCCCATCCTAATCGTTTTTAAATGATCAAACCATATCAATGTTAGTAAAGCAATAGTAGACCATCTCCAATTTTATCACAAATGGTCATAAATGGCTGGTATAAACTATCAAAATATTGGTGGTTTTTTATTGCTTTACTAACTTTAAACCATATTAGACCATTTTAAACCTTAATCGTCAATTCCAATGTTTCATGCCTCCGGACCCCCTTCCATCCACCACCCACATTCGCGAATCTTTGAATATCTTACATACTCTGCAAGATCATCAATGTTCATTTGTAGCTGCGGATTCTATTTGGCTTTGTCTGAAAATAGAGTACCCAAAAAATCTGCAGATACATCATTTGTCATCCTAACTTGGCCATATTCAGCGAAATCCACCATGGACCAAACTCATTGATTCATCTAGCCTAACCCCTAACCTCCAACGCTGAATCCGATCATCCCCATGATTGTCCACTGAACTTCACCCCAGCTGGAATAAAAAAACCGGCCTCATAGACCTGCAGGTAGTCCGCAAAGTACAAGGCTTTTGGCACCTCCAAGAGCTCCTGGCACTGGGGGATGTCATCATGTCATCCGAATCCCGGGGATCCTGGATCGATGGAATATCCAGTTGGGTTGCAAAAGGATTGACCCTGAGTTTTTGTCCTATGTGTGGCCTGATGACAATTCTGGGTGAACAATTCTGTGTGATCATGTTTTATCCATTTCTGTGACCCAAATCGTGAGGTTTGATCGATCAATTGAATGGAATTGAATGGAGATGTAGTCGTCAACAACACTGACAGGATAGAGTTGCAAGTGACAGCCAACAAACTTTTGGATTGCTTCAACCGAGCTTGCACCTTAGATTATCTAGATTGAAGACTGCAGTGGTTCAAAGATACAATTCTATTGAATTCCAAATGTTGGATGTATGGTACATATGTTTACCAAGCATTTACCCCAAACATGGCCCGTAGTAACGGTGTCTGCGGCTACAAGTCCACGAGCGCCTCAACAATCCTCAACATCTTGGGGTCAGGACCGTGAAGCTACGTGCTATTTGAATATATTCTACCCTCTGGTAAACTAACATAGCTATGGAAAATGAACCATAGAAATAGATGGTTTACCTTTTAAAAATGGTGATAGCTATGTTAGTCATTACCAGAGGGTAACATCCCCAAAAAAAAATCGAAGCTGATCCGGCTTTACCATCCAATAAGAACTCTATGCCGGTCCCCATCCACTAACGGTTAGCATTGATGTTACCCTCCAGTAAATTAAGATAGACCCTGCCAGATAGGGGTTGGAAGACTACTTTCCACTAGAAATTGGTCATTTTTTGAGGGTCTTTTTTGTAATTTACCAGGGGGTATCATCCATTTCCCCAAGATCCGGTCGAAATCCAGGGACGACATTGGCCCCACCATTCCGCCCAGGTGCAACAAACAGAAAGGGGCCAAAAACTCGAGGAATTGCACCAACCACAAAGAGCACGCCCATATAAGCCTTGGCGAATCGGCCAAACGGCAAAATGCGCCGTGCGCGTCTATGGGATTGAAAAAAGTATGATTGTAGTATGATTATAGTAACATGATTATAGTATGATCACACCAATTCACAGCATATCGACATATGCTATATATCATAATATATATAGATATACTAACATGTATATTATATCATATATCATATATATATACTAACATATATATCATATAATATATATATATATATGTATCAGTATCATGCTATATGATTGTATATGTTTTGTATACTGACTATAGATGTTGAATGCTTTTGACATGTTTCAAGCCATCCCCAACTGGAGATGGAGAAGCTTCATCGGTGGGATGCCATCACCAAAAGCATACCCAACAGCACTAGCATCACTATGACATACCATGACTCCATCCTCATCTGGTTGGTGGTGGTGGTGGTATACCTACCCCTCTGAAAAATATGAACGTCAGTTGGGATGATGATTTTTCCCAATATATTAGGAAACATAAAAAATGTTCCAAACCACCAACCAGTCATCATGCTGTGGATGGTTGCAAAATCCTGCACCAGTTGTAGATGGTTTATCTCATTAGCCCATGATTCGCAGTAGTGTTTCATAGGAATACCATGGAATCCCCATCATATTTTCCCAGCGTGGGTCCCCCTAGATAGCTAAGTTGGTTTATAAGTCCAATAACTATGGTTTATTATACTTATAACTACAGTTAATGGGGTTTATAAACCAACAAACATCACTGGGGAGGCACCACCCACTACCCTTAGACCCAGCAACTGCTTGTGGCTGCGGACCAATGATTTGGCTCATGAGTGCAATCCCGGGTCCCCTCGCCAGGGAGCCAAAAAACGCCTCGCTGAAGGCGATGGGTCCACCATTGCTGATCATTTCAATGAAGCTTTGGGTGGACGCATTTTTTGATTGATGTTGGGCGAGTGACTGTGTCCCAAACTGTTTTTTTGACATGTCACTTTTTCATGTTTCATTGACATGCCGTATCCATCTAAAAATTCTTTGGGTTGTTAACCACCATCAACCCATCGCATATCGCATATCACGATTATCGCTGCATATAGTTGACATATGTTGACATCACATTCAGGCAGGGACCCCCAGAAGATAGTCCGACACGAAGCGAATGGCTGGCAGATGTCCGCCCAAATCCATGTTGCCCACGTTGATGGCTACCTCGACAGCAGGTGGAGTCTCAATGGAACGTTCTGGCTGCCAAGATGGCTGCCAAGGTCACCAAATTCTATGGTATTCCTATGAAACTACATGAAATATATATATATATCATATATGAAACTACTGTTTAATTCCTATGGAGTTGATATCCCAATCCATGTTCCTTGATGGAACACCTGCCCAAAATTCTCTGGAAAAAATGTTCAGATCATCTGCGAATCAGAATAGCAAAGGGAACATCCGAGTTTTATCAAAAATTGAGTTCCTGGGACCAAATCATTCACTGGATTCATCATCAGATTCAGCCAATTCTGGGTTGCTTCGAGTTCCTTAAGGACACCTGAATACTGCAGTCGAAGCTCTGAGACCAGCAAACTCCAACTGATGGCCCAGATTTCTCGCTTGTAGATCTTCCCACCACAGAAAGACATCAGAACTCCCATAGCCTGAGGTGGTTGGGACATTTCAGGGGATTTTCAGTTTTTTTAGATGGAGATGACAGAACATATAATTAAATATAATATATATATATATATCTACACATTATCTGGTTGGTGGTTTCAACCCCTCTGAAATGTTAGTCAGTTGGGATGATTATTCCCAATATATGGAAAAATAAAACATGTTCCAAACCACCAACCAGATATATTGTTTGGCATCAAATTTGGAGGCGCCTTTTTTTCGACCAAACCTGATTGTGCCCAGAAGTGGGTGGAACATCAATGAACATCAAGCACAGCAAGCGGAACATGGATGTTTCCAGAAAACCTGACCAGGAACAAACTTGATTTGTCAAATCTAGTAGAAATGAGACCTTAGCACTATAGTATCAAATACCCGCATATGGCTATCAACAATGTACAAATCCAATACTAGACCAAGATTGGATGGAATTGGTCAGACTTGGGCACCCCAAAATAGGGTGACTTACCATTCAGAAGGACAAAAAACAGTAGTTCCCCTACAAAAATTGGCCTCAGAAGGACAATTTTACCAGTGGAACAAAAAACTTGTGAAATTGACCTATTGATCCATGAATCCCTCCAGTCATCAAGAGGTTGTTCATCCTCTGGTTGAAAAACGCCTGATCTTTTCACAGCTGGACTCATCATATCGACCAATGCCCACCAATCATGGTCTTAATCATTTAATCCTTCTCCTAGCAATGCTCAAAATCATAGGTATGTCGTGGTGTTATCCAAAATATGTGATTTGTTTCCCTCATCGCCGTCTTTTCGACCTAAATGAAATCGTCGATTTGGATCATCATCCGACTTTGAAGAGGATAGGAACCGGAAAAAGGAAAACCATGGCAAAACACATTCGAAACGACCAGTGATCACCTGTTCTCACGATGGTAAAGTCCCTGAGGCTGAAGTTTCTAGGTCCAAGATGGTCCTTTCACGGTACTCAACCAGTCCAAATTTTGAGCAGTTTCTGTAACTGATTGTTGTAACCCCTTGAAACCGGAGATTTCATTGGTTATCACTTCCAAATATCAGCATGAATTAAGGCCTATACGAATTGGGGGCGATATCATGAACCCAAATATGAACAACTATGTTGGGACCAGCCCCAGCGATGAATCAACTGGTGGCCAAACTCAGAAGACCGCCAGCAGTGAGGAGGGCGTTGGTGTAGGTTTGCGATATCTGGCGCGGGGCTCAACGAAGCGTTGGTCACGATGGGGGGTTCATGGCCAGGCTATGAGGAAATTGCAGCAATAGACTCACAGAATTGGTCGCACTTCGATGTATTATGATTATATATTTATTTATATATATATATATATATATATGATTATGATGTATTTAAGGTCTTTGGGCTCCAAGAAATGGCTGTATTTCCTATTGAACTGGGGGTACACAATCTTGAAACTACATGAAGACACATGAGGACCCTGAATTTCTCCTTCCACCTGGCACTTCAACTATTCCACCCAACAAGTAAATTGAACGAATGGGCAGGCATTGACAAATGATAGATAGTTGATGATTGATCATTGATGATCATTGATGATCATTGATGGTGATGACGATGATGATGGTGGTGGTGGCGGCGGCGACAACAAAAATGATGAGGATGACGATGAGGATGAGAATGAGGATGAGAATGAGGACGAGGACGAGGACGATGATGATGATGATGATGATGATGATGATGGTGATGATGGTGATGATGACGACGACGATGATGATGATGATGACGATGATGATGATGATGACGATGATGACGATGATGATGATCATGATGATCATGATGGTGGTAAGAATGATGAGGATGAGGATGAGGATGAGGAGAGGAATCATGATCATGATCATGATAACGATCATGATCATGGTACTTGCCACACATGGCACTTCACATGTCAATCTGCTGGAAGGTGGTGCCACAGTGCCACAGTGCTGCCTGCTGCCAAGTCACATTGAAACTGCAAGTGGATGGATCAAGACAGGGTCCCCAACCATAGAGCCTGGCTACGATGCTGGCCGATTTGCCGCGGGAACTGCTGAGCCGTTTCCATATGCCAAGATATCCCCATCTAGATGAAAGGAGACTTGTGGACCAGATGGACGAGAAGCACTAGATAGTGTCGTCTATTGTACATGTCAGGTCACAGACTTGTGAGGAATATCTGGCCGTGCATCTGCCCTAACGTCAAGCTCCAAATCTTCAACGAAATCAGATCAGCTGATTTACTCAACCCGAAATATCCAAACCACTCCAGTACCCCTCTCTGTCTAAAATGGTGGCGTAGCATATTTGGGGGTTATTATGTCTACTGATAGGTATAGGGTGCGGGCTTGCTACAGGGCATGATCAATCATGGGTTCTAAAGTGACAAACTGTCGCCTCTCTGTAGTATATACGGTATATAACTTATATACCATATACACGTCATGTATGTTTATTCAAATATTTAAATAGATTTAGTGTTAAAGGGATATATATATATATGTATCACATTATGCCTGGTATGTACATATATATATATATATACACACACACGTCTTAAAGGTTGGAATACAATACATCATAGGTTCGGTCCCCTAACCCAGACTAACTCCGCATGCGATCGCTTCTTTTTCTTTCTGCCTTGCTCGACTTGTCTTCCAACCTGTATCACTTACAGGATTAATGCATTGGGTATGCGCTTTGCCTTATTCAACCACCAAGAAATGACTCCTGTCCACCCAGGCCTGCCAAAGACTAGACAGTCATATAAATATGTATATATATATATATCATATTATTATAGTATAGTATATACTTGGACTTGCTTAAGGGGCCCCTAAAAGATACCACATCTTCCCCAACCACGGCGCCGCCACTGTGCCACCCGAAGCCACCTCTGTGCCACCACGGGTGTAATGGTCTCCAGTGAAGCCATATTCAGATTCACCCCGAAGAAGACCATGTAGCAAACCTGCAATGTGGGGCCCCCCAGTGATGTTTGTTGGTTTATAAACCCCATGAATACTATAGTTATCCAGTTATAAGATGGTTTATAAACCCCATTAACTATAGTTATAGGTACCATAAACCATAGTGACATTGCAGTTATAAACCAACTTAGCTATCGTTTGGGGGCCCACTTTGTGGGGAACAACGCAACGCAACGCAACGCAACGGCAACGGACGTGGGAGCTTCGAATGGCAATTTAATGGTGATGTGATGGTGACATTTTTTGGTGATTTATGGTGATAAATGCTGATGAAGTTAATAGGTAAAGCATCTATTTCGATTAGGGCCATCGAAAAACCATGGCGAACTGTTAAATAAGCAAAACTAACATTTACATTGTATGATATTCTATGATTCCATGGCAAAAAACCTGGGAAGAATTAATCAACAGTCCATGGTTTGTGTATGGTTTTGTGAGACAATATTTGGATGATTCTTAGTAGTAAATCATAAACAGTTGCAAAACTTTATATTCTATGATTCCATGACTCATACCATTTACGATGATGTACATCATATGGCAGGGCTGATAGTAAGTCAGCGTAAATCCGCGTGATGCATCCTTCCAACCTTATCCAACCTTACCATCTTAACATGATATTAACAGGCAAGATACCATGGAATTTCCATGGTCTATGGTCAACCCAGAATCCCCTGAACTTGCCGAAGTTTTGATAGCGCATCTGGCTGAGTCTTGGTAATAAATCAATTGATCCGCTAAACAAATAATATTAGTAATTATAATTAATATATTATATAATAAGTAATTATTGAAACGTATTACCGTATTATAGTATATTAATTAATATTAGTTTAGTTAATTTATCAATTGAAACAATTAGTAACTATTCATAATTGTTCCCTAATCTGGTTTTAAGATGTGTGGATTGTTTATAGCATTTGAACGCATGTGATTCAAAGAATTGCCAATTTTTAAAAACATCTACTTATTGGAATCCAAAGGTGTCTAATGTTGGAATAAAGTTTGCTTTTGATCCGTAAGCCACCGTGGGCAAGACTTTGAAGTGGTGCTCAGCTCGGATGGTAAAAACAAGCAGCGATGCCATAGCATCCAAGGATTTGTTGGTAGGAGTAGTTTATCAGGTCAAAGTTAAATGTAGGTGCTGGCCAAAGATTCTTAGTCTAAGCCCAACAACTCTGGATGATAGTACACATATTTCACCATTCAGGATTCATGTTGGGATATCTGCAGACTCTAAAGTCCCAGTTGTACCGATGTCATGTCGTGATATCCTGGTATCCTCAGCATGTAGACTGTAAGCGAAATTGGACTGATGTCACCGAACTTGGAACTGGTTTTAATATCAAGCTTCTATCGCCTTGACACCATGAGTTTGTTGATCATCGGGGGTAGTCATCCAGTACTTGGATGTTCCCAGGGCTGGGATATATCGACATATCGGTATATCATCGGTATATCTTACTAGTATATATCCCAGTTGTAAGAGGTCACAACCCTCTGTAGCTACTTCAGTTAGGATTTTCACCCAATATCCATCTTGCGACCCATGAAAAACACTGCAAATCATAATCAATGGGTTGATTTTTTTGAGAACAAATATAAGAAACCCATAGGAAACCCAGCCACATATGAGGCTTTCCGGTCGAAAAATGTTCCCTCAGCAATTCTTCTGAAGCAAGGCACAATCAAACCTTTCATGTTGGGTTTTTCAACGTCCGTGTCACACGCAGACGCTTGAGTGGAGTAGGACCGACCTGTGGGCCATCGGCGATGGCCCAATCACTTTTGGTGGGCCCCTTCAGTGAAAAAATGTTGTATAAACCTCATTAAGTCTATAGAGTTTTATGTACACTTATCCCCCATAAACCCAACAGCTAACCAATTTATTAGACCAACTCATGTTTTGCACAAAATGCTGGTCAGTTTTGCTGCGCAACCACCCATCTTTGGGCACCGATTTGTTTGATCACCCATTCCATGGCCCATCTTGGAAAATAGAAAGCCATGTTGGGTCACAAGGTTAGGGAAGTTCCCACAAAAGTTAAAGTTTTCCATGTTTGTGGTTTTCCGTTGTGATCTCCCAATCACTTATGGTGACATTTGCCAACTTCAAACAACTCGTAGCAACATCATGAGGTATGCACACACAATCCCGCACTGGCCGCCAATCCGCTCAGCCTGTCACATTGAAGAAATACGACGTGACCAGCAGGTTGGAGATGCAAACCTAGGGTCAAAAATCACGGACTCAAAAAATCAGTCTTCGGTGGCTAGGGTACATGAAAAACACAATAAAAACACATCTAAAAAACTCCGTGGCCATGCTCAAACCTGATCCTTTGGCGACTGTCCAGACCCCAGTCTTCCATCAGAATCGTCCACCCATGGTTTTGCTGAGTGACCACCAAAAGCACCAAGCCTGGACTGTTGTTGCCATCAATGCCGAACCCCCAGATCTGCATGTTGATCGCTTGGAGCGGTGCCCCAAGGGCCGGGCCCATCATAATGCCTGATGAATCAACCGGCGACATCAACCTGTTGCTTTGAAAGGCATATGGGCGAGTTTCCTCTACGATTTGAAGGGAGTGGCCTGTTCAATGATATGCCAAGAATTTGCAAAGTCCTGAAAACTCGCGCAGAAATGAAAACGTAGGAAAACTGCTTGCTATGTATTCGAAGAACAAACCAAGAACAGCAATCATTTGAGCCTTCAGTTTGCAACACCGCGTCGAGAAATGTACCGGAAATACCTAATATGTTCATATATTTCCACTTTGATTGCTAGTAAGGTCATAGACCCATCTTTTGGTACTTGTCCAGCTACCCATCCTTCTTATGTATATATACACATTATACATATTATAATATATATATATAATTATGTATATATTGTTAGATTATAGTTATTAGTTATGATATGGTAAATCTCCGTGTTTCTTTTCTGCAAACATCTCAAACTACACACATCGGTTTTCGACGCCCACCGTGGTCCTGTGATGGCACAACTGGCCAGGCGCGAGGAGCAGGTGGTCTGATGTTGCGGTGGAATTTTCGTGGCCACGAAGGTCTGCTCGATGGTCTGGCCGGTGATTTTTCTTGGGTTTTCAGGTAAAAATCACCAGACAAATCACCAAAAATAATCCAAATATGTCTGGAGAAGGTGCTATCCATCAGGGGGGTTGCGATTTTTTTTGGGAGACATTTTCTGAAATCTAGTCTGTCATTACTTCATTGATTCAATATTATCCATGTAGACGAGGCCTACGTCGTGTGTCCCATTGGAGTCTTGTCTATGTATTTAGGGTATAGTCGTCCTGAACAGATGATCAAGTTACTACTGTACTGAGGATTTTGTGAAATGTAGGTATTCTACCTATATACTCATATTTCTATATATTTCTTATTCCCACTCATATGAATCTCATACGTAAGTTCTTATCTATATACATATAGCTACCATTCCCATCATCAGCGCAAACATTTCTGGCAAACCTTCGGCCGCTCTCTTTGGGACCTGATATCTCCTGATATAATGACACCGATGTATTATATCATAGCCATACACACACAATCACGCGGATGTATTATGTATATATATATATATATATACATATGAATACATATGATACATGTTACATAGAGATTAGATACATATTTTCTATTGAAAAATAATGCATGAATATGATTAAACTGTTTGAGGATGTTTTAAGAAATTGTATTGTTGGAAAGATGTTTGTTGGCGTTGATTTTGACGGATGCCTTCAAGTGTGCATGGCAAATACTCCAGAACGCATCAGAAAATAATGTTTTCACAGTGGCAGCCACAAGGTCATGATAAGCTTTGGAAAGAATCCAATAAACAAAAAATCATCAACACACATGGGTAATAAAAACACAGTGAAAACCACAGAGATTATTTGATAAAGAGGCAAACATGAGGGTCGTCATACGTTTTTGCGTCCACTTCAAGGCGTCGATCTCTGGTTTTCCAAAGGGATTTTTGCGGATGGTTACCCATTTTCATAATCTTTCACAGTAATGTGGGTAAAACAATGAACCACCCATTTGGGAATGGTTTATACCACCTATTTATGGTGATTTGTGGGATGGTTTCTTAGTGGTTTACCCACAGTAGTTCCAACCCTTGTAATCCAAACCGGGAACAACATTGGATGGAACATGAAATGATACAGAATTGCCAGCAACAAGATATCAGAATACGAGTATCATTTCTTCATGTATATAAAGGATTTTAATGTCAAAGAGACATGCAAAGGACTATCAGCATCACTCTCGAACTGACATATTGGGATATATTGGGCACAAGCGGCCTAAAGTTTGAATGTGAACGTGAACCCCATGAATGTGCGCGTGTGACCTGTGCGAGCATGTCACAAACTCCAGATGCTTTTCCTCTGTTCGGCCGACAAGAGGGGGGACAATCTCAAATCGTACAAGTATATCAAGTATACACACATGTAAAACGCGCAACATTGTCCCATTAAAACCAGTTCAAACCTCTATTTAGTTCCGGGACGCCTGCCATGCTGGCATGTATCTGTCCTACATGCGGATCCAGGCACCAGTTAGCTCCAGCAAGTTCATGAAACACGCCTGACGCGTACCATTGTCAAAGCCGGAAAAGAAGCGCGCAATCAATACGATGTACGGGGCAGCAGGACCCAAATTTCTTGCAATCGCCTCACATGTGACAAACAGCAACTGCCAAACACACTCCCATTTCACTTGAAACTCTCTCTCTCTCTCTATTCTCTCTCTTCCTCTCTCTCTCTCTCTCTTCCTGTCTAATAAAACATTTGCATGTATCTATCTAAGCACACTAAAGACATTAAAGTAGTATCAATTTCATCATTAATATTAAAAAAACAGCAATAATACCGGAAACAAACAATCACATACTGATTATCTTAATATTAATACAGTAATAGCTACAATCATAATGAATAAATATGAATCATGAACATCAATGAATAATTATGATGATCATCCTCCACGGGAAGTCAGAACGCAGCGGCTTCGCCGAGGCAGCCGAGGAACGTAAAAGAAGGCTGAGAGCACTCCGAGCGCCATCCCGCCTTGTAGCAGTAGCTTCGGCTGTCTCGGAAATCTGCTGTACAAACAACCGCTGAGCCATCCTGTCAGGACGCGCCGATTGCTGGGAACAACTTGTGGAACAACTTCAGTGACACCAGGGGATGCTGGGGACAAAAAAAACCTGGGAGACACAAACGTTGGTTCCAAGTGTTAAATTTATTGATCTATGGTTTTGTATAGCAAGGCTCAAAACACATAGAAAGGACACATACATCCTCCAAAATAGCAATAAACTATGGTAAATTTCTGTCATATTTTTTTTGGAGTAGTATACTTGTAGGCTCTATTTTAGCTCAATACTGGCTCAGGGTCGCTTACCGTTGTGATTTTTTTTTCTGACCCCCAACCACTCAAAAGCGACCTTCAAAAAAACTCCACGTGGGAGTGCTTGAATTGTTACTATTTCCAATGCTTACATGTGGAGGCTTACAGGGCAAACGGCAATGAGCACCCGAGGTGAACCAGTCGCCCAGGCGCCTCCACAGCCTTCACCCACGCTGTAAGCTGCAATGACCGCAGCCAGAAATCGGGTGCTGGCATTCATCTCTCGCAAGTATGGCCAAAGTGTTGGCAACACAATGGAGAAACCTGGCAGTGGCGCCGCCGCCACACCCCCAAAGCATGTAGGAAAACATCGGTTTCAACACTGAGAAGTATCCCAAACACCGAGGAACACGCACTTATGGCAATGATTATTGGGACATTCAACCGCTTAAATCCGGCACACCAAAGACCTACCCCCATCCGCTTAAATCGCCGTTTTACCCCAAGACGCCTGCGCAACCGAAGAACATGTTGCTGAAAAACACCAAAAGCCATGCTGGCATGGGAGGCTTACTTTTCTCTCCTGGCAACTGGCGCAACAAGCCGCCTATACCTTGAGTTCAGCCTACAGTGTTGCAGCAAATCATAGCAAATTTGGTTTCAAGGTTGGAGATTAGATGATTCGACATATTCAAAACCGGCATGGGTTAAACAGGGTCAAAATATAAATGACCCAAGACTACAAGAAACACTGTGACCGCCAGATTTAGTCATTATTTCATTAATGATTGTCAATCTTAGATGCTTGTGAAAAAGATCGGACAAATTTGAGTTCTGACATAATACACGTAAAATAAATAAATGATATATAATATTGCATTATATTATATATAACATATAATATAATATATATAAAAATAATATAGATTTAATAAAATAAAATATAATATAATAATATTATATAATATGATTTAATAAAATAAAATATAATATAATTTAATATAACGTAATATAACGTAATATAATATAATATGATATAATGTAATATAATATAATATAATAAAATAATATATAATATAATGTAGTATAATATAATATGATATAATATAATATATTCTAATATATTGAAATATAATATAACATAACATAATATAATATAATATAATAAAATATAATATAATATAGTAAAATATAATATATATATATATATATTGGTTGTATAAACAAATATTGTATATGTGTATATATATATTGGGTGTAGCCTAACCTCTGTAACAGCCGGAAAATGGATTTCCTATGAAAACCTCTTCAAAAGGAGCACAGGGAAATTCTTCCATTTTTCCCATTTTCTTTCGTGCAAAAATTGTGCTCTGAATCGTGCTGTTTTGGTGTTCCCCTCCGTGCAAAAATCGTGCTCTAGATCGTGCTCTTTGGTGTTCTCCTCTGTGCAAAAATCGTGCTCTAGCTCGTGCTCTTTGGTGTTCCCCTCCGTGCAAAAATCGTGCTCTAGCTTGTGAAAGCTGTTACAGACAATGGGCCAGACCCAATATATATATAATTCTATATTTTATCATATTATATTATATTATATTATGTTATATTATGTAATATCATAACATATCATATCATATTTGATATTATATATTAAATACCATATATTATAAATTATATTTTATATGTTATATATTACATTATATACAATATATTTTATATTAAATTTTAAATAATATATTATATATATATATGTTTATTTTATATATTATATATTATATATTAAATATTAAATATTATATATTATATATTATTTATTATATAAATATATTATATTATATATGTATTCAAAGGATTCTAAGATGTATGCAGTAGGTCTATGATATTCCCTCGGTAGTAGCTAAAACACACACACACACCGGGCGAAAAAAAAAGAAGCAAGTTTTCAGTTTTCACCGGTCAGTCCTTCTATTCCCTCCATCTCGCAGAACGTGGGCAATCAACTAGTCTGCAAACATTCAATACCCAAATGTTGCAACTAAAATGGTACATGTAATATCATGTAATTGGCCTGTTGTTACGCAGCAATGTCGGTCAGGTTTTTTCACATGGTGTAGTGTGTTAGGTCTCGTCCAAGCTAGTTTCTGGTCGTGGCTCTGTCAGTGCACAATGCAATATTGCTGGGTAAAAATCCGTCGGGAACACCACACCAAGCTGACTCCAGGTATTCTTCAACTAAAAGACACCAGCTCGCAAATGGGTTCATGAATCCTTAAGTTGTTGGGCTTGTCGATTGTTTTTCCACATCTGGTCACAAAAAGGGGTTTTCTGAAAAGGTACGGTGCCCCGAATGTTGATGGATCATCATGATTATTCCAATTGAAATTGCTAGTCTTGAGGGTATATACCGTAGTTTCAGACACACCCAATTTAGATATAGAAAATTATAGAAACATGAATGCAAAGACAGCCCACTTTGGACCATAACCATGCCACATCTGGGCACCAAATGCTTAAAGTTGATAGCAACATTGTGTCTGCAGGCAAGGATGAACATCGGTCAAATCGGACTTTTTTGGAGCGCTCTGCAATTGAAATACAGAGCTGGGGAAACGTTCTTGCCATTTCCCTTCTGCAAAAAAAACAGAGATAGCTCGAATTCGGCTGCCATGCGGCCACAACACCCCATATAAGAACGTCTTTTTCAAATTGTCTATCCCCGACTTGCCCAAAGAAACTCATGTTTTTCAGATAAACACATGTTCTTGGGGCAGCCGAACAATATGGAGAAAAGTTGGCACACTCCAACCCTGCGCAGGTCTAAATGACACTGTTCAGGGGAGCCAGGAACTTGGGTTTTCCTCTACTTGCTTTAAGGTTTGCGCTGATTTGCATCGAAAACTGTGGCGCAAAGGCGCCAGAAGTAGATACGATATACAGATATGATATGACCACTCGTTTTTTGGAGCATCTTTGGATACAAGTGAGAAAGTAATGTCCGAGGCACAGACAGCGTTGGTGAAATGACAAATATATACACATATATGATGGTTTGGAATGTCACGATGCTCCTGGGTCATCGTTTGAATTGGATGGCATCGACCTAGCACAGCCGCATGATACATTTTGTCGCGAGAATGAGTTGCTTTGCCTGTTTGGCAAGCTGCCACTGATGCAAAAGCACAACCCTTGCAAGTGGAACATTCACTTTTCATCTCTTTTCATCATTTTTTTCAGCATGCAATCGCGTAGCAAGAACCGTTAAATTTCGTTCACCACACGATCATAAACAAGGTGTCTTTGTCATCATATATCATCATGATCATGGCAGCTTACCACCATCACCCATTCCCAAGTCATTCTTTTCGTCCTGACTATCGCTGCCATCGATGCTGTCAGGACTCGTTGTGTCCGACTCAGAGCCTCCAGAGCCGCAGCGAGGCAGAGGGCCGCTGCTCGCAATCAATGGCGTTGCTTCGAGATCGCGGTCCTGCGGACTTCGTACATGTTTATGTCCTTAAGATCAGGTTAGGTGAAATCCAACCGTTCAGGTTTTTTCCTAAATTTCCTAATCTAAACCATAGTTTTAAGATGTTTTAAGGTTAACTGTGTTTCAGGTGATTTACTTACATGAACAGTGGGGCAATGGGGCCATCACCTTTTTTGAGCCTAAACTGCTATACTTCACTTATGTCACCAACTTATCTAAACTATGGGGCATATTGTGTATGTGTACGGTGTCAAGATATCTTAATATATCATAATAAAATCAATAATAATAAGATATCTTAATATATCTTAATATATCATATATAATATATCCATGAACATCGCTATATTTATTACATCTGATATTATATTCCCACTTGGTTTCTAAAAACGGATCCCCAAAACCATAGGTTTCAATCCTCAAATGGTCGAATTTTGAATGATTTGAGACCCGCACTTTTCAGGAAACATCCAGATTGAGTTGGTTTATATCCCAGCAAATCACCATTGAATCCCCAAGAAACCAGGCACCATGACCAACATGAACGGATGACGGGCCCCTCCTGGCCATAGCTTTCCAGATCGACGTCCTGCGACTTGCCATGTTCGTTGGGAATGGCATGAGGAGAGGTTGGTAGGATACAAAACCCTTGGTGATTTCATGGGAATTTAATGGGATTTTATGTGGAATTAATTAGGTATTAATGGAGAATTAATGGGAAGTTGGTGGTTGAACTACAAAAATGGTGATTTCATGGGAACAGACTGGAGGTGCAATGGATGTTGTTATCCTACTTCAAATGTGGACTAGGGTTATGAATGAGTATAACTAATGGTGAGTTCACCTGCACAAGTTGGGAACCCCAGAACTATGGTTTATATGAATGTTATAGGTTATAAGGTTATTATGAAGAGTTCAGTGAAAACACCAAACCAACAGACAAACCACACTCTAAATTGGATGTCTTTTCGGGGAAACAGAATGCAGGCACCCAAAGTCCCACACTTAATTTTGACGGGGGCGTTGCTCAAGGGCCCTGTTGGCCAAGTTGATCCAACGGCAGCGAACAGCACGAAGGTGTAGTTCAACCTGGCAAGGGGCTTCTCGATTTGTGCGTGTCATCCAAATCAGTTTGACGGCGTCAAATTCACATTGGGAAAAGAGAGTTGGGTCAAAAACAAGCACCATCGCTTGCAACCAATTGCTCATTCCAGGCAGCAGCAAATCAAATCAGCCAGTAGTTGTCGGCTTGAAAAGTTTCTGCCGCCCATTGCACATGGAAAAATTGCATTTCATTGCTTCGGCAGGAAAATTCCAGACTGCCGGGCATATGTAAAACTGTATTTTGCAAACTGTTGTAAGGTTTAGGATGGGAAATGTTCCAGTCCATCCAATAGGCTTGGATGGGAAAAGTTCCAGTCCATCCATTCTGAGTGGGAATTATTCCAGTCCACTCAGCGCCAGCTGTGCTGATAGTTGTCCATCTCAGCATTCTCGCGCGTCCTTCTCTCTTCGCATTCTTTGCAGACATACATGGTCACTGGGCGTGCTTGCATGAGAATCTCGCAGTCATCGAAGAGGTGGAAGCGGTTTGCCTTGTGGAGAGCGTAGACCTCTCTTCGAAACGCCAGCTCGTGGTCGTGGAGCTCGCGCATATTGGCAATTGGCCTGGTTGGCTCGATCCAGTGAGTCTTGAACTTGGTAAATCTGGCGTTCCAGTTCAATCACTTCTTGAATCTTTGCGGTCAATGAGAGTTCAACATCTTGAAGTCGTGGTGTCAGAGTTTTGAGTTCACGTCAGAACTTTTCAGCATCCTCCTTGTTTGTTTCGCTTGTATCTTTCATCACCTGCGCATAGCTTTCCAGAGTTTCGATCTCCATTTTGAAGCTATCTTCCAACCTTGCTTTGTCTTCCTTCTCGATGTGGAGCTGGTAGGACATGTGTGACATCTCCTCATACTCCATCTCGCATTGCGCACTGTTGTCGCGCATTGCACGGCGTGGAGCCAGACGCTTTGGTTCTGCATGTTGGAAAACTTTCGGAAAACCAAGCAGCATCCAAACGCAGAAACAAGCAGTGAGGACAGACATCACCATAGTCACCAGGAGTCGCATCGCATCTGACGACCATGAGGCATCATCGCACCATGAGGCATCGAAGGAGGAACCTGTCACAGGCATGACGTGGAAGATGAAGATCAAATGGGCTAAACCACCTACCTTGCTAGCAGCTTTTGAGAAGGCAAACTTGCGGGCATTTGCTTCTCTTTGCTGTTGAGTTTTCTTCTTTGCGGCAACGAAATCTTCATCTGCATCTGCTTGCAATTTGAACATGTGTGTTCGAAGGCGGTCAGTGAGCAACTGACGTGCTGAGGGTTTTGTCATACCATCAGCATACTGTGCTTCACTTGAAACCCATCGCAAAAGTGCTTGGCACTCTTGCATCTTTTTTTTCACAATCATCACCTCAATCTTGGTTCGTTTGTCACCTGAAATGTGCGGAATTTCTGCACGAATTGAATCGGACAGAGCTTTTGCATCAACCACTAAAGCTGTTTTGCTGATCACCCATTCACCAGGAGACTGCAAAGTGTAGTCAGCATTGAGACATCCTTGGATCAGTGTTCGGGTATATTCCAAACTATCCATCGCAGCTACGCAGGCTTGAGATTCAGCGTTCAAAGAGCTTCGGGATACCCTGGGCAAACGAAAACTTCTCCAATCCAAAATGATGTAGGGTAACCACCTTGGCTGTGGCCTTCACGTCGAATTCCCCAAGAGGCATCGCTCATTGCAACCAAAACCATATCTGAAATTTGACCAAGAGGACGAAATAGTTCATCTTGGAAAACTTCAGAGCTTTGTTTGCATCACGCAAGTCTTCTGTTGTAGCAGCTGTGATCTGACCACTGAGGAGAGAAACTGTTGCACCAAGCTGAGGTGCAGTTTGAGTGCCGGGCCATCGAAGTGCACCAAGCACTGCTCGGAGAGCACTAACCTCATTCTGTGTGGCCATTGCAGAGTCTCGACCCTTCGGGTCGATGGTGATGGGCTTGATCTTGCTAAAGTAGTCAGGCTGTCCAAGTTGATAGCCATAGGAGGTTTTCACAAATGAACATCCACAAAAATCAAGCTTCTCACGTTCGTTGATATGAGTCTAGTGCTTGAAATTGAACTTTTCACGCAGCAACTTCTTGGCTGTATTGTAGCACTCGCTTTGAGGGTTGCCACTAATCAGCAAGTCATCTACGTGTAATCCAACCAAGCAACATAAACATCCTTCAGCATCATGCAGTCTGAACAAGCAACCATCCAGCTTGTGCTGGGTGAATCCAACTTCCTCCAGTCGTCTTCGGGCGACTTGGTACCAGGCTCTTGGAGCATCTGCCTGGCCATAGATGGGCTTCAGGAGGCGCATCAAGGAGTTGGGCTTGATGTTCAGGAGAGTGCAGGCATCTCTAGGGAGTTTGCACCATAGTTCGCGGGATTGATTGTCTCCTTGCAAAAGGCTGTAGCCACATCGGCACACAAAAACTATCAAAAACACCCATTGATTCAAGACACCAATGGACAGCAGCACTTGTCTTGACGTTCTGCTCAAAGTTGGAGAGCTTGGCTCAAGGCTGCCAGACAGCAGGTCGGGATCAGAGTATCCCTGTAGCACAAGTCTAGCTTTGGCTTTTGTGCCACCTTTACCATCATCTGCCCATTTGAGAAAATAACGTGCTTTCAAAATGCGGCTTTCTGATGCTTTCTCAGGCTCAAGTTCAAGTTGCCAAACTCCATTCTCAAAAATTGATTGCAGCTCGGCCTTCTTTGCAGTCATGAAGGCGAGGCGGTCTTCAACTGTCATGCGGGATTCTTTCAAATCTGCCTCGTTGTCCTTCTTCTTTTTCAAAGGGTGAGTTGCAGCCATCCAGACTTCAGAGGGTGAGTTTTCCATGGAGCCGGAAGTGGACTTACTGATCTTCTTCTTGGGATTTATGTATGGCATCTTGAGCTTTTGGGCAGCTTCTTTGGTGAGTGGAAACAACGTTTTCCCAAAGAAACCATCTTTGCTGATCTTTCGCTCGGCAGCAGCAACAGAGTCAATCATCATAGTTGAGGCACCTTCAGGCTTGGTGATTTTCAGGGCTCTCCCAACTTAATGGGGACATCTTTGATGGCATCGGCAGTTGATCTCCATGAGGGGTCACGTGCAATGACATGATTTCGAACCAGGAAACCTTCTTCAACTGACCAAAAGTCTTGGGTCTTGCCAAGGACACAGGAGTTGGAGACTTCATCATAGGTCCAGCCGTCAGGCAAGATGTCACCCGCAAACTGGTTGTGCTCACCATTGGAACTGTAGAAACCAACTTCGACACTGTTGAAGATCCTTTGGCGTTTCTGCTCAGAGTCATTCTTTGGCTCATCCAAGGGTCTTCTCTGACGCTGGAAATTTCTGAGCCAAGCCATCTCTCCTTGATCCATGTTGCGGCGTCTTTGTTGGGAGCCGTTGTTGCCATTGTCAGCAGGCAAAGTGTTAACTGCTGCAGCTGGCTGGTCATTTCCGCTGGCAGGCAAAGTGTTAACTGCCACGGGTGGACCATCTTCAACTTCAGAATCATCGCTTGGAACAGGAGGAAGATCTTCATCTGCCGGCATCTCGTTCGGCGGAACTGCAGTGGTGTTGGCATCATTGCTGTTGTTGTCGTCGTTGTTGTTGGGCGCATCATTGTCGGCAATCACTGTCTCGGCAGGAGTTGTTGGAGCATAGGAATATGGAGAGTCAGGAGGTTGTTCGAGTTGATCGATTTGGCGATCCATTTGTTCGATTGCGTCATGGAACTCATCGACTTCTGCTGGGCTGTCCAAGATCTCCACGTCGGGTTCCGTTGCAGCATCATCAGCAATCGGTATTGGAGATTCTGGTGGAGCTGGGTCATGGAGTTGAAGTTGATGTGGAGGACTGCCATGTTTGCGCTGTTTGCGGCTGTCGTCCAAGTCAAGGTCAGCATCATCTTCATCTAGCTCATCAATTGACCTTTTGTTTGTTTTGTGCAGGTCAATCAGTCGGACGACTCGTCGCTGTCGTACTTGACGCATGGCGTCCACAGGTGAAGACATTCGACCTTCTGCATCAACCAAACGTTTCACATGATGTTTTCCAGCTCTAATCAGCACTGTTCCATGAGCAAGCCAGTAGGTGTCAACATTGTCAGTGTCAGGGTCAATTTGAACTGCGACCACAACAGCAGGACCTTTCCACTTGATGGTGTGGAAGCGATCAGTTGACTCGCGCCAGTAAAGGCATCTTTCGCCTCAGTTGGATGTCCTTTCGGGGAAACAGAATGCAGGCACCCAAAGTCCCACACTTAGTTTTGAAGGGGGCATTGCTCAAGGGCCCTGTTGGCCAAGTTGATCCAACGGCAGCGAACAGCACGAAGGTGTACTTCAACCTGGCAAGGGGCTTCTCGATTTGTGCGTGTCATCCAAATCAGTTTGACGGCGTCAAATTCACAGTTATTTGCTGTAAATAGATGTAAATCTGCCACCCAAAAAAATGGGGAACATCCACACTGGATGAATCTGGATTATTGGAAAATGCCATGAATGGTCTTCATGGTGGTTTCCAGTTCATGGACTATCCATATATGGGGGTTTCCATAAATGGTGGTACCCCAAGAGCTGGATGGATTATTTCAATGGAAAATCCATCTATAAATGGATGATGACTGAAGGTATCCCCATTTTAGGAAACCTGCATATATCTATACCTGCAACTGGAACTGCACCCCCAAGCCCAAGCAGGAATCGGCAGGAAATTCCGAAATTCCAAACAAACCAGCAGTGCTGTGTCATCCCCTTCTGCCTCCGTTGCCTCTGATACTTGGATCTGCATCTCATTGCATCTCATATATAGTCAGTGGTTGAGAATTCATATATTCCTGGGTTGGTCCTGTTTAATCCTAACCCTACAAAAATGCATGGGTCACTCCCGGCTCCCCCACGTCAGTGTCCACGTCAGTCACCCCAGTCCTTGATGGGCAATTGAGAGTTTCCGTTCAAAGGCACTATCTTCACCTCAGCTTAGATCAATCAGAACCATCCCCAATGACCTACCATTTTTATGGCTGGGATTTCACTCATCAATCCTTGTATTGGCTGGCAAAAATGACATTGCGAAAAACGAACAGGTTTATCGAAGTTGATTCGTACTGTCACATTCACAATGTGTGAAATAACCAATAACACTATCACATCCATTTCAATCTAAATGTGTATACCCTCTGATAAACTAACAAAACACTATGGAAAATCACCATCTTTAGTGGATAAATCAACGATTTCTATGGTCATTATGGTCATTTTCAATAGCAAACTGTTAGTTTACCAGAGGGTATATACAGATGCATATTAGATCCCCCCAATATGGCGAGCTTGCGGTCAGGGTGTTACCACCGATCGAGTCCTACATCAGGCGATCAGGGCATCATTAAGCATATCATGGAGATAGATAAAATAAAAAACATGGCTATGAGTCATTTTTTACAAAAAAAAACATATCCATATTTGAAATGTTTCAAAACATGTTTTTGTTCTATATATCTCTTTCGGGCTAAGAAATCATAATTTCAAATATGGCTAGTCAGAACAAAGACCCGAGGTAGCCATCCAGGAAAATAGCTATTGACCTCATCCTCGTCATCTGTTTCAACCGGGATCACCATTGGGGCATCCAACAAACAGTTCTTGTTTCTAGACATCCTGAGGCTTGGTGGCTGAAGAAGTAATCCATTCCTCGGACTGTTTGGGAATATGTTGGATATTGGATGAATGAATGAAAAAGACTTCCCTGCCTGGTTGTTCAGGGCAGCATTCTTCGGCTTGTCCTCCAGGTTCGTCAGAGTCCAGTCAGTCAATAACTACCATCATACTACATAGGATTTCACAGCGATGTATTGCACAACATGTTTTTCCCCAGTCTTAACTATATTACCCAGATTCAATCGGAATATTCGTACTATATATATATACAGTATATATAGACAAAATTATATGAATGCAGAATCAAACTCATTAGATTCATACTACTTCGATCCAATTCGTAGCCACTAAACCCAGCCGGTGATCCGGACACTTGGCACCAATTTTAACGGAGTCCTGGCCGCTGATGGCGGCTTCCAAGTCGATGTCCTGGTCTGGCTGGGATACCCCATTCAGAGACGCGTTGTTATGAAAGGTGGGAAATCCACCAGACATAGATTCGGAGGGTGTTCTGATGGGAAAATCATCGTTAAGTAAATTTAATTCTGAATAATTGTCAATTGCCACAGTTGAAAAAACTAGAGGCTAATGATGAACATGTTGGGCTATAAATTGATTGGGAAAATGATGATGATGGCAACCCTGGTTTAGTATTGTTGGATTTGTTCATTTTGGGGCCCAAAAAAGGAGGAGTCGGCCTACGGCATGCCGGAAGCAAGTGGATCTACGAGACCCACATATTCAAAGTGGGAATTGTGCTGCAAAAAAAACATCCCACATTCAACATGTCAATGGGTTTGTCTCAACATGATATCCATAAAAATTGCAATTCTGTTGGAGAAGCATGGGGTTGTGGCAAATTTTCAGATATGCCCACAAATCCCCAGCTAAGTGGGATTTGTGGGCAATGAAAAATGTGCCATGTGGTTAAACATCATAAGAACATGGAACTCCATGAGTTTCTGTAGGACAATGAGTTGAACTTCCCAGCCTAGAAATGGTGAAATGGTGAGCTCAGCCAGGGAGATCGTTCTCATTGGCTCATAAGTCATACTCTCATACTATCCATGGTGCAAATATATCTTCCTGAAGGAATGAGTGATTGTTGATCCAATTATATCTCAAGGATTCTGAAAGGAATACTTGTATGCGCGTCGCAGTTCGCAAGTGGTTTATAACCTATATAAAACTGTGGATATTCCATATATAGCCCGGAGATCATGTGGTTGTTACTCATTTATAGCCTCAACTGCACTCCCAAGTAGTCTATGGCCATGTTCCAACCACTTCCAACCTTGAATTGGATCATCTGGCGCTGGTGTTCCACATGCACTCCGGTAGTCGAACATGGCAATGGAAAATTCCATGGAACATTCCCCTCTATAGCTATAAAATAGAGGTTTTACTGGGACGATCATCTACAGATTTTCCATTGCCATCTTTATCATCTTTGCCGGAGGGTAGACACAAACATCATGGATATCCATGAAGGATGCGGGCGGTTCAAGTGTGCTGCTCTTTGGGTCCTGCAATCAAGGGAGATCATCTTCCCAATCTTTGTGGCTTACAATGGCCACATTTACACATGCTTCTTGCATCTTGCTTCATCTCCTAATTTTAGTTGCTGAAACATCCCAATGTCCCAACAACAATACCACCACCCTTCGCTTTCCTGCATCGGTAGCTGAGAGTTGTTGAGAGGCACGATCTTCGCCTACAAAAAGCTGGGACAAGAGATCGAGTCTCAGCTGCGGAGCAGGCGAATCAATACGGAATCATGCCTCAAATTGGGATATGTAACAATGAATTGGAGTACTGGGATTATATTGGGATGTTGAATCAACTATAACAGATCGACATAATAATGACTGAAGGTGCAATATGTCAATAGTATATAATATATATTTGAAAACAGTTAATTAAGCGTGTTGTTCAATCTAGTTGCTTATCATTGATGGGTCGTGTGAGGTCGATGGCATTCTCCAGATCTTAAATGTTGCAACCATGAGGTACGGATGTACAAATTTTCAGCACCACAAAAAGGACATCCTCGGAGGTTTCCGTTTTGTCATGGGGGTATCCCCAAATCATCCAAATGTTAGCCAATGTTAGTATTGAAACCCTTGGAGATCCTAGATTTTAGGACACCCCACATAAAGGAATGAGGATACATCATCCAACAAAAATGGACCAATGCAAATCATTGGTGAAAAAAAATCAGGCGTTGCTTCAACTTACTGGTGCTTAGTAGGGAATGGATGGGAATGGGGGAATGGGATTTTTATTCATAGTTAGCCAGTGGATCATTCCCTCATTCCCTACTAAGCACAAGATCACAAGTAAGTCAAGTACACGTTTCCTTGCCTGGTCGTTTGCGGCCGACGCATTCTTGGGCGTGTCCTTGCGAGGCGTCGAAACAACAGATGGGTTAACGGATCGAAAGTAGGATGATTCAACGGTAATTACTAAAATGGACCCACATTGTTCTTGCATCTTTTTTTAATCATCCATATATTCTATAATCATCCATATATTCTGTATGTAATTTTGAGCCATTCCCAACACCTTCACGATTGTGTGCGCGATTGAGAATGCAGCGTTTACTTGCAGTATTAAGATATATTGTATAATAAGTATATAGGTCAATGAAGACTTCTGGGAGCCTTGGTTGTTCAAAATCTAGCTTGGTTTTGTGCAGAGTGCATGCAACTAGTCCCAACTATTAGTTTTGATTTAACTTGAAAGGCCTACCGAATCAATAGTCATCATGCTTGAGTCAACATCTGGGCTTCTTTTGGTGCTAAGACCATCATCAACAAACAAACAACACGTTGGGGTCTAATCCATCAGGACATGTCATGTCTGACAAGTATCATATTTAGCTGCTCCCATAACGCATAGGATCCACGGTGCTGGTATATTAATGCTAACATTGGGGGTATATTGATGGGATCCATGTTACCATATATAGCAGCACCATGGATCCGTCATGGGTAATACCATAGCTGTAGAGATTCCTATCAATCCATTGTTACCCGCTTTGGTGTATCGATCAAAGCACCATGCGATACCATGCGGGCCAGTGAATTTCTTGCCATGCAGGCATGCGGGGCTGATTTTTTCAGGTTGAGTTCCTGCTTTTTTTAGGGGTCTCCAATCATGCTAGTTTCGGGGCGAAGGGACTAGCCTTCGCCATTCAAGGAAGTGGGCTAATCCAATGGAAAAACACGGAAAAACAGTGGATAATCACATCAGGAACTGTACAACTGGGTAACAATGTTAATTGGGATGTTTCCATTGTTTTTCAGGGAACATTGATATACAGGAAACCCCTGCAACAAATTGCTGGTTTTCAACATGGTCAAACCCATATGGATTTCCTGTGGCCAACAGCTCCTTGGCCCTCCGATTCAGCGAATGGAGAAGTCCTAGACTCACTACCTGGGCACTGGGAATCTTGAAGACTTCAATGGGGATACCCTTCGGTAATCAATGAGAAAGACATCATCAATGAGGGATTTTCCATGATTTTCGCCACGTTTGATGACTGGAGGATAAACCCTGAGGTCTGACATACAAAAAGAATATTTTAAAAATTGGGTAACCCTAGGAATTGATCGTGTAGCAATGCTGTTCTCGAGGTAAGTTTACTGGAATCTTCATAACATTGGGAAAGACCCATGAGTATATGACAAGAATAAAACAATATGGGAAATCCATGGGGAACTTCCAGCAAACACTCTAGAAACATTGAACTTTCCATGTTCGAAGTAGCATGTGCTTGAAGACTGCCACAAACCTACAGTATCGATTGCTATGTTGGATTGGAACGGCAGTGGAAATGAATCATGATCCAAAATACAGGCATGTATAATAAACCATAGAAATAGACAATCTCGACACATGTCCGGGGTCCAAGAATCTGAAGAATGCAAAAAACATCAATTTTGCCTCGCAGGTTGAATTGCAATCATTGACTACTGCAACCTGATATAGCCTGAATAACCTGAAAGATCCTGAAAGGATCCAAACTTTTGGATGCCCTTCTTATCCTGGTCCTAACCATCAAAAACCGTGCTTGGCTGCGCCCAACTGAGCCCCGGTCAACCATAGCAATGCAGACCCCGCGCCACCGATCGAAAGGTTTCGGAAACCTCGGACGGGAAGGGATTTCCAACGGATTTCCGAGAGCTTGAGCTGACAGCAGACACATCCCAAGCACATGAGTTTGTCTGAGTTCATGGGCTTCACCACATATTTTGTTATTTCTGCCAATTTTTCTGCCAATGTTCATGGGCAGAATTGAGGGATTTAAACCTGGGGAGTTTGTGGTACCAGATTTTCAGACACCGGCAGTATTGGTCCATGTCATTGTCATCGTCACCGGATGGTTCAGCATAGAATCCAACACACCCTCCGGCAAAGTGTAATCAAACGTGGCAACGAGAAATCCCAAAAAAATTGGCATGTCATTAGGAAAATTATCTACAAATGGAGAATTTCCATTGCAGCGTTTGAGTACCAGAGGGTAATAAGTATTCAAAAGCAGCACGCAAATAGATGTGCAGGTTGTGATGAGAAGTTCTTGATGCAACTCTTCAAAATTGGTGTATATAAACACATAGCACGTCGGAATGCTGTGAAATACCTCCAAAATGAAGTCTGAGGTGTTCCTGCTATTTCTACTGTAGCTCTAACTTCAAATAGTCTTCAAACAAGACTGCCCATGACCTCGCCATTCAGGAATTTCAACGTTTCAAACCACCAACTGCAATATGTCCTCAAAAATTATCGACTTCTCAAGATGTGGGATTGTTAGAATCGTCTCATCAGTCTATGGATTGCAAAGAAATCAAAGCGGCATCAGATTCGAGACTAGGTTTCGAAATTCAAATGTCCCAGTCATGGATGGTCATCCCCCGAAAATATGACCACCATTCTGTTTTTTTTTTTATGTTTTGGAGCATGTTTAATGGCTATACCGGCTATACCCCTCCCCAGCCAGATGTCTTTGTGAGGCTCCGGCAGGATGTATGACAGGATCAACGTAGCCAGCTTGCGAAAACTTGAAATCCGCGCCTGGCCCAGGCGCGAAGCTCTGCAAAACGTGGCCATCACACTCCCCATCGACTGGTTGCATCCCGCTGATCCAAACTCTATGGCCATGATCATGTCGATGTTCAGTTGCTGGTGATATGATAGTAGTGATAGTAGTGATAGTAGTGATAGTAGTGATAGTAGTGATAGTAGTGATAGTAGTGATAGTAGTGATAGTAGTGATAGTAGTAAGAATGATTGGTAAGTACAGCGATCATATGATATACATATGATAACAAATAACAATAATCATCAACTCATTACACATCAATAATCCTCAAAAATAATCATCACCAATAATCAATATCATTTTCATGCACTCATTACAACAACAATCAAATCATCAACTCATCCTCACGTCTCGCCGTTTCCAGTTCGAACATCCAAGGCCTGGCCAACGGATCCCGCTTCATTCACGAGATGAGTGTTTGCCCAGGCAGACATTCCGGTGCAGAGACCTAGCGATCCGGGGAGAGGGCGATCAAGAAGGGGATCCATGATCCATGGTGAAGATTCCTATGGGTCAGATCGTTTTAGTTGATCCACAAAAAAAGGACATGATGAAACATGATGAAGATCTATATATATAAATATATATATATATGTTTTCCATGAATTATTTTCCATGATGAATGAAAAAAACAATATATATGTCGAAAAGTGAATGCCTCATCCAGTCTCGATTTTTTCAAACTCCATCAGAACGCCCAAACAAATCCAGGCCCAGTGGAGACATAAAAAACGCGGAGCGAACTGAAAGCCCTGGACGATTAAGATACTTCGATGATTTACCTGGCAACATGTTGAATTTTCCATATAATATATAGGTATGTTATGTTAAATTGCTAGAGGGTATCTGATCAACACACTAGAAACTCACACCCAACTTTTGATCATAATATATATATAATCTTCCACTTCCATGTAGGAGGAACCATCGGAAAACATTAACGTATCAGCAACAGGGAATCGTCAGCACCGGACGATTAGCCATTTCTAAATCCCAACGGGGGATGGTGTACCTCACTAATGGGGAAAATACCCTCTGGTTATTTGACATAGCCATGGGAAATGGCCCATTTATAGATGGTTTACCTATTAAAAATGGTGATTTTCCATGGCTATGTTAAATAACCAGAGGGTATATGAAAATATAAGAAATAGACAAAGCAAGGCCAATTTTGGAACTTCGAATATCTGGAAGTCATCAATGAGTCAGCGTTATACTGAAAAACCGCAGGTCTTTGGTTTTAGACTCTAACTAGTAACTTTCAACCTCAGATTAATTACCTCCCTGTTTGTGAATTGGGAGTACTCCCAAACTTGCTATTAAAACGGTATCCCTTCAATTAAACAATCCAGTGATTTACTACTCTGGGGTTGACATTCAAACTTGGACATTATTAGCATTCGGATTCGTAAATCAAAACTAATACCAATCAACAGTCCCAGATGGTATTATGATTAGTATAATACTTGACTAATACCAATCATGTCTGGGGTTGACATTTGACATTCTTGGCCCTCTCTTACCACCTCTCTCCCTTCAAACCATTCCAAGGCCATATCGGGACCTAGACCCTCCAAACACCAACCAGAAATTCAAATGGGAAAGGTATTAAAACAGGGGTTGGTAAATGTCCTAATTGAACATCCCCCAACTATTATAGATAGAATCTCCAACAGTTACTTGAAGGTGAATCTTCAACATCCCCAAAACGGGACATTTACCAAACCCTGTTTTCGAATTATGAGTTAACAAACCTCAATTTTTGTGGCTAGGTAGAGGATCTATGAGGATCTAGGTATAGTATACCCCAAGTAGCAATTGCCAAGCAGCCAACAGAAAACATGCACCATAGTACTTGTTGCCAATCATTGGTGAGGCTTTCCTCGCTCGATGCAAAGACAATCCTCAGCCGAGATCAGCTTGAGGGGTTGAGGCAAAAAACCGAGGTTGTGGATATGCCATACTCCGTGGGGAAAAAAAACAGTACGTTACCTGTATATTCACAACATAAGAAGCATCATGTCTGATCTCATATTTGTTGGTGCTTAAATCACCATGCTCCCAGTCAAATAACCATGAGCCAACCATTGTTTAGGGTTGTGTCAAGTAATATGCTTACTTTTGAAGGTCAATACACATGTTCTTGTTGTTGCCGAAAAATCTCATTAATCATGTCTAGCATGATGTGCATAATAGATAGGTGGGTAGATAGATAAGCTAAGATAAGATAGGATAACATGTGATAAGACAGGATAAGGTAAGATAAGATAGGATAAGATAGGATAGATAAATAGAATTAAATAGATAGATAGGTAGATCGATAGATAGAAAGATAGATAGACAAACAAATAGATATCTATCCTATCTTATCCTATCTTATCTTACCTTATCCTGTCTTATCACATGTTATCCTATCTTATCTTAGCTTATTGTGTATATATATATATATATTGTCATCCTGAAGTAGACAAATTCTGGGATGTTCAAACATGTGACATATTCACATTTTAGCGAGGAATTCATCATCTCCATATTCTATCTAATTACTCGAAGATTCTTTTTGCATGAAGAATAAGCATCACAATTGGTCAACTGGATGTGGGTCAAAATGGAAGACCTAGGGGGCCACAGATGTGAATGTCTAGTTTAGTATTAACCATCCATAATTTTGGGGTACCTAATTTTGACCCATACCTAACTGGGCATGCTGATCAAACAGCCCAGGTGCAAAGCCAAGATCGAACAGCCCACGAGACCAATGAAGTTTTGACGCCTCAGCGGCCATCAACAAGTCCGAGGGGGGGGGCAACTAGGTTATTGGCCCCCCCAAAAAAGGTGATGCCACCTAGCAACACGGGGATTTCACCCATAGAATCTGTGTTAGCTAAGTACTAAGTTGGCATAACTTGCTTCACCATGGAAAATGGGTGATAAAAATGGGTGATATATCGTGATATGACTTGATATGACTATAGTAATATAGTATTCATGGGGGTTATAAACCAACTTGCAACTGAGCTCACCGCCCGGATGAATCTTTGGTTTCTATTCATTTCACTGGGGCGAGCGCGCGCCCGGAAAGTTCTTTTTGGGGATCCGATAGAAATCACCAGATCACCATGGGTTTTATCCCCATGATCTCACTGTGATTTGTTTTCCCAAGAGGGTCTATCTAATGTCATATTAAACATTAAATATATCACATATACTGTCATATAGTACAATATACTGTATTACAACGTGCTATACCCTCTGGTAATTTAACATAACTATGGAAAATCACCATTTTTAATGGGAATATCCACTATTTCTATGGATTTATACCAGCACCATGGATCCGTCATGGGATATACATCTGAAACCAATTGACTCAAAGCACCCCAACGGCATCCACCATCCAGGAATCCATGCATCCAGTCCGGAAAAAAAGCCAAGCGACAACATCAATGACATTGGCGACACCATATCTTTTTGCATCATCCTCCCATGGCGAAAAAAGCGGTGTTTTTCCAAGATTCAGGGCCTCTTCAAAATGGACCATATATGATCTTCAATCAGGGCGGCTTATTTTATCAGTATCAAAAAACCACGTCTTTCTCAAGTAAAAACAACACCCAAAGTTTCAAGGCTGTGCTTCTTTCCGATTAAACATGTTCTGAAAACTTCTGAAATGTCACTAGGTCTTGGCTGCATTCGTGTCTCATCGCCTTGGCTCCATGATGCTCGAGACATGTCGCATTTAACAGTTAAATGTAGTTGATGAATGTTAATGAGCCGCATCTGTTGTCCCTCTGGGGTAAATTCTCATGGCATCAGGTCTGTGACGACATGGTGCTGGTCGGTCCTCTGCTGTGCGTTTACAGCCAAGACATCCATCAGTGATGCTGCCAGCAGCAGAACAACACCCAGCACTGCCAAGTGTGTGGGCGCATCGGTTCGTCCTGAACCTCAAACCAGTGAGGTCCTGACCCCAACGTTGTCATCCAAATTCTTGGTCATGTTTCATACGGGATTGGGAGCACCAAACTTGGTGATGTTATGTGATTTTAATGGGAAAAATGATGATCAACCTGATCAACCATCACTTTGGCAGGGCAACCAACCGGCATTTTCATGTGGAAAATGATGATCAAACCAATGGATTTTGTGGTACCCCGTTTTTTTTGGAATTTCCAACTGATTTCTACAAGCAAGTGTCTACCTGACTGCAGATCAGTTGTCATAGAATGTCAGAAGTACCTATCTGCAAATTTGCAACTAATAGACAGACACTTTTGCCCAAATAGATTGGACCAATCCCTTCACCCTAATATTAAACGGATACGAATTTAAACAAATCTAAAAAAAGAACCTGTTAAAAAAACACCCAGGGTTAACTAGCTTCTATTATCAAGGGTGTAGAGCCTTCAAATTGGACCTTGATTCTTAATTTGTTTTCTAAAGGGGATCAATTAAAATCAAATTGGCCAATCTGAAATTTCCCAAAACGAACAATCTGGGGTAGTTTTTGTTACTTGGGGAGGTCTAGTAATAGGAAGAAGGGATTAGTTCAAACACCACCAAATTTCACCAAACGAATGCACCATAGTACATGTCTACAATGCTTCATATCAAATTATATATCTCGGACCATGTGGGCTTATCTGAAAATATGATACCTCCAAATTTCATGGTTTTTCCCATCATTTTCCCTATTATCCTATTAACGTATCCGTATATAGATGGCAAAAAAACATGTTCAGACACCACAAATCGTTTGTTTTTTCAAGGTCTGGAGTCTGTTCCGCAAGCTGAGGCTGCCACCGAACGAGAAGCTGAGATTTCCGACCTCAAGCAGTGGAACTGTCAACATTCGTTTCCACCTGGCCACTGGGAACCCGTTTTTTTTTTCAAAAAAAAAAACAGGTTGGACCAAGAAGTCAACCAAGGTATAGCAAGACATGAAATTTGCGTATTGTGGTGTGGTAAAGCCAATGCCGTCAACAACTGGCGTTTGGGGATGATATCTACAATTCATAAAAATGATAACATTGGGGGTGGTTTATCAATGTTTATTATTGGATTTAGCACATAAATGGAATCAATGGTAATTGAATTGATAACAGTTTGATAAATCCATTTAAATCCATTGAATTGATTAGTTTTCACATAAATATTTAGCACATAAATGGAATTAATGGACCATAACTGAAGGATGGTGATTTTCTTTTAAAACATACGTCGAAAGTCGCTAGTTCCCGCTAGCTCCTGGACGACTAAAAACATGTTTTCACCGGTTGGAGACCAATGATTGAGTCCCCAAGAGTAAAAAACCACGGCCTGTGAACAGTTCCCAAACTCCAGTGGTAATTATCAACCATACTCTTACCAATAAAAAGGAACCAATCTATGTAATTAAATTACAAACTGCCGATAACTCACACACTGTGATGATCTCCCATCTGGCATGCATCTGGCATTGCATTCAAGTTGCCACAAGAAGGAAAGATACGAAGTACCTTAGTTGTGACATGACAAATCATGACGACACACGTTCCGGTACCCCATGGCACCATGGCGCCATTCATATCCATTCATGCTCAGACTTCCTCATCAAGAAAGGACCCTGGGAAGCGTATTAAAAACACGGGAATGGGGATGGTGGTCACTGAAAAGGTAAAGAAGTTTAACGCATTGACGATGTTGATGTATTTTTTGAAACAACCATATGGGTATGGATCAATACCTATTAATATCATTTTTAGGGGAATGAACATCCATTTACCAGCTATTTTGATGTTCACCAGGGGGATAGGGTTTTGACCCATCCCCATATTATATATATATATATATTACATACCCCCAGGCCGGGGGTGCCGCCCAGAAGTTTCTCATGTCACCAACTCTGTGGGGTTTGTTTGGGGTTTATCTAGGTTTACATTCAGGGTTCTAGGGTTTTTACCGCTGTTTTAATGAGATGTTACTTACTTTCAAGGCTTATTTAGGGTTTCATGCCAGATTTAGGTTTGAGGGTTCAGGATTTAGTGTTTAGGGTTTTGTGTTGAGGAAACAAATCTCGTCAGCCATTCGGCCATTCCGGCGACATCCAAGAGTGCATGAAACACTAGCCTTGCAAAGTCAAAACGCACTTCCCCGAGCAGCACCCGTCCTGGCCATATATAATATAATATAATATAATATAATATAATGTAATGTAATGTAATGTAATGTAATATAAATAAAATATAATATAATATTAATACTAATATAATATAATATAATAAAATATAATATTAATACTAATATGATATAATATAATAAAATTATTGAAAAATGTCGTATGATATTAATATAATATAATATAATATAATATAAATTCATATAATAAAATATAATATGAATTCATATAATAAAATAATATCAATATAATGTAATATAATTTAAAATTAATACTAATATAATATAGTATAATATAACATAATGTATTATAATATAATATAATATAATTTAAAATAGTATAATATAAATAGAATATAAAATGAGCTAATATAATATAAAAAAATATAAATAGAATATAATATTATATTATAAAATATTGAATAATATAATGTTAATATAATATAATGTAATATAATATTAACATTAATACTAATAAACATTAATATTAATACTAATACAATATAATATTAATACTAATAAAATATAATATAATATAATATAGTATAATGTAATATAATGTAATATCAATAAAATATAAAAGGAAAATAATACAATATAATATCTAATATAGTATAATATAAAAATGAAATTAATATTAGTATTAGTATTAATATAACATGATATAATATGATAATATATGAAATAGTGAATCATATTGTTCATTCATATTCTAAGACGCAAGAGAGTCATACATCCAGATTCATCGATGATTTTCCAAGCTGCACACCTCCATTTTTCTTTTGGATTTCCTATTAAAACCTCCATTTATAGATGATCTTCCCGTTAAAACCTCCATTTATAGAGGGATCTTCCCATCTTTTCCCATATTTTTCTATATGTTTCCCCATCTTTTCCCATATTTTCCTATATGTTTCCCCATCTTTTCCCATAAATCCCAGCGGCTCACTAAGGCTATAGTGCCGGTCGTTTCCGCAGGCGGCAGCAACAGCCATGGCCAGCATCAACTTGGAGGATTTGATGGTGACCTAAGGAGCGATTCACAGGATCCAACCGATTTATTGGAGGTTTCCATATATTTTTGGCCTATTTTTGAGGCCTACTTTTCAGGGAAGATCCCAATTTAGGATCCTGGAATTCCCATTGGATGTTTTTTATTCATATCAATCTGGATTTTAAGTATCAACCATGGGGGATTATGACCAGAAAGGCTTGCTATGACTGATTCATATAATCACAAAATGGTTTTGAAATGGTTATAACATGTTAATATGAATCTGGTTGGTGGTGCAATAAGAATCTTGAAAAATATGAGTTCGTCAATGGGAAGGATGACATCCCATATATGAAATGGAAAATAAAGAATGTTTGAAACCACCAACCATAAATGGTTGCTATGACTTATTCATTTCGTCATGAAATGGCCATGAAATGGTTATATTGAAAATATAGTTAATCATGATTATGCCAGCGGACCGAAAACCGTGCTCCTAAAACTAACGTTTTTGAGAATGTGCAACTACGTCACTAACTTCTTAATCTTTATGAACAACTTCCAAGTACGTTAGAAAAAATCTCTATCCACTTGCATGGGATGGGGTGGTGTGGGGTGGGGCAGGGTGGGCTATTAACATCTTTACGACCAACAACTTCCAACTTCTTTACTAATATCTCTAACCACCTACATAATTAAGGTGGGGTGGGGTGGGGTGGGCTATTAACGTCTTTACGACTACAAAAATCAACTACGTTACTAACTTCTCTAACAACTTGCATGGGACTCCATCAATTTCCAACTACGTTAGCGAGTCTTGTAACACTTGCAAATAGGTCATTATTTTCTCTATCAACTTCCAACTACGGTAGGGGCTCTTGAAACACAACTTCCAACTACGTTGTTATCTTCTGTATCAACTTCCAACCGCGTTGTTATCGACATCTAAAAGACAATTTGCAACTGTACGCCAGGTCTTGGCAATGGAGGTACATAAACCGCAGTGCCAACTTGCAGCAGAAGACGATTGAAGCATTGAATGAAAATGAGCTGTTACTGTGGTAAAACGCGAAAACCCCCAAATTTTGGTATCCATTTTTTGGAGAGTTGTCAGAAACACAATTCGCGAAAACCGCCACAGTGCGAAGCTTATTCTTTTTTTCACAGTGCCGGTGCTTTTACGAGCATGGAATTTCCGGTCTGCCGGGATGATTATGACCATTATCCCAGATTAATGATTAACTACTATATACAATGTTTAATGTGGTTAAAACAATGCCATAAACCATACCCAAAATCACCATAAATGGGTGGTATAAACCATCAAAAATGAGGTGGTCTATTATTGTTTTAACCACATTATTAATACACAATGGCTATTTGTATTCATATGGTAAATATAGCTATCAATATGGTAAATATGGCTAATAACTCATTATGGCACCCCAAAAAACTGCAGGTTTATACAGGATGGGGCCCCCAAGATAGCGTTCAGTTGAGATATAAGTGGCTGAAAACTATGGTTTATAATAGATATAACGAACTAGCTCATGAGCTTTATAAACCAAATTATAACTGGGGGGCACCATCCTATAATATTATGGATTAATGAATAGCCATATAATGAAAATATCCTACAATATAGCCATACGTATAAGTTATAGCCCATCATATAACAAATGATTAATATGGCTATGACTTATTAATATTGTTATGACATGGAAATATTACTCTCGGACAGTTATTCATGATTATGACCATCAGCCATCATCCCAGATTTCTGATTAATCATTACCCGTAGGATCCATGGTGCTGGTATATATGCTAACCTCGGGGGTATAGTGATGGTAAATGTTACCATATATAGCATAGATGGATCCTATGGGTTATGACATCAGATATGTTTATGAATGATCAATGATTGCGATGATAATGTTCAGTGTGATGCATATAATAAACTTATCATAATTAAATATACTTAATTGTAAATATATTAATGGTAAACAGTATCTATAATGATGATGACTAATCATGATGATTATTCATGATTAAATGATTGTGATTATTCATCATGATTAATGATTATCTATGTTTATTAATGATGATCAATGATGAGATCGACCAACCATATTAATCAACAACCATCGCCATAATTACCAATTACTATAAAATCACCACTATAAACCAATCATAATATCTGGGAACATATATTATAATAATCGGTAACCATCTTTTAACGGTACTTTAGTATCATTTGAATGGATAATTTGAGGAATAATCTTCGCATCACTAGGAATATCCATCTGTGTAAGTTGTATGACTTCAACGAGTCACGTTTTAGCGGGGATGATTCCAAGGCTCGGTCACTGGGCTCACTGCCCATTTTGCCATGTGAAATCGCCCTTCAATAAATAGTTTAATTAGGTTTCCTCAATCTTCAGCTCTATAGTTTCTATTTCCAGGCGCTTGAAATCTTTTTGGTTTTAGTAAACCTGATTTTGCCCCGGGATTGGAAACCCTTGAAATTCCAAACAGTTCAAAAACCGATGGAAATCTTGAGTTTCTAGTCAGACTTGTTCTGTATTCCGAAAAAAGAATTCTCTGATGTTCCAAAAAGATTCCAGTGGTCAAACGCCCTGAAATTTCATAGCTCAGTCAATGATTCTTGGTCGCCTTTTTTAGTGACTAAACACCCATTGTTTGTGGTTTAGTCCTCATGTTGGTCAAAGTCGACCTTTTTTGTTCGTCAACCCCAAGTTTTGTTGCGGAAATCCTTCCTTTGGGGGTGGGTGAAGATTCCATGCATGAAAAATACATGATGGGATGAGAATGAACGCCTTGGCTAGTCTAACGGAAGATCTATTTGCAGGAAACCATGTCTTTCTCGTAATAAGAAGGGGCTTCCTATCAATTTTCCCTTGGATTGTTATCAACGTTTTCGCCACTCCAACACAGGGCCGGCACCTTGAGAGGATACTGGACCCAGTGCACTGCCAAATTTGGTAGGCCTGATCCCAAGAGAAGTAAAGCTGACATACCCACCTCAGCAGCTGCTGTTTTTCTGAGTAAACCCGAACAGGGCCCGAGCAAAGCCGTGTTTCATGACCATGTGAAACATGGAGGGGGGTTAGTGGATGGAATGGGGCGCCCTGTTTTACAACCCCAGCAACGATTGGGACTGGGACGTGGGCTCTTGAGACCTCAACCTGACCGGTTCACCCATGATGGTCGTGGGTATTCTTAACATCAATCTGGATGAACTATAATGCAACACACTCAATAGTTTGGCCACCTTTGGGATGATTGATCGTAAATTCAACCACATGACCTTTTACCAATTCACTCGGATCGGATGACCTTTTACCTTGCAGGGTTTGTGGATCTATGATCCACGGACAGCTTCACCGTTAGGAACAAAACTGCCTGCTGGGTAGCCATCACCCCCCAAAAAAAGACTCATCCACTGCCGTTGTTTACCCTCTGGTAAACTAACATAGCTATTGAAAATGGCCATAGAAATAGTGACTTTTCCCATTAAAAAAATGTGATTTTCCATAGTTTTTTGTACGTTTACCAGAGGGTATATTGTTTGGTGTTCACGTCTGCTTTAAGAAGGTAAAAAACAAATGTACTGACAAGTCCCATCCCCCTAACATCAAATGGGTCCACGTTCAATCCTAAACCTTCAGTTCCTGATTTCATCCTCCAAATATGAAATACTCCCTGTAGGGCGCCAAGACCCCAAAATGAACCGAAACCAATACTCAACCAGGGGTGGACGGGCAGTAGGCGTATTTCATCCGTTGGACTTGGCATAAATTCGGGCACAATCTTGCGCAAGATAAACCACATCTTAGCGTTGCCCAGTTCATAGAATTTTATAGATCCATAGGATTTTCAAAAATTAGGGTATCCCGATATTGGACAAACAACCAAATCTCTACTTTTTCATACTTTTTCCAGTTCCAGTCACGACACATATGGCTACAAACCAGGGTATCTGCAGTATCCCAATACAAAAAATAAGCTCATTTTTTTCCAGTTTATATCCCATCTGGGGCAAAAAAACAGCAAAAACTAAGCTTTTCCAGTTATGGTTTTGTCTGAAAAATGGTGGGCACCCTGTTTTATTCTCATTTCAATGAGGACAATGATGATAAACCACGGGATTCGATGAGATTTGGGGGTCGCCAATGTTCAGACCCAACTGGACCAGTCTCTTGACACAACTTCCAGTTGGATCCAGTCAAGACATCTTTTCCACTTGGATCATCAACATGCATCAACCCTAAAATCCTCAGTTTTTTCCAGTTCCAGTCAAGCAGTCAAGACGCATAAGGCTTCCAGAAGTTCAAATCCAACTTTTGACTGGGGCGATCTATCAGGTTGCCTCCCGCAACTTTGGACCAGATGCAGCAGCCCACAAACCTCGGTTTGTTCGAGGTCGAAATTCGGTCGTGGTTTTTGCGATACCCGACTGAGGACTGAACCAAGCATTCTATGGCGTCGTTATAATCTGGTTGGTGGTTTTAACCATATTGAAAAATATGAACGCCAGTTGGGAAAATCATTCCCATATATGATGGAAAATAAAAAATGTTTGAAACCACCAACCAGTAATAGGATAAATAGGCCACAAAACACGTGTTAACGACGGCTGAGTCACCGGTGGATCGGCGCTGATGTTGGGAATGATGACATCCCAAGATTTTTCCCAGCCCCATTGGTTCAGAGTTTCAGAAAAAAAGTATCACCTTGATTTATATATAAAGTTTTTCTAAGACTAGAAAATCTCAATTCTACTAGTGTCCCCAAATGTTCAAATTCGCTTCTATACCATGGTTTCTAGGGTTGGTTTAATATGTTTAATATTAGGGGATGGGATTAAATCATATCAGGTCTTCCATAAATCCAAAGCAAAATTAGCTTCTGCTCCCATCCATTTCTCAACATGAAGTCTGAGGCCCCCCTTTCTTCATGAGGGTATACGAGGAAGAGGTTGCCTTCAACCCCCATCTGCCCTAGGGCCATCATCATCATCATCATCATCATCATCATCATCATCATCATCATCATCAACGTCCATCGTTATCGTCACCGTCATCATCATCATCATCATCAACACCATCATCATCATCGTCATCCTTATCATCCTCATCATCATCATCATCATCATCATCATCCCTAGAGCCAACATCATCACCATCACCATCACCATCACCGTCATCATCATCATCATCATCATCATCATCAACACCATCATCATCATCGTCATCCTTATCATCCTCATCATCATCATCATCATCCTGATCCTGATCATGATCCTGATCCTCATCATCATCCCTCAAAATCCTGCACAGGGATTAATACCAGACAAGAGACTCACCCAAAGTGAGAAACAAGGCAACGATCAGGCTGTGACTATTCCCGCCGGAGTTTCGTGTAGCTCCCTCCAGCCTAGGCAGCGTGGCAGTGGATGTAGAGGACCAGTGGGAAAGCAGGATGTTACTTTTGCTGAGCTGTTTGTGTTTCTGACTCCGCAAGTGAGGCGTTTATGAACCCAAAAAATGAGTTTAAAAAAACACGTTTGAAAATCCTGATCCCAACCACAAATCATCGCAATTCCATGCGGCGGTATTCTTCTTAATGGGACTCACATTATGACATAATCATAGTCTTATAAATCTCACATACTGATAATCATACTGGTAGTCAATTATTGACCATGTCCATTTTCAGTATACAATCATCCACTGTCCGGTGACCTTGGTTGTATTTTTGTCTCATCAGGAATGTATTGTCTATTTCCATGGGTATGGGCAATGGTAAACTGGTTGGTGGTATACCTACCCCTCTGAAAAATATTAGTCAGTTAGGATGATTATTCCCAATATATGGAAAAAATGAAAAATAAAAAATGTTCCAAACCACCAACCAGTAAAAAATGATAGAAGATTCAACCCAACCATTGGGAACCAAACCACTGGCAACCCCCTGGCTGAACCGGTACCCACCCCACGCTGAAACGATCCCCCCTCATGGCCCATTTCCGCTCGAGTGGCAAAATTTCCAGCAGCACAGTGCTGAGAAAGGAGACTACGGCATAGATAGCAATATTTCGATTCCTGGGTATGTGGCTTCCCCAAAAAAAACGGAGATTTCATGGGATCGGGGCTAGACTTAAATTGAGATTTCATGGGAAGCATTGGGGGATCCAACAAAAATGGGGGATACCTCCGGTATCAGACATGGACAACTGGGAATTGCCCGAAGTACATGGGCAACGGAAAAATCATCAAAGTGAATGGGGGATTGTCCATTACCATTTTTGATTACCAAACTACCAGAGGAGAAGTTAGTCGGACAGAGTCGAACTAGTCGAGTTGTTTTTTTCGTGGGATAAATCATGATAAATCCAAGCCAAAGAAAACACTCAAAATCAAACATGGCAATGGAAAATTCGTCATTTATAGAGATGCTCTTCCCATTAAAACCTCCATTTATATAGTTAGGGGATTTTCACTCGCCAAGTTTGATTCCCGTTTACGATACTCAAAATCAAAGTGTACAAGGTGCGGCCCCCCAGTGATGTTAGATGGTTTATAAACCCCATGAATACTAGTTCGTTATAGGTACCATAAACCATAGTGACATTGGAGTTATGTTCACCAACTGAACGCTATCGTTTGGGGGCCCCACTTTGTAGCTATGATCCCAGATTCTTCGCATGCCGGGCGCCATCCACCATCGAGCGGAAGGCGTCTCGATGCGGTCCCCGCGGTGCCTTTTTGCGGCGCTTCCCGCGCTGCTCGACGGGTTGAAGGCAGATGTCACTGCCGTTTTAGATATCCCAGGTGTGTAGTCATTGAAATATGTTGCTGTTTTGCAGATGGAGCTGGTTATAGCTGGTTTGTGGAGTATGTCACTCATTGTCACTCTATTTCTAGGTCTGTAGATAGCGGTACTTTGGAGTGTATCTGGAAGCTGATCATGTGGCCGTCATGATGCCGAAACGTCGTCTTTTCCTACGAAAACAAATATGGCCCCAGTGATTGAGCCTGAGAAGGCAGCAACGGGGCTCTGGAGGTGTTCCTCTAGTTAGATCATGTTAGATCTAGCCTGTTTATAGCCACAAAAATAACGAGTTTGCCACGCCAATGCTAACCATTGTAGCAATGGACTCTTCCAAATCAGATAATTGACGAGGTCATCTCGCCCAGCCTCAATTCGCTGGCCGAGATTGGTGAAATGGGGCGTGTAACCAGTTCGATCGATACTTGTCCTTTCTGGAAAACGTGAAATCGAAAACAAAGAAGGCTTTCCATGGGTTTTCGACTTCTATATGCGAGTTTGGCAGAGTGGGTTTCCATCCACTTCTATTACTCGACTGAGTTTCCTCCAGCCTGTTTGCTTCCACAAGGGCATCAGTCTTTGCATAGACTGGCTGGTTGGTGGCTTCAACCCCTCTGAAAAATATGAGTCAGTTGGGATTATTATTCCCAATATATGGAAAAGTAAAATTCATGTTCCAAACCATCAACCAGCTGGAAAATCCAAGGACGACTACATTACATCACTACGTCCTCCACACGCACACAGCGTGCTGCGACGTGGCACGTTTTGGTTTTGCTCAGCGGCTGGATCGAAAGAACTCTGCCTTAGTCAGGGCAGGTTGCAAATCAAATACAGGAAGTAAACCACCAATCATGGAATATCTACAAGGTGGTGCCTCTCAGCTATAAGTTTATCAACCCCATGAACATCATGAACGATATATATATATACCATAAATGATAGTTATTGGAGTTGTAAACCAGCTTAGCTATCTAGGCATGTCCATATTGGGAGATGGGGCCTGTCAGTTAATGGGACCGAAAAAATGACCAGTCGGTATGTCTCACCATGTGCCGTACCCGAACTCCGATGCGAAATGTCGGGGTGCATTGTGATCCATATCATAATCATCATCATAATCATCATCAAATCATCATCAAATCATCATCAATCATCATCAATTATCATAATCGCTGGTTATATCCATCTGGGTAAACCATATTGGATCACCTGAGAGTAGGATGAAATAGTGATGTTCATCATATTTATGTCCAAGATTTCCACGAACCCAACTTCGCTGGAAAGTTCAGCCATATTGGGATCCCCGATATTGCTTTGATTCCATCGCTCGGTCTGAAGATCTGGGCTTGGGGACCTTGAATTTGAACAGAAAACATATCACCATAGAGTATCATCAATGTAAATTGGTTGGTGATATTTAGATCAATCTGATTCATCTGATATTCTTTACTGATAAGCTGAATAGATCTGATCTGAATACATGGTCGGCATCAAACTATTCAGATCTATTCAGCCTAGTCAGACCATCAACATGCTGCTTCACAACTCCCACGGCCTCTTCCCCTCATTGCATTGGTTTTGGGAACATGCAGGAAAACCACATACAAGTACCGTACATACTTCATAGGGAAAAACCATGGATTCAGCTTAAGATTTTCGCAAAAAAATCTCAAATCCTCCGAGTTGCAGGATTCGAGAGATATGGCGACTTTAGAGATCGCCGCTCCATTTTCTTAGCCAAAAATAGCCAAAAAAGACGGGTCAGTGGTGGGTTTACCCAGATTTTTGCCATGGTTAAACCATGTTAAACCGACCCCATGAAACATATTCCCACCATCTGCAGCCCAGGATTTGGATCTGCATCCCAGATAAGTGGCGGAATCATATACGAAAAAGTTCTACATGGGTTACTTGTACGTGGCTTGTCTGTACATGTGCATATATATATATATATTATTCAGATTGATGTATACATGTATATATATATATATACGTATGTATATTTTATAGATAGATATAGATAAGGGTCATGCATAGGCTACATACATATACATTGTAATATGACATATGAAGACCTTGCCGATTCCTCTGCACCCGGCACCCGGTGCTTCACCGGGCTTCCCAACCAGTCCATATTCGATCCCATAAATCAGCGCTAAGAGCCCCAGGATCGTTGTAAGACTGACCTCCACCTGGCTCGGTAAAGCGACTGGCACTAGATCCATCTCTATATATATATATATATATGTTGTGCTATACATCTACATATACCTACTGCGAATCGTAGGTTGTCTCCCCGATTACGTTCTGGTGCTTGATTCTGAAATGGGTGTTTCAGTGGTGACGTCACACGGGTAGCGGCTTCGGCATTGCAATTCTTTGTTCCGGTTCCTGCAGTGGTCTTGAGCCAAAAGGGCGAGTTGATGTACCCCTTGGCTGTGGATCTTTGAGGGCTGAATTATGTGGTAGTGTACAATGGTCCGTAGCCTACACTCTATTCGCACCCCCCATGCATGGCCAACTTTGTCGGCCACGCGCAAAGGAGTGTCCCTTGAATTGATCCACTACATCTGCAGCTGTTCATTTATTGAATTATGGAGAGCTAAAGTCCGTTCAGAACTTCAAATCTACATGGCGGCTTGCTACGATCTCTACCAAAAGATAAAGGCTCTGTTCACGTGCATTTTGACACGACGTAGTCGGTGTCAAGCATTGAGGTTCATCCGATGTGGCGTAGCCAGCATGGAGTCCCACTCAAGCATGTGAATTAAAAAAAATCAAAACACAAATTTGACTATGGAACTAGAAGTTTACCTTCCCGTCCCTTCGTCGGTTGAGACGTAGACCGCTGTAGAAACTCAGCGTTTCATGCAACGATGTTCAAAAAAAAAATGTGTGGTTCTAAATTAACCGGCTCAGAGTCCTCTCAGAAATCATTCAAAATGAAGTAGAGGTAAATCTCGAGCAATGATTGCATCCTCGCATCGCCAGGTTCAATCAGGACCTATGCAGAGGTCAGATCGCTTAATCATCTGTGTCCCCATCCATAGTATCCCTGTTGGTTCCAGTCTCCGCCACGGTGTGAATAAGATTTTCCACCTTTTCCTTGGTCTTTTCCACCCTTCTTTGGCGGGGTCACCGGAGCTTGTTTTGGCGGAGGAGCGGTTTCAACTGTTCTCCATGTCGCTGACGATGATGCTTTCGCTTTCGACACTCTTCCCAGTGCTGGTGCAGCTTTCGGGGCTGCTTTCGATTTGCCAGCGGCTGGATTGGCACGTTCACGATCAGCAGGAGTCGGGGTATCAGCAATCGCAAGTATGTGAGCTTCAGACAAGTGGATGCCCCACCTTGGTCGTTGATCTTCCCGTTGCTTGATGTGATTGTAGTCATCGATCGCATCATATAGCTTTTGGAGTAGAGGTCGCGGCAATTGTCGGCCATTCTGAAGGATCAGGTGTAAAAGTGATATTCTTCGAAGTGGTGGACGAAGAGCACACACAATGTCAACTGGATTCAGTGCGATTGTGTCTTGAAAGTCAACGTTCCTGAAGAAATAAACAGCGTTTACCCTATATGCACCTGCAATGATTCTTCTGACCATGACGTCTTGTCGGTCAAGGGCGTCGCGGGCCGCTGTGGTCTTTCTCATCTCATCCATTGTGGTGTCACGTTTCGACAGCTTCTCCATCTCCTCATCAAAGAATATGTTTTGCAAGTCATCATACGTGTAGCCACATTCAAGGGTATATATGAGAAGTCTTTTGAGTACCACTGCCCCATAGTATGCATTGACGAATCCCTCTTCTCCGATGTCGTCCTTTTGATTTGGTCGGCCGATCTCTTTGTAGAGCTCTTTCATCTGTTGTGCAGTTGGTTCAATGAGTTCACCATTTTCATCCTCGCCCAGGTAAGGTGTTCTTGAGTCCAGGTCCATCCTGAATTTCTGGTTCTGTTGAAAATGTTTCCATGCCGTCTCGATGTCTCCACAGAAGTTCCGTTGGAATAGTCTGTAGATCCTGACGATATGTAATCCAATCTGCAACAGGAGGATCTTGATGAATTCTGGCTGAGCATCTCCAATTGTGCAAGGTTCGATCGGCAGGACCTTTGATCCAAACTCAATCCGCTGCATCCACTTGGGGTACTCAATCACTGCATCACGAGCTTCTCCAGCCTCGTACTCTTCAATGTTAATTTCATCGACCGCTATCTCTTCATCATCGTTCTCATCGGTCGGTTTTCCTTCTTGATTGAGAAATTTGTCGACCTCATCTTGTTCTCTGAAGTCTCTTTTCTCATCATTGATGTCGCCCTTCTTCGAGGCTTGATCATCATCTCCTTCTTCTGGTTGAGTTTCTTGTTCTGGACTCTTCATGGTGACATCATCATCATCTGGCATCACCTCGTCGTCATCATCATCACCTGTCAAATCGATCTTCACCTCCTCCCATGCTTTCTTGACATGGTCTTTGAGATCTTCTTCTCGATGATGCGATTCGGTACTTGGTACTGTAGCCACGGTGATCTTGATTCGTTTCCTCCATCCATGACTCATCAAAAATCCTTTGCACATCACACAAATCGATAATGGCGCAGGGGTCTCCATCAGACATGCGGGGCATAGTCGATGGTCCTCTTTGCTAGGGTGATGAGTGACTGCCAATAATGAAATTGCATCATTCCAATCCGGATGTCCAGGGAACAATCTGTGAGTATGACTGAAGTGACCGGTCCTGATATCGACAAGTTTTCGAAGTTCGTCTAGATCGGGTGATGATTCTTCAGGCACAATGTTTCCAATGAGCTTGTCAAATCGTTCAATGGTGGCCACCCTCTTTGCACCTTGCACAGAAAGAACAAGTTGATCTCTTCCCTTCGTGATCATGAGACGGTAGTAGTCCTTTTCTCTCCAGTCGTAATACCAAACTGCATCGAATGATTCGAATGGAATTGTTTCTTGGACCAAAATGTGTCCGTCT